AAAAACATTATTCCTTTTTTTCGGATATCCATTTTTTTATATACCACGTAGGTACGGCAGACAAGCTTTAGTAAACAACTTATACAGTATGTTAGTAAATTATAATATATATCCTGGTCTCTCAATTCATATATCTATGTATGACCATGACCAGATGCACTGACACAGTAGGGCAATGATGTCCAGTGGCTCTGGAGTGGACAATCCGACATATTGGCTATACAAACATTAATTGCAGTTCATTACTATTGCTTTTGTTTGTGTCTACTATTAGTAATATTATTACGATTAATAAAATTTCTTACAAAGTAAATTAAACAGATGCCAAAAAAATATTAGAAAATGTTTCTGACGGAGAGAATATATGTAGGTACAGGATAATACAAGTTCTATTATTTATTGTTTTTTGTTTTATAAATTTAGGTGTTTGAATTTAAAGCATTTATTTAATTTTATGGTAAGACAGATATTTATCTCTTTTGACGTACCTGCTAAGTAGCTCTCCGTGTTCACAAGCAGACTCGGGTACAGCGATGACCATGTCGGTAGGTGCAGTTTGTTCAACTACCGTCTCTAGATTATGCGTAGTTTTATTGACCGATGTTACGGAACTTAGTCTAAACTTATTCATCACTGTATACCACGCAACTTTAAGCAATCGTCTCCATTGAAATTGGGATATTTTTTTCATTTCAGTTGCTTACTATATCATTCATAAGTAATAGGCGATCAGTGAGTTTGAAATATGTATTTATTCATTTCCGTATGTATATAACTATAATATAATATAATATATATGTATATATTTCGATAATTTTGCATCCCCTCCAAAGGAACACATTATGCAATTAAAACTTTGGCCGTATCAAATCGCGGCTGAAGTACTACATAATATATTTATAATCCAAAAAAAAAAGGAAAAAATGTGATAATAAAAACAGTAGAGAAACAAATAAATTTAATTTAAAAAAAAATAGGTGATCAGTGGAGAGGACTTATAGCACCTGCAACTGTAACCAGTAATTCGTCCCACTATTTAGAAAACGATCGACAATCAGAACTGCAGCCTAACTTTTGTATCTGGCTAATCAGAAATGTATTTTTTATTCTAAATTTGTATTTAAAGTTCTTGTTTTATATAGATTACTCCTGTTATATCAATATATATCTATACCTAGTGTTTTTCATTTTACATATACACAAATAAAATAAAATTACAGCAATAACTATTTTTATGTAACCAGAATATCACACAACCTTACGGTAATCTGTGTAAGTGGTAACCGTTACCTATACACATAAACGGATATCACGTTATCATGTGGCAAAACTAGTTGCTTACCATCAGGAATAGATGAGACCCATGCAGACGACTGTGTATACAAAACCTGCGTGAACAATGATTTCAAGAATGTAGAATATAGAATATGTGATGTTTATTATTCAAAAAGAGCTATACCTATCTGTTTTCTAGCAGTATCTAGTAGCTATATATGTAACATGCCATATTACTGTAGTTTCATCAAAATCCATTCAATAGTTTTTGCTTGAAAGAGTAACAAACATACATGCATCCATACTTCCAAATTTTGCGTTATAATATTAGTAAGATTCAATACATGTGATTAATTTTGTGTTTGTCATCGGCTGCATTGGAACCCTAATAACTGCATGAAATTATTTCAACCTCATAAAACTCAGTTACAACGCGCATTGTGTTTTCTAAACGAGACAAAAATAATATAAAATATTCTAATTAACGTTATTAAACGACTGGACATTTGTGATCGCTCATGTTTCTAACCGACTTCAAGAAGGTAGTTCTGAATCTGACTTGTGTATGTGTATTGTACATTGTCTTCTTCATTTTTTCTTTATTTGAAGATTCTTCTTACTAAAATGTGGTAAATGGTAGTTTGTTAAAGTAGTTCAATACCTACGTAATATCATCCATAATGTTGAACACTTGTAAAATCGGCTACGATTATTTAAACATACTTAAACTATTATAAATATATACTTATATTAATACTTACTTAAAGAGAGAAAGATGTGAAATCGGATACCATAAAAACGTGGCTTCAACCTCCAAACCAAATCATCGAGAAACTCGTAAACGGGATGATTTTTAAAAAATGTATTCGACGGCCCGAACTCATTTATAATAAGAGAAACGGAACGCAACAAAAAGAAAAAAAATTAAAACATAAACCCTTTTCGAATTTTGTTCGAAAACGAACGATCTTGTGATAAATATTGAAATATGGAATGAGATATGATACTTTTTGTTTCGATTGCTGGCCATCGATTCTTTTATCTTTCGTTTTTATTTCTTTTATTCCTAATGGCGTTTTGAACATGGGTTAATGGCGGTCCCTGCCGGCTTGTGCTACCGTTTTATTGACTATCAATTCGTTCGGCGCTCCAACTATTAAGTTTTGAGCTGTGAGGTGGTGTGATACACAAATTTTATGTGGGCCGGCGGACCGTCTGTTTTAGAAGCTTAATTGGTACTTTATATTTCTGGTAATAGTGTTTGGATGGTTTAATGTGAGTTTTCTGTAGATACACATATAATTGACTGCTTTATTTACTGTTAGATTTACCACAACGGTATATAATAATTTGGAGATGCCTCTGACAACCCCGTCTGGAGCAGTCGTAACCAATTTTATTTTATTTGTTCCTTTTTAATGACTTCGGATGAAGATTGGGACAACAATAGATACATTACTTTCTACTACGTATATAACTATAAGCTATTTTTTTTCCTTATGGACGATAATAGAATGTTGCTCCCGTCTGCGTTAACGGCTTATGCCGGCTGGGCACCAGTGGTGGATGATGAGTATGAGGTCAGGTCGGTTAGCCATCAGCCCATCATGGTAAATTCACCATGAATTTATTACGATAGTTGCCAGGGGCATCCACGTGGCGATCAACCTGACATGGTATATAGTATTTGTATATAGCTAGCAATATGGTTATTAGTCCACATTACAAACAATCCCCTTCCTTCCTTGTAATAACAAACTATTGACTATAACGATACTATACTACCTATTACATACTTCAGTAGATATATATATATATAATAGGTACATTACATATGTATGCAGTAATCTATCTTAATAATGTGTTTATCTGTCTGTTTCTTTATTTGTTACACTTAAATGCCGCAATCTGTAAATTTATATGATAGATTACACCTTCAATTTGCGAAACTGAAAACTGAAGAGGGTGAAATAGGACATGGATAAGTAAGTAACTTTCTTAATAAAAAATTTAAGAGTTTGATGATTCTTTTTTAGTAGAGTAGTGTTTAGTTACACCCGCTGAAGCACATAGAGAGGCAAGTGGTTTTTTTTTCTATAAAACAAAATGTAAGCTGCTGTAGTATATGTGCATATCTTTTACTCCCGTGCCTAGTATTCATTTTAATTTAGTGAACCCATTTCTTAAGTTAGTGAACCCATTCGGAGTTAATCTACATTCAACATTTGACATGTTGATAGAACAAAAACTGGACATACTTGTATTTAATTAATCGAGCGCGCCACATCACCTCGGCGGAGCGGGCGATTTGAAAAAAGTTGAAACCAAAATAAAAATAAGTCCATCATAACTCGCTACGAGGATTTCATATTTTAAAATAGGCATCTGCTTTGAATACAGTACAAGTGCCAAGTCACGTTCGGCGGCTCACTTGTAATGTTCGATCACATTTTTACTGGCGTCAGTGATGCCAGATTGGAAGAAATCACCTAAATTTAGGGGTGTTTTGTGGAAATGCAAAGAAACTCGAGCTTCTTTCAACTGGAATGACAAGTTGACAGCCCACTTAATAGTTAGTGGCAATGTTCGAGCACATTTTTACTGGCGCTAGTCAGATTGGAAGAAATCACCTAAATTTAAGGGTGTTTTGTGGAAATGCAAAGAAACTCGAGGTTATTTTATTCTTTTAACTGGAATGACAAGCTGACAGCCCACTTAATGGTTAGTGGCAATGTTCGAACACATTTTTACTGGCGCTAGTGATGCGTTAGTTAGCGGTGACCGTCTGCTTTGTACTTGAACAGCACTACAGAGACTACGGTATTAAGTGACGCCCATATACCAGATATGCGTTACTATTCTGGAGGACAAAGGTACTATATTTCTGCACTAGTAATTTCACTGCCTCATGTCACCTTTCATCTGTTAAGAGTGGAATTTGGGAATGAGGAATTACCATTTTTCCTTAAATTGTCATCTCGTTCACATTCGATATTCGATTCAATCATCATACAGAAAAAATAAAATGCAAAATAGAAGACAAGATTCTTGTGGATTTAAAATAAATAAAAATAGTGGGATAACACAAACACAAACAACAAAGACGAACAGTTGCGGGACAGTGAGTGGTAATACGAGCTTTTTTATATGGTAAGATCTTTCTAAAGAATCTGAGTTTTAGGGATTTTATACAAAATTTGAGGGAAAGCAAGATGTCATCTGGCAATACTGACTGGCACCGGTACTGACAGCGTACCTTTGTCTGTACTATTGAATCTTAATTGTGACTAGGAGTTTCTGTATTCGGTGGTAGGCATTTTTTATATTGAAATTGGAATTATGCACTCGTCTACACTAACGTCCCTTTTGTATTTTTACATTCTGATAGTATATATTAGGTTATGTCCAAAAAATACAATATAACACGATATAAATACAATATAATAAGAGAATGCATAAAAATACCAAAATTTTTTTTCTTACCTATTTCGTCAAAACTTTGGTTAATCGATCAACCTCTTCGTTTCTCGATAGTGCTATACGCAAATTATAGCGCGCTATATAAAAATTATACAATTTAGTTATATTCTCACGATTGGAATTGGAATTACATTTAGTCAAAGCATTGTCTATATTGTAATTAACGTAACACTTGACATTTGGTTGACAATATTTGTGGGAAGAATTTGGTTTGTAATCGGTAAAATAAATGAAACAAATTATTATTATTTTAAGGTATACATATTTATTTATAAATTACGCTGTCACATGATATAAATTAATTATGTACAATTAAATAATACAGTTAAATTTATATAAAAATAATATGACGGATTTTGGTCGAGTCTAGCTGATGACCGTTTCAAGGATATTTTTGGTGGCTAAGAAAATATCATAGAAAGGGTCGGTTCGTAGGTGACTCGGCTAGAATCCATGGCAACATTTATAAATTCAAGCTTATTTTTTAAATAGGGAAGCTGCAATTAAGACTGTTAGGCCAGGACGATAAATAAAATTATAAACAAAAGATAAATTAACAATGGATAAATTCGACAATAAATAAATTAACATTTAATAGTTAACAGTGACTAGAGAGCAAGGATCCATTCGTCCAAGCGACTTCTCATAGGCATTCGACAGGGTGTAACACTTAAAGATACTTAATAATTTAATAAATAATTTATATATATAAAAAACTCCTTTAACACTTTGACTCCGAATTGTATAAAAATCGTTATCCGTACGCAAATCTTCGCATCATAATCCAGTTTGACGAAAAACAAATTGGGGTACCACAAGGCAATAACTTGGGTCCCTTGTCAGTCCATGAGTTATTAAATATCAATAACATTAAGGTAGAAAGCTGCTTGAGAGTCCCCTTTAGAGCCGACGGCGCGGGCTTGGTATTGGCCATTGTCGTCGCTGTTGCACTTGACTATCTCGAGGCGATACCGCGAGGTACCCTCCATTGTGAACCTGTACCTAGCGGATGTCTCGTCGATCGGCTTACCGTCCTTCAACCACTGAAGCTGGAGCGGTGGCTGTAGGAGAAATTGATTTATTAATAAAATCTTTAAACATTGTTTAGTATATAACTGAAATTAGCTGATAGGCCACATGGTACGTAATAACCATCGTCTCGTACGTCATGTGACATGTTTGATTCATGCTATTCCGGAGGTCTAATGTCATGCTCCTGTGCTTTGTAATTTCACTGCCTTTCAATGCTAGATAACCCATATGAAAGAAAATTTGGTTCACACTTTCATATCTTTTATCAAAACTGTTACAGGTAAATATATTCTTTGTACTAATAAATACAGTAATAATATTATTTAGAGATAAGGTGAGCAGAAATATCTTCCAGACAAAACAGTAGCATAAGTGTTATTGGTGAAAAAAAAATGACAAAAACTTTAAAATAAATTACGCATTAATACAAATTTGCGGGCTTAGCTTAAGTAATGGTATATCACCTTGTCCAGCTCGGTGGTGAAGACGGCGGGCTCTCCGGCGGAGACGGTGGCGGAGGCCGGGAACGCGGCGTACTGCGGCGCGGCGGCCGCCTCCCCGGGGACGGTCACCACCAGCGAGCACGACGAGAACGACTCGCCGGCGTCGTTGAATGCCTCGCACGTGTACACACCTGCCGGGACAGTGCCGTTCATCATACTCATCAACTCACTTACAGACTAGGACGTTATGTAATGCTGGTGTTTAGAAATAGCAGAAAAAAAACAAAGACCCTCCCTAAATTTTGTGTAGTTCTATAACGAGTGTTGCTGCTGTGCTGTTTAAAAATCGCAGTAAAAGGACTATGACGTCCCCTAGATTTTGTGTAGTTCTACGATTGGCTGGTCAACGTACGTCTACGTTTAGTTGGTCAATAATGTTATTGAAACAAATAAAAAAAAAGTCACATTGTATCTTGTCCCTTAGAACTGCTATAATTGTAAAAAAATTGCTATAATTCTATATTTTATTTACTTTCAAATTACTTCCGATAGTCGCGGGTTTGATTCCTCGCACAGTACAAATATTTATATTCATGAGAATGCTTGTATCGGGTTGATTTTTTATGTATGTTATCTATGCATATAAAAATGTAACTTGGGACTAGACAGCGCTGTATGAATTGTCCAGGATCATTATTATTATTCTAGTAAATTTGCATGTAAACTGGCCACAATTTGCTAAAGTTAAAAATATGCCATCTCTATTTATAATAATGAACTACATAAATACAATACAAATTAAATTTATCCACCCACATCATATCTGCAATTAACTATTTAATAAAGCCTCAAACATTCCCTGAACAACTATAAGAGAAGAAATATTTGGCGCCATCTATTATCGCCAGTACAAACTATTGAATACGCACCGGCATCCTCAGGGAATATCTCGGCGATGCTCAGCTTGTGTATGTTTGCTTCGCTCGAATATTGGAAGTCCTTGGATGGTTTGATTTCTTTGTTATTATGCAGCCATACAACGTCGAAACGCTCTGCTCCAGTAATCCTGTAAACATAGTATACTATAGCGCCATCTGTTGATTAATTTATAAGGTAATAAACTAAGAGATGCTAATGAATATAATAATGACAAATTGAAAGTAAGATTAATTGAACACGAAATATATATATATATTATGAGATTTTAGATAGTAGTGTTTCACTTTTCATAACACAACACAATTAATAATATGTTTATAACGTTGGCGTTCCAGTATAGATAGTAATATGACATTAAATTATAAATATTATTCTTGTGTATACACTTTCGTATCTTTTAATTTTTTATTGTAAAAGTAAGATATTTGTAACTATATAATTAAATAATAAGAGTCATTGCCAAAATAAAATAAAAAAACCCAATAAGTATTTAAGTAGGAAGTTAACTATTTTGATACTTTTTATGAGATATTTTCTGACCATTAACTTTTCATGAATGAATAAAAATTATAGTAAATAAATAAAAGTAGTAAATAGTAAAAAAATAAAAAATAAGTAATAATCAAAATTACACAGAGAAGAATATACGACAATTATCTTTTTGTAGAATAACACGTAAAATTTCACGATTTCGAAACATATTTTTTCTCTGCGCACTGGATTTGCTTGAAGATAAAATTTAATACTTGCAGAGTTAAACTTTATTTTTGTATATCTTTTCTACAAATTATAGCCTAAAGTATACTGTGTGAATGTGTGTATGGGTGTGCATCAGAGTATAAACAAATAATGTACCTGCAAGAGAGCGTGACAGCATCACCGTCATTGACTATCTGTGATTTGGCGTGGTCCACGATTCTGGGCGGCTTGTCACCCAATTTGAGGGAGCCGCTCGTCACGTTGTTCTCCATTGCTGTAATGACAAAACTGCATTAAAATCAGTTTATCACTTTTATTATAATGACGTCACGAACATTACCTTGAGTATTTTTTTTTTAAAAACCTATTCATTTCATTCTTTTACACAAAGTTAAAGTGTTAATAAATTACAATTATTTTCTTTATCTTTACTTGTTACTTGAATGGGCCAATAGCCCGAAATACATATATGTGCTTTAATGACAAATAGAAAACTTGTGAACAAATATTGTTTGTGGGGACTGGTCTGTTCAGTTTATGGCCACTGATTAGACTATTTGCTTTTAACAAAATTACAGTGGCATATGCTGGTGGTCACTCTATTCTACCTAATTTGAATTTAAAAATTAATCTGAAGTTTTGTACAAGTTCATTTGAAAAAAATAAGAGCTTGAGCTTTTCTTAGTTCTTCGCGGTTCTGAACTGTCGCCATATGTGCCGTCGACAAGTCTGTAATAGACCTATATGAATAAAGTTATTCTAATTTGATTTGAATTAAATCTTGTCCAAACAAATAGCATAGAAATAAGTTACTTACCTTTAACACTGACTTTGCATTTGGTCTCCACCTCACCCTGGCTGTTGATAGCCTTCAGTGAGTATACACCTTCGTCTTCGGGGAACACTTCGCTGATGGCTAGCGAAGCCACGCCGTTTTTGTATTTTAGGTCCACAACCTATACGAGAATTTACAAATTAATATCTTAAAAAATATTAATACGTAAAAATTTCGTGTTGTTTGTCCGCGTTGGAATCCTAACCTACTGAACCAAATTTGATGGAGTTTTATATGTATACTCAGTAGGTTGTTATTTATTTTAAATACTCCTAAGTGATAAGGGAGGCCCAACGAAAGGGGTTGTGAGTAGTGTGATTAGTTCATATACTCCATCGCTAGCAACGTACCACGTCAGGTTGATCTCCACGCGGTTTCCCCTGGAAACCGTCGTGATAAATTCTAATAGAGCACCTGACCTGACTTCATTCTCATCGTATCACCCTTTAGTGGTGTCCCACCAACGTAATCCTTTAGCGCAGGTGGGTGCACCATTCCATAATTATCCATTAAAAAAACTATTATATGTATTATGTGTGCTCATAGTATGAAGAATAATATCTGTAATAATAAACACTAGCTAAACAGCTAGTGTTATTATTTGTCCGTTTCTCCGCTTACTACTTCTAAATCACGCAACAGATTTTGATACGGTTTCATTATCTTTTTGATAGTTTTGGAACGTTCACAGTTATATGATCAATACAGACATGTACAAATGTTACCTCGGAGGAGTTGAGCGGTTTTCCATCCTTGTACCACTGCACGCGCGGGTCGGGGTCGGCCCGCACTGCGCATGACAGTAGCAGGGGCGCCCCGTCACGTGCTACTAGCGTGTCTGGTAGTGCGCGCGCGAACGTTGGCACGCTCATCTGCGCGTCCGATGCTGGCACTGGACATAGATAAAAAAAATATAGCAAAATAATTATTTCTTCATAGCATATATTTAATAACTAGAGCATACCTGGGTGGAGGTAAATACCATGTTCCCAAAATCAATACTAAAATAGTTACCTTAATATTTAATTTTCTAATAAGATCTAATTGGAAAATATAATTTCTATTACTATTATAGTAATAGAAATTATATTTTTCAATGTGAAGAAGTGAAGAAAAATATAAGAATTATAAGTATAAGTAAATTAATAATAGAGAAAGAATAAAATAATATAAAAATATAAGAATAAGTAATAACGTGTAGTTATGAAAACTGAAACATTTAATTAAGTATATATATCCTGTCTATTATTCATAGCACAATCCGCCGCACACCGCTTTACTTCCTATAGTCGCGGGTTCGATTTCTTGCACGTTGTACGGAGGCATAAAGTTTTACTTATTCAATACTAGATGGCGCTATGCAATAAATTATCACTCACAGACTAATTCCTTGGTGGCACTCCTCGACCTGGACGATGTGTCTGATTCTAACTTGGCCCCATACTTCTTCTTGCTAGGTTCCACAGAGGTCTGCGGAGAGAACTTGGGTCTTGGGCCGGCTGTGTGCGTTTTAGGTGGCGGGTCTATTGTCACCTAGATTTAAGAAAAAGAAATTCAGTGTTAAACTAGTGAATTTGTGTTAATACATACCCTGGACCCAGATGACGGCGCACTGAAAAACGCTAAGAAACTCGGACTCGAAGTATCAAACGTATTGTGAATAGATTGAAAATTACGCGTGGAAGCGCGAGGTTGTGGCCTCGCGCTTTCAGGCGAGATTTTCCCTAACAAAATAATTTATGATTACAAATCTATATAAACATACCTTTGTCTTAGTGATAATAGCGGGTGGTGCAGGTTTGATGGGTTTCTCGATATACCGCCGATCGCCTGAGTACAGGAAGTTGTGCGCAAGCGCAGCCTGCTCCGGTGACACCACTTCGCCTGTGAAAATGAACCATATTGTTAAACATATAGAGATAATTATTCGGTAACGGAAATTAAATAAACTTATACATTTTCAACGATACAGAAGAGGTAAAGCGAAGACTATGATTTAAAGACAGTGCTGAACATAAACGAGGAATGTTCTTAAGTGTTTAAAATTCAGAGCGCAATACTAGTGCGAGTACACTTTGCAATAGTTTGTAAAGCCGGTATAAACCCGTTTGCATCTACTTATTATTATTAACTTAAAATGTTTTGAACGGTCTTCAAATATTTTCACAAACCTTTGAAGCTATATATACTACATTACAAAAAAATAGTAAATATTGTAAAGGCGTACGTACCCTCGACGATGACGACGCACGAGGTCTCGTCGGTGCCGTGCACGTTGGTTGCGATGCAGGTGTACTTGCCGCTGTCCTCCGGCCGGCAGTCCACGATCTCCATGGTCACCACGCCGTCAGAGTGTGTCATCGAGTAGTCATACTTCGACAGCTCCTTCTTATCTTTGTACCTGTTAATTCATTAATGTTGTTTTACTTTCTTTGGAATGGCAAACAAGCTCACGATCCGGTTCACGAGTGTAAGTGGTAATGGTCATCTGTATAATAGCACTATGGACATCACGTTATCATAACAATACACATGCCTTATCATTTCAGAGGACTAAGAGGTCATGTCTTTCCTTCTTTAATTTCACTATCTAATCTATTTCTACAACTAAAACACATCTTATGGAGTCCTATTAGCACTGCGGTTATCATGCGCCCGTTGTCATCGCTGAGGACTAAGCTAAGATCTTTATACCCTGTAATTTCACTGTCACATCACTTTACAAATTGAAACTACAAGAACATCATGTGATTACGTGATGAAAGGGTATTGGGAGCGAGTGCAGTTGGCACTCTAAATCCGTGGAAGAACTTATGGAAAAGCTGAGGACCAACTTCCACCTGCCTGATGCGATTTCTTACCGATAAGGGTTCAAACGTAATTTTGGTCCCCTTTGAATTCGGATCGATCCGATCGTATATATTGGACGGGGAATAGATTGATGATGTGTGAGTGTCTATGTAAGTATTGGACGGGAATCGATTGGAGGTGTTGGTTCGTGTGTATGTACCATTTGACGGTAGGCGTGGGCTTCCCGCTGAGGCAGCAGAGCAGCTTGCAGGTGTCCCGCGCCTGCATGACGCGCGGCCGCAGCTGGAACGTGAACACGGGCGCCGTCTCGCTGGACTCCTGCCAGAACGTGTACGGCAGCGGCTCGCGACGGCGCGGCGCCTCCGACAGGTGCTGTCGTTGAACTTTAGGCACCGCTGTCGATAACCATACAGACACAATTATACAAATATCCATGCAATATATAATAATTTAGGATTCAAAATTCTTTATTTGGAAAACCTGTGTGATAACATGACTAGCCTAAATGGCGTACAAAGTATTTAAATGCTATAAAAACAAATTAATTTAAATTGAAATATAAAAAAAAAAGAACGATGTCGTAATAATTTGAAAGTCACGATATAGGTATTTACCAAATGAGCGAGTGTGAGACCACAAACATTCAGTGCGGAAACCTGACCGCTACAGGAAGCGTTACGACCTTCTCTATTGGTATTCAAAACAACATTTATATGTGTATAGTTACAACCTCCGTTACATATTTAGGACGAGTGAATCCATAGTAGTATATAGTACGTAATATTATATTATCTGTGGTATATAGTAACGTACTATAATAAATCCTTAAAAATTAAACTATTGAAATTTATAATACAAATTACAAGTCGTCTATCTAGCGATTTTTCTCTAGTATAAATCCTTTCTTATTTCTATTATTCGAAGCTTGTTCTTCTTAGAAACTATCCTCGTTAACTCCTAATGTATTTGCATGATCAGCTAACTGACAAGACGTCATATTCATCCTATCATCCTCCACTGAGACCGCCAGCGAATATGAAAATTAAATGTGTGAATACAACACATTTCAACTTAAAAATGTAAAGTTACAACAATTATTCAAAAGAACAACACGCAAGTTTCTTGTTCGTTCTTGTAATGAGACATCTTTCCGAATGGTCGGTAGATGAAATAAAAAATAACTATGACAATTCAAAAGTGATTAATTTTAAGTTTATTTTAATAAGTGATTTCTATTCTTATCTATTCTAATATCATTAGCATTATATATAGTAGTCATATGCACCGTTTCATTATCAACCAAAACAATGAACTATAAAACATGATTTTCAACATTAATAAATACCTCAAATAAGACACAAATTTCCTTACACTGCAACACTATATATACATATATAATTAAGCAACTTTATACTTTATCTAATAAAAAAGCGGTATGTATCGACGGTCGAAGGCGAAATAACAATGCACCGAACAGATCGGTACGTGCCAACGAACGCACCGTCGTACGAGAATAGAAAACGCATTCGTGACCCAATTATCTAATTAATTTGTAACGTGAGATCGAAATACTAATTAAATATATATAACACTATGATACGCGACTTTCTCTGATTTTTATATAAAGGATAGTCTATTTTCGTGCTCGTGATACTGTGTATGTATATCTTCACGTCATATTTCAAATGATTCAAATAGATCTTATTATAACATTGGGTTAACATTAACATATTTATTCTCACTTAATATGAGAACTAAAAATGTAAACTTATACAAAATTAAATATCAGTGTATTAGTTAATATGACGTTAAGATGTGATTGTTTGATGTGAAGATAAGATCTATCTATTACATTTTTATGACTAAAACACTTTTGTTTTTATAATATTAGTAAGGACGTTAGCTTATTAACGCTGCTATACCTGTGTTATTCTGTTATACTATTTCCATTGTTTTTTTTTGTGTATGACTGCTACACCTCGTTAGTAGAATAGTAAACTTTTTTATCGAACTGTAGTTGAAATGCTGTTTACCGCTGCGGGCCTTCACAGTTAAATCAGGCGAATGAGTGGTACCTAAACTTGCGATATCTGAGATCTAAATTAATAATTGTTATCGCGACATGATAATGTCAGGTGTAGGTATGAATTAATTTAGAATAGTTGGTGCATTTATAATGATGCACTACATTTAATTTGTAAAGGTCACTGTACACACTGCATTCGTCTAATTTATTCCCCGTCAGTCCTGTACGATGAGATAATTTACTATGTTATTTATATCGGACGAAAGATGTTATCTTGTTGTACATTACTATTAATAATGTAGAATTATTTAAATTCAATATTAATAATTTTATCCCTGGACATTTTAGTAATTGGTTTTATTGTGGTCCAATATTGGTTGTATTATAATTTACCTGTAGACCGCTAGTATTAAAATATGGCGCATGGTTTTAAAGTAAACGGTGAAATAGATGACGATTTGTTTTTTTTTTGTGATATATATCTATTGTATACTACGTACCTATTTTTTTTGTGGTATATTGTAATATACTCCTACTGCCTTGTATAGAGTTGGCCACATTATTACTTTATATTAGATCATTACATACTTACAAAACAGCACTTAAAATTTGTGGTCTCATACATGCTCATGGTAGCAGAATTAAAAAAATAGTAATTCATTCGGTATGACATTTTAATTTATATTAATATTTAGTTTATTTTATCTTACTTAATAATTATGTATGTAGTTTACAATATACATATGTAGTTCATGTAAGTGTCTACACCTATTTTATATATGATTATTATTATTTACATAGATTTTAATTCATATTATACTTATTATTTATTTTTCTTCTTTTGTTATTTTTTACTTTTCTCCTGGTTGCATATTACCTACCTGTCAATATTTAAATCCTTATGATTGCCATGAAAAGATTGCTTTCAGCAATATTGTAACTATACATGTTTTCTTTAATATATTGTAAGACTTATGTTTTCTATTTACTGTAAGTGCAACATACAGTCAAACACAGTATATTGTATTTATCTAATTGGATAAAATATATGTAATACTTACGTTGTACGTTGAGGAAGACGACCTCTTCCCTGAATCCGTAGTGGTTCTCCGCCCTGATGATGTACTCGCCGCGATCCTCCAGCTTCGCGCGGTTTATTATGAAGTAATAATCGTCGCCAGCGTATCTGTACGTAACGTTATATATATATATACTTTGTATACATTACACTGTAAATTAATTGGCTTTCTTTTTTAAAAAAAAAAGACAAAATTTAATTGACAACTAACAATTAACGAACATATTACAATTATTAATTAATACACACATTTCTCTTAAAGCTTGTTACAAAGGCGTCGCGTATTATCAAAATGCGTTCAGTAGTTTTTGCTGAAAAGAGGAACAAAGATCCATACAATGAACGTTTTTAGTGTTTATAATATTAGTAGGATAATATAATGCTTGTAATTAGTCCTTCCATGAAACAATAAATGTTTCACACATGTATGCTTCTTAATCTGTTAATGTTAGCAATAAAGGTTTATCTATGTATGTACCTCTTCATGAACTTGACGGATTGTCTGAGCTCGTGGTTGTTCCTGGACCAGGTGAGCGTGGGCGCGGCCACCGCGATGACGCGGCAGTACAGCTTCACGGACTGGCCCTCGTAGCAGAACGCGGACTGCGGCTTGATCACGAACCGGGGCGCAGCTTGGCGACGGTCTGTAATCAATCAACTCGGTTTATCTCCAACGACTTTAATCTTATATATAAAATTCTCGTGTCACAATGTTAGTTACCATACTCCTGTGAAATCGATGGACCGATTTTTATGAAATTTTATATGCCTATTCAGTAGGTCTGAAAATCGGCTCATTCGGCTAAATGATAAGGGTCGTCGAATTAATAATTTTCGAAAATAAAGTTAGTTAATTACTAATTAACTCAATCGAAAGTAAAGCGGGGTGCTAAACCGCTAGATCATCACGGCTGTCAAATAATACAACTCACCGAACTGTCCATCGTAGATCTTCCATTTCTCGATGAGTAGTTTGCGCAGCGAACTGTACTCGCTTAGCCTGCCGATCGGTAGCACGAACGACGACCAGTTCTAAACACGACAATAATAATTGTGAGGACAAAATGCAAAAAGACGATAAATTTGCGATCTGCACATCTACCGTACTTGAAAATAGATTTTATTAAAAGAAAAAGAAGAAAAGTATTTTACTAAATGACATTTTATTGAAAGAAAGATGCTTTTTGCAATCGGAAAATAAAAAAAATCTGTCATATATATACAATAATATACATATCCTATATGCAAGATACGATACGAATATCGGAGGGATCAGCAAAACCGGATATTACTTCATGAAATCAAACATACCAACTTTTTATAATATTACTGTAGATACATAACTATACTAATATTATAAAGATAGATATATATATATATATATATATATATATATATATATATATATATATATGTGTGTGCGCGTGCGCGTGCGCGTGCGTACGTACGTCGTATCTGCGCCGCAGCCGGTCCCTGAGCGCGAGGTAGCGGCGCGCCTCGATGGTGGCGGTGCGCCCGGCGGCGCCGTCGCCCGCCAGCCACTTGTGCGCCAGGCACTCGTGCGCCGTCAGACGCTTCCTGCCGAACACCACCACGACTCAGTCTCCTTCTCGATGTTCATACACTCACATACCAATACCACTCGTTTACGATGATAATCAATGGTTTTTAAATAATTTAATTTCGAATGCATCGAAAAGAAATGGACGACCATCTCTTTTTTAATGATGGAACGGGGAAAGATTCTTATACGCATATATAAAACACATATAATTGTTTTTCTTTTTAAATTATTTTCTAATAGTATGTAAGAAAATTTCAGAAAATTAAAAGACGTCATCGGATTTGCTTATGAACATATAGATATCATATAATAAGTAACTATAATAAGTAAGTAACTATAATAAAAAATACAGTGTGACAGAGAGACAAGATTAAAGTTACTCACAGTAACTTTAACTGTAGGCAAACAATGACATAATATAGCAGTTACACTTGGTGCAATAGTTGGTAAATTTTGAAAGGTATATAATATAGCGTATGACGCTATCGACGATACAAATTAATACACCAAAATTATTGCAAATACTAGTATTATTTGAATCTAATCAAACTTAATTTTAATATAATGAATGTTTACTAACTCCTTATTTTTGACGAGTAGCCTCCTAATGAAGTCTTTGGCGTCGTCTGACACGTGTTGGAATGCCTCATCATCGAATTCCCAGTCGCATGCTTTCACATTCTTCAATGTTTCTATATCATTATTTCCAGCGAACGGTGACAGTCCTGACAACCTGAGAAACAACAGTATTTTTAATTGCTAGTTCTTAGAAACAAAAGGAAAAATAAATGAATGATCCTATAATACTATATATATGATGCGTTGAAGTAACTTAGTGACATGTAAAATAAAATAAAAACATTGGTCCCAATAACAAACCTTGTGTAACGACTACCATTATATTAAAATAACACAGACATGTCCATTTGATATCTATGTTATTTAGAATAAAGTAATTTAAACTAATTTCCTTTACTAATAATTTTGTTTAATAATTTACGAAGATTTTTGAATTGGCATCATTAAAAAGATCAAGAAAATTAAAATTATAATGACAACAACACTTATTAAGAAAATTCACAAGCACATATATGTATATCAACAGAAAACTTTAAGAACGCAGTAGTATTGAAGCAAAATTATCATTTTCTATTTTTTTCCTAGGTAAATTGTATTTAGATTTATAGAAGGCTTATGATTGAGTGAACGTTAATATGATTTTAATAACGAAGACTTACAATACGTAGGCGAGTACTCCAACAGCCCACATGTCTGTGTAGAAACCAACCGGTTCCCGCTCCACAATCTCTGGCGCCGCGAACTCCGCTGTACCCGTCGATATCTTCACTACCTCGTTCGGGTCTAATTTTGTAGCTAGGCCGAAGTCAATGATCTAAACATAAGAAGAAAAAGCTTTAAGATCATGCTCTTTACAATTAGTTTACAATTTATTTGGATCCATACTTTTCTGGTCGAGTGGTACAGCATGCCGCGTTACTCACTATGGTTGCGGGTTCCATTCCTCGCACGATACAAACATTTGTATTCATAAGTATGATTGTTTGTATCATGTATATAATGATGTTTTTGCAAGAAAAAAAAACATCTAAGTATTTGTATCAGTTGTCTAGTACCCACAACAAGCTCTACTTAGTTTGAGACTAGATGAAGCTGTGTGAATTGTCCGGGCTTATTATTATTATTTTGATAATATGATTCACCATGATACACCATTAAGTACCAGATATTTCCATTTCGGTTATAAGTTGACCAATCAATTCCAGTCTTTTTTCAAGTACCACAAAATAAGATCACTAAAATCTTCTTACCTTAACATCAGTGCCGGTTCTAGTCTGGCACATGACATTCTCCGGCTTCAGGTCCAGGTGGATGATGTTCTGTTCGTGCATGTGGCGGACTCCCTCGCAGATCTGTCGCATGTAGTGCGCGGCCTCTGCTTCGCTCATGTTGTAGCCCGGCTCTGTGATGCGCTCGAACAGTTCACCTCCAGATAAGCTGAAGAATAGAGAATTTATGAATATATGAAGAAAATTACATATATATATATCTCAGAAGAGAATAAGTATATAAAAAATTATGATTTTTTTCACCGCGGTAGACTTTTGTACAAAGGCGCCAGCTTAGGTCCTAATTGTAAATAAAATGTTAGTCCTTCAGAAGGGCAATGCGTGAATGGCACTATGGGAATCATATGGTAAAGTGGTTGTCGTGGAGCTGCTCAGCTGCACATGTATTTTATATACATCGAGATACGTATCAATCATAATAAAATGTTGTACCAAAAATATAAAAAAATGTTGTTATTTTTAGTACTTGTGTACTTGTAAATTTTTAGTATAGTTTTGAATCACGTAAGCTTTCCTCAACTAAATTTATCTACAAATAATGCCCTGTGTTTTCTACCCAAATGGTAGAAATTAAAAACTATCGAAGTCCAATATAACGTCGGAAAAGAACAAAAGAATCTGCAATGGGAATAGTATTTACGGACGGCAAAGTGCACGTGACACCTCAGATTTTTCAGGCGGTCATAGGCTTCGGTAACTGTTTACCATCATATAGGCCAAATGCTTGTTTGCCACCATCGCAGTATATAAAAAATATACTAATACTCACAATTCGAATATAAGCACCATTTCATCATCATCTTCGAATGCATCGTGTAAATTGATTAGCTTCCTATGGTGCAGTTGGTTCATTATGTCTATCTCCTTCTTAATGAGCTCCTTCTCCATTGCTCCCGTCACCGGGATGAATTTAGCCGCGAAGTAGTTGCCAGTGCTTCTCTCGCGGCAACGATGGACCACGCCAAATGCGCCTGTGCCTACAACAGTGTACTTACATCACGCTTCGGTTTTAGATCTTATGCCGCTTGCTACAAGTCTAGAATGGGTCGTGAGATTATAGAAGTTAGGTATTATACTATTGTCATTGTTGGTTTTATATTAACAAAAATATTATATTTTATATTTCTTCTCTTCTGTAATTTTGAAGTTGCTTTTGTAATTCATAACAAAATCCTTTCTCTTTGTAATATGAATACAGATATTATTATGCGTATTTCCAACAATTCAGCATAATAACCATAATCCATTATGCGAAATGCTTCTATAATCTCACGAAGTAATTTTTCATCACTCATCTATGTTTAGTACAGTCGAGATCAAAAGTGTTTCAACAATTATAATTTACTATGTCGTGACGTACATAAATACATACATAACTAATCAGATATTTTAATTACATGGTGTAAACAAGGGTATTTATAACAAAACATGAAATTAGAAAACTTGAGAGAACTCTACTCTTTTTTTTTACTATACCGATTACATGACGTTATGAGGCAATTTGTATCTATTTTTATACCGTGATTTCAGAAAATAAATCTTTATATTTCTTTTCTGAAACTTGTATTGTGTAACTTTACATAATATCAATTAATATTTGTTATAGTCTACTATCACTGGTTTTATGTGTTTCGAGGTGGACATGAATGAAATATCTGACTTCAATCTAATTCAATTCCATTTCAATTCAAAAATCATTTATTCATGCAGGGCATTTTAGAAGCTCGTAAAATTTTTTATATTATATTTTTTCCCCACCGTCCAGTTCAGCATAGGTATGTATATAATCTTCAGTCATTTACTTCGATTAATACGTGATTTACATGTCCCATATATTTTCACAAACTATAATAATTTGATATCCGATCCGATCGTTAGTGTTATAGGCCAACATATGTTGTGTATTGCGGCATATGATTATATACCACATTGGTTAAAACCTATATAAAATTTTATAACTTGATATATAGTAGAAATACTTTTGATCCGACTGCTAGTGCCAATCAAATGTAACTAGGAAGACGCGCATTCCCGTTAAAATATTGTCTTATGACATACATATAAAAGATTAAGCTAAAAAACCGTGCACTCGTACTACTGTATAAAATACATTATTTATCAAAAAAGTAATAATATACTGAAAAATATAAAATACAATGGTGCTTATTATGAAATCTATAACTTGTCTTGTTCAGGATAATGGCAAAAGTATTATTCGGTTTGTTTATATATTTCATAAGGACAGTATATATTTCAATATTTACGATAAAAAAAAATACGTATAAAAATATCAGTAAATTTTTTTCATTGAAGTTACAAGTAGTGTGGATATAAAAAAGAAGTTATAGATTTTTTTTACACCATAAATCTCTATTTATAATAAATAATAATATTTTTTTATATAATATTACATGCGTATACCTAAATATTTATAATACATATGTACGTATAATAAAATATAGAGTATGCGTGTGAGACAGAGAGATGCAGAAAGAGATGCACTACATCGATCTATTCACACACAGACCTCCGGCACGTTTCCTTTTAGACGACGCTCTCACGAAGTCACCTGCGAAATTGATTACTATATACCAAGATTTACAGTTCAAAATCGACTACAGTTAGTATTGTACTATGTTAATCAAAAACTCTAGTAAAACGTGTGTTGATTGTATAAAAAATAAATATAAAACAGAAATGATACTGTATAAATACATACAGATGACCACAGAAGTTTGTAAATGTATCCAACTCCATTGTATTAAGGTCAATATTCAATTAAAATTTAATGTGTACAAAACTTTTATTGCCGACTGTATGTATGTTCTGTGTATTAAATTGAAATTACTATTTAAAATATTATGTTCTTAGTTATAGAATATTCATTTAGTGTCTTTATATTCGATTACCTGTTTTATTTCCATAAAAAATAAGTATCATTCCTGTATCACAATTTCCCAAGCAACTTCGTGATTCATATTTACTACTCTCAACTGACATGCCGATAAGTTGTTTATATTATATTTTTATTATTAATTTATTTTTATACTATTAAAAATGTTTTATTAAATACTAAAATAAAGTTAGTCAGTTAAAGTTTGCGTTAGTACTGTTATATATTATTAATATAGTTAGTAGGGTTTTAACATGAATCTTTTCATTGCTAATATTAAATATATTTCAAGTAATTTGGTCCAGAGCTGACTGAAGCGAAGATATTCGCTTCAGTTAAGAAGCGAATATTTTAACTATACTGATATTAAAAAGCAGAACAGTTTGTATAGTTGAATATGCTTATTACCAGGAACTATTTATTCCAATAAAAAAAACTCATTCGTTACATAGTCAGCTATAGGCTATATAACATTACGCTACGGTCATGAATAATATTCCAAACAGAAGGAAAATTTTGCGCAGACGAAATTGTAGGGGTCTGCTCATTTATTATAAAAATATTCATGTTAGGACCCACTTCTTAACATACATTATAATTTTATAATTAATACGGATAAGCGACAAAATATAATTAAACATAAATAGTTAGTACATACCTTTACATTAGTTTCAAACTTTGTATAGCATGAAAATGGTATCATAAGATAAGTAAAATAAAGAAAGTTGAGTAATTAAAACATCAAATAATACACTTTATATTACTCTTAATATTTAATTAATAAATCAGTATTAACTAAATATTATGGAAAGGGACAACGAAAAAAAGATGAATGGATTGTGGGAAAGAAGATATGCATAAACAGAGAGCAAGGTCAGATGGCTGCTGATGGTGGTGAGGTGAGTAGAAGTAGATGAGTTACGGCGCTGACTCAAAATAATAGGATATAGACAAGGCAGTGGAAATTATGAGTATCAATAAAGTGTTTAATTTTATTTAATTAAAGCACTCATCAAAATCGAACATTCCATGCGGTTCATATTTATAATTGCATTACAGATAGTCACGTGTATATCGGAAACATTGTCTTAATAATGTTATTGGCATCTTCCCCGATCATTTTTATTTTTATATATTAATAGATGTAGCTATTATAATAAGCGTTTAAAATTAAGTAATTTCCAATATTATAGAACAAGAACAAAATTTTATTATCTATGTATGTACTACAAACAGATAATGAAAATTTCTTCTTTTTGTTTTTAGAAGGAACAATTTGAATATTTTAGTTAATAAAATATTATAATTTTTATAAAATATTTCTTTACTAATGAGTATATTAATTATAAATAGATCTTAAATCAGTGCAAATAAAGACGAATTTCGTAGCGTTCTGGCTTCAAAACGACTGACTTTGTACGGTTTTCAACCTTATTCTATATTTTTTAAATCACCGCCAAATTTAACTATCAGCATACTAAATGCAAATAACAAGGAAAGCAATGGACACTCACCAATCTCCTCGAGTATATCATATTTATCGTAGACGGAGCACGTGTTAATGTCCACTGGCTGGGGCACATATTTACTGTAGATGTCAAACACGTAACTATCGTAGTCCTTGACTGGACCGTGGTCTGCGTTGGAGCGGATGCGTTTGCCGGTTTCGTCCACTGTGAATATTATAGGATAATTAATATCATAATAGGTACATACACTCAGATTCAGTATATGAAACTAATTCTTAGCATTCCATGGATTCAGCGTGCGGGTCCATCGTGTGGCAGAGGGGGAAACTCCGAGCAGTTCCCGGGACTTGTGACTCAGGTGTAGGTTTAAGGGGCCTCTTATTGTTTAAAGATCTATTACGAAGCATTCTTTTGAATCGTTCTAGTACGTGAATTTAACGATATAACGCAATAACTGTACAATGTCTTGAAAAATGTAAAAAGGGAATATCGACTGAAAATGAAATACAGCAATATATTGTTTTCAGTTTAGATTCAGTTTTCAAGTAGAATAATCATAATCTGTGAATAAATATAATGTATATATGTTCGTAACTTCTGGTACAAACAAACTTTTCCTTTGTATCACAATAAATTTTAACAGTACCATGGACATGACAGAATATCTACATTAATACGCATGAATGCTTATGAATTTCTATTCTTTAGAACAGACTGCTACAAAGGACGCGCGAGCGACGTGGACTGACCTAATTTGACTCTTCCAGCAATACAAAAAAGGTTGCCTTTTTTTCGGCCCTATTTTTCATCTCTCTATATAGTGTCTCTATTACCATTTGATGTCACTTCGTAAATATTTGAACACTAAATATTAATAAATAAAGTACATTTTTGTTAAACGAACTATGTTTGTTACACAACTAAAACCATGAATAAAATTTCACATTTAAAAAAGTTGTAGTTATAGACAGTTAATATACCAAATTCTAATTTCAGTACCAATTTTCTACGTACCTGGGTATTCCTTCTTCTTGAATTCCTTCTTGACGACCGCCTTGGTCTGCACCAGAGACGTAGTGTCGCTAGGATCTGATCGACCGTAGATGTTCTCAGCGTATACTCGGAACTCGTATTGCTTGCCTGGTACCAGACCAGTGATCGCCATTGTAGTAAACCTGCACATCAAAATTACTAGTGTGAGATTGTATTTTATCTAAAGCCGGAGAAGTTAAATATAAAAAAAAATAAGACTGATAATGACTAAGAATGACTATTCAAAATATTAAATTTATTTAAATAAAGATTATTTCTACTGATTCTAAAGATTACGTTACCTGGTGTTGCCAACTCTTATCCAGCTGGACATGGGGTGTTCCCTCTTTTCCACCAGGTAGTTGGTGATGTCTGAGCCGCCGTCCCACACGGGCGCCTTCCAGCTCAGTGCCAGCGAGTCCACGCCGATGTTGTCCGCAGCTGGGAACCGCGGTGGGTCCGGACGGTCTGCAATATTAATGTTATTTATATATAACTTATACTGCCCTTGACTTCGTGTACTTATATATTTCTAGATCGTCATCTGTTATGTGATTAATACTTTATTCTTTCACGGAAAAGCCGGTGGAGGCAATGGTGAGTCAATGCATTTAACAATTTTTTCTGTTAGCTCTTTCGCATGATGCGCGTTCATTCATATCATTTCACTTTTTTTAATATTACATTTTTTATTCCAAAATCACGTTAAAGATTTATAAATTACCTACCTACCTACCTAACTACCCACCCCGATTTCGCAAGGGTGTACATGTATTATACATACAGACCTTCCTATTGGAGTGCTTTAAAAGCCGTTGCATAGTTTAAAAGATCTAAGCCAACAGACAGCGGAAACGACTCCATTTTATACTATGTGAAGGTTAAGAACTCTATAATTATGTTTTTGCTCGTCGTTATATGTTGTCACACTTTGTCGAACCCTCCCCTTGTGACATAATTTATGGTCATATAAAAATTGCACTTACCGCTGATTTCAATATTGATGATGGCAGAGTCCTGTCCCAGCTCGTTCTCGGCCGTGATCCTATAAGGTCCAGAGTCCAGCTTGCTGGCGTCACGGATGGTCAGTATCGCATGACGTTCTGAAATAATAAAAAAAAAAGATATATTATAATGACTCTAATATTATTTTTTTAACCACCGCCGCTACAATTTATTCAAGAATGAAGTATAGCCTTGTAGCCTAGTGGATTATAACCTGACTTAGAACCAAAAATCGCAAGTCCAAGTTAATGCATATTTCATTAACCTGTGTATACAAGTATAGCTTCAGTATATGACAGAAATATGTAGATTTCATGTGTTGCGTCGATATTTCACAATACTGAATATCCCATCTAGGATAACAGCCGTGAAGATTTATTATTACGAGTGAGATTTCTTCTTCAAAATTTCAACAGCCTCACCTTTTCTTTCAACGTGGTAGTGTAGACCAGACTCGATGGTCTCTCCTTCCCTGACCCACGTGATCTTGGGCACCGGGTGGCCAGTGAACGGTATCTTTACCACCACATTCTCGCCCTTGTCGAAGTATGCCGTCACACGGAAGCGCGGTGGTACGTTCAGTTTCGGTGCGGCTGGAAATTGTCATAATAAACATAAACTAATGTCGTCAAATAAAACACATTGATTATAAAAAAAATTAAATTTGTAGAGAAATAGACTTTAATACTAAATATTTAAAATCGAATTTCCAAAAATAATATTATTCCGTTAATGTTTTTATTTATAAAACATACAATATGTACTAATATTTCATAAGCAATAATATTTCAAAAAATGTATGTAGTAATAATTTATTGACAGAGAAACTGCAGAATGTTTTCAGGTATCTATGGTATGTGTGTAAAAACCACTGCAAATTGAATCCAAAACGTTATTATATAACGAGGCTGAGTTTATAAAAAGTCGTCTTCGTATCTCTGTCTTAACTATTTCAGAAGCCATGCAGCCTGCTTTGTAAGCTATTTCAGTTGAAGGGTATAGCAATGAAGTTAAAGGATACGGGGATAACTTCTTATTCCTAATGTACCAAAAGCAGCAAATGATTTCCGTGGAGCTCTTTATAGATAATGTACTTAGATGATGGTTACCATTATGTGGAAAATCAGCTTGCTTGCCATTCCAATTATACATAACAAAATAATGATATATTCCAAACAAGCGAATTAAAACCTTATTAACATGTAATAAGACTCACTCATGATGAGCAACTCAGCTCGGGTGGACTTAACGCCGGCGCGGTTGACAGCGCGGCAGACGTATTCATCGGCGTCTTCACCGAACACGTCCATCACAGTAAGGAAATGGTTGTCACCCTCGCTCCAGATGCGGTGGCGTGGTCCGTTTGTTATTTCACGAGCACCTAAGGATATGAGATTGTACTTGGTTATACAATTTATTTTATTGTAAAAAAAATAAGCATTGCAATATATCGGCCTCGGCCTCTAGCGGTTTAGTACACCGTATTACTTCCGATGGTCTAATTTGATGAATTAAATCCGTGAAGTTCAATTACAACAAGTTATAGATATTGATAAAAATTGAAATCTATTGTTATTAAAATTTATGATTATTAAATTTCGATTTATAGTAAATTCTTGATCTTGTAAATTTTTAGACACCTAATATATAAAGATTATAACAAGATTGATAAAATTATGACTACAAATGTTTATTTAGATCTAGTTCTAAAATATTTTGTATTTTTCTTTTGAGTTATTTATAATTTCATAACAACTAGAAAATTTAAATTCAATGATATACAATTTTGTCAATAATATACAAGATTAATATATTTATATTACATTAGTACTCACCCTTGTACCAAGTGATAGTAGGTCTCGGTGACCCTGTGATGGTGCATTGGAACTTAGCGTTGTGGTACTGGATGCAGTTGGCATTCTTCAGTGGCTTCACAATCTCCGGTGGAGTAGCAGCTGAATAAAAACAAATAAATATAAATAATTATGTATATATGGTTTCATTGAGAATAGTTCCGAAATATAAATGGATAAGTTTTGGCTATGACGGCCAGATTTAAATCCACTTGTACCCTGACTATAATAAACAAAAAAAAAAGAGTCAATCAATCGATCGATCACAACTATAACTATGGTATACAATGGTGGCCCACCTGATATATGAAATAAATTTTGAATTAATCCACAATGTAATTTAATGTTTACTTTATAAAATAATGATGACGAAAGCATATTTACTTCCTTGTCATCATTATAACGTATAAAACATCCACTGGATGGTATATGGGTACCATTGCACATACATATAAATCTCCAATGTTTTAGATGTATATGCAATTCAATAACTATAGGTTCTAGGAGATAAGGATGAATTCCCTGTCAAGTCTAAAATATTAGGAATATCTTACCTTTGGGGTCGACGACCTTGACTTGTTGACTGGCGCTGCTGGGTGGTGAAAGACCAGCCTCGTTCTGCGCAGTAACGCGGAACTCATACTGGCGACCTTCGATCAGGTTGGAACAGTTAATTTGATTCGGCAGGCACAGGACCGCATTCACACGCTGCCATGTCGATGCACCCACTTCGCGTTTGTCTATCCAGTAACCTACAATAAAAATCAAGCTTTAAACCATATGTACACATTGAGCAATCATGGGCCAACATAATAGTTTTCGAAGTACTATAATGTGGATGGCCGTAGATGTGGTAAACGTCCCTTAACATAAATACCTTTATTTCTTTATATTTTATAAAAATTATATTACATTTTTTAACGAAGACTGGTCTAGAAGGCAGATTAAACTTTGGAAGGACTTATTAAACGGCTGAAGGCTCCTAACCTAGACAGAATAATATATAAAATCCTAGCCTGAAAAATAAGATTTTAGACTCACTGAGGGTGTCTACTTCTAAGCATTTGACCAAGGTTTAGGACATATCAATTACAATGCACATCTAAATGGGACAAGGGATCCATTTAATTGGCCAACATACGTCCAAATACCACACAGACATAGCATTTAATATTTTGAAGAAACATACCTTGTATTCTAGCACCTCCATCGTTCTCGGGTTTCTCCCATTCTAAGTGCACAAAATCGCCGCCAACTTCCAGAATCTTCGGAACTCCAGGCGCAGACGGAGGATCGAATGGTGCCTTGGCCTATACACAGAATAGATACAAAATTACAAAAGGTTATTGTAGATATTGCGTGTAAGTATAGTACGAAATCAAATAGGTCTAGATAAGTTTCTAGTTGCTTTTTGATTACATATATTTTTTGGATTCAATCTGCATTTCGAATGTGGCGATAGCATAAAACAATGATAGAACAGAGTACTATCTGGTCAGTATTATTGAGATTAAGACTTTTGTTTATGTTATAGATTAGTTGAATTGAGCTACCCTAGTTTGTTATATTATGTTCTTGAGAGAAAAGGATGCGGTTGAAAAATCGGCGCCGCACAGGAGTATCCTGCAGGTATACGGAGAACCGGGTTCTTTTGCCGTAATTAAGTGTCCATTAAATGTATTTTCTTTTATGTAATAAATAAATAAATTATATTTATTCATATTCCTCTATTTCTTTGAAATTGCTCACCCTAATCGGATTTGCACCCTCCAACGCCGGTCCGATGCCATTCTCATTAGCTGCATGTATCCTGAAGTTATATTCCTGTCCCTCCGTCAGTCCTTGGACTGTGAACCTGGTATCTCTCACTGATGATGCTATTGTAATCCAGGCAGTTCCTGACGTGTCATTACGCTCGATGACGTAATGAGTGACTGGTAAGCCGCCGTCGTAAGTTGGTGGTTTCCATGCCAGTGTGCACGAGTGACGGCTGATGTCTGTGGTCTCCAGAGGACCCTGGGGAGGTCCGGGCAGGCCAGTGACAGTGACGGAGAACGTATCGGATACTTCTCCGGAGTTGTTCTTGATCGTCAACTTGTATAAGCCTGTCGAATATAAAATATGTATTATTATTAAATTGGATTTATTGTCATTATTGTCCATATTTATATTATTATTAAACGAATAAATTATATCTAGAAAATTAATTGAAGAATATGTTTTCGCAATATACAATCTTGTATTACAAAACAAATTATTTAATTAGAATTAAATGATTTAATTAAAAAAATTATATTATAGTATTTTTACAATATCTTATTAATAATGGGTAAAAATACAACATTCTTCTTTGCCAACCCCCTGGCGAAAAGACGGTCTTTTGAAGATAATTACAGACAAAAAAAAATCCATAAAGGCGGAATCATGGGTAACAGCTAGTAATACACATGACAAAACTTACCCATATCATCCTTGCTGATGTCCTTAATAAATATGAGGATGTAGTCATCGAAGACGGTGTATTTGAGGTGTGGGGAGTCCACCAGCTTGTGGCCGTCCTTGGTGAGCGTGACGTCAGCGGGCTGGTCTCCCGTGTACAGGATCTTGATCTTGGTATTGTCATGCTCCGGCAGGTGGAGGTCTCCAGGCATGCGGGTGATACGCGGTGGGTCTGGAGTATACATTTGTTTTTATATAAAAAAATACATTTTGCGCTAAAATAGGTGGGCATTACACCCGTTAAGCAGCTTGCTTTGTATGTTGTGATCCAAAGCGTGGAATGGCAGTATATAAAGGCATGACATCTTATTTATCCAGAATGGCAACGCATGAGCGGAGTCGCGGGCACATACTAAGTTGTCCAAAACGCTGTTTATGTATATGCAATGCGACGGTTACCTATTGCCATTAGCTGATCAGTTTGTTTATCATTCTAATTACATACAAAAACAATGACAACATGTTTATAGTTACGAAAACTTTTCAAATGTTTTGTCGATAATGGTTGCTGTTAGTGAAATACTTTTGTTGTATTTTAACGCTGATATCCTTATTTAATTATACTAACTTCCAATCTTGAGATGTCCAATACAGTAGATGAAGCCGATATTGTTGACGGCTTCGCATGTGTAGTCACCATCGTCCGCATCCGTCGCCTCCAGGATGTTCAACTTCAGAGTGCCCTCGCGGGACTCCGCAATAAATCTGGAAATTATGATTATATAAGAGAGACAGTTTTTTTAGCATTCCATGAATTCATGGGAGCCGGGTCCAACTTATGGCAGAGAGGGAAACTCGGAGCAGTTCCCGAAACTTCTGACTTGGGTGTAGAATTAAGGGGTCTCCTTTGCAAACGTACGTCAACACTCACCACTTCACCGCTCGTGTTTCTCTCCCCGCCTAGCGATATCTGGTAAGACCCTGCTAGTTTCTAGTATAGAACTTACTGCATTTCTAGCAGGGCAAGATTTTTTAGAAGATTGCAGAGATATCGCTGGTATACCTCTCGCTCCCACTTGGACCGAACATAAAATACTAGATAGTGTACTAACCTGGTGCCAAGAACGATCTCGCGTCCGTTCTTCAGCCAGCGACCAGTCGGTATTGGGTTGCCGGTTGCCACGCACTCCAGAGTGAAGGGGCGACCGAGCGGCGCCGCCATGTGTGGAGGTAATGGTTTCACCCATTCCGGCTTCGTTCCTCCGATCTCCTCGCCGGTGCGGACCGGAGTCGTGCATGTGGACGGTTCGGATTTGCCTGTTGGGTAAACAAAACGGTTTTTCGTTGCAAATACCAAATTTAATTAACCAGAATTTGAAGTAATAATGTTGCAATAGTTGAATAGATATGGATAGCGATAGATAACCATAGCTGGCTACGCCCATGCCAATATACATTAATATCTATACCATGTGAGCTGTAGCATAGTGCGGTAGACAGTTTCATTAATGTTTCGTTTCACTCTTAAAAGTTACCGTGATTTACAAATTATGTTAAATAACTCCATTAACTTAAATGTAGCAATTGTTAAATGTAAAATTAGTAACTGTCACCCGCACCATGCTACAGCGCACACAGTATAGATCCCTTACACAAAGACCACTTTTTGTGTTTTCTCCTCTACCTAAAGGCTGTCTGGAAGAGATTGCATAAGCGATTAGGTCGCTTAATATTGATTTCTGTAGTTTATCTGTCGCAATAAAAAGTATGTAAATAAATAAAGTCGTTAAATAACGATCCAATTAATATCACATACCGGCAGAATTTACAGCGATGATACGGAACTCGTAGTCGGACTTCTCTCCGAGATTCATTGCCGTGAAGGTGGTATCTTGTACATTGTAGTCATTGCATTTAACCCAAACAGAACCGCCAACGTCTCGTCGCTCGATGATGTAGCCGGTAACGCGAGAACCTGTAAAGATACAATTTTTTTATTAAAGGCGCTTCGTCGGGATATCTTGGAGTTTTTAATGAGTAGAAGTCTCACAGTACCCGCTCGCCTTCGCCGGGACGGGCGGATCTATGGGACATTATGTCAAAGTAAAAAAGGGTTGTTATTATAAAGTAGGGATAGGATGTGTGTAGCGTACCTTACCTCCGTCGTGCACGTTCGGATCCCAGATAAGATTCGCGTAGTCCGCGCTAATGATCGCGTCGTGTACCTAAACGCAGCTTTTGTGGCAAAAAAAGGGTAAGTTATCCCTTTTCTTTACCACAATAGCTGCGTCGTGTGGAGCGTGCGTTACCTCCGTCGTTTGCGGGCGGGTCCCAGCTGAGGTCGGCGTAGTTCCTGCCGACGCGCGGGGCCCGCACCTCGTACTGACAGTGGGGTGTGTGTGTCGTGTGGAGCGTGCGTTACCTCCGTCGTTTGCGGGCGGGTCCCAGCTGAGGTCGGCGTAGTTCCTGCCGACGCGCGGGGCCCGCACCTCGTACTGACAGTGGGGTGTGTGTGTCGTGTGGAGCGTGCGTTACCTCCGTCGTTTGCGGGCGGGTCCCAGCTGAGGTCGGCGTAGTTCCTGCCGACGCGCGGGGCCCGCACCTCGTACTGACAGTGGGGTGTGTGTGTCGTGTGGAGCGTGCGTTACCTCCGTCGTTTGCGGGCGGGTCCCAGCTGAGGTCGGCGTAGTTCCTGCCGACGCGCGGGGCCCACGCGCAGTGGGGTGTGTGTGTCGTGTGGAGCGTGCGTTACCTCCGGTTTGCGGGCGGGCCTGAGGTCGGCGTAGTTCCTGCCGACGCGCGGCCCGCACCTTGTACTGACGGCGTGGGGTGTGTGTGTCGTGCGGAGCGTGCGTTACTCCGTCGTTTGCGGGCGGGTCCCAGCCGGTCGGCGTAGTTTGCGCGACGCGCGGGGCCCGCACTCGTGGCCCGACAGTGGGGTGTGTGTGTTGTACGCGTCGTTTGTAAACATCATTCCTGCCGAGAGTACTGACAGTGGGGTGTGTGTGTCGTGTGGAGCGTGCGTTACCTCCGTCGTTTGCGGGCATTCCTGAGGTCGGCGAGTTTGCCGACGCGCAGCACGCGGGTTCCGGCGGGGTGCAGCGCGGCCGCACCTTGTACGGCGCCGAGCTCGCGGAGTACTTGCTGAAGCCGGCGGCGTTCTTTGCGCGCACGCGAAATTCGTACTCGTGGCCCGGCTCCAGGTTGTACGCCTGTAAACATCATTGAGAGAAATGAGGCAAATTCTTAAATGGATTAACCGTGATTGAGAGTTATCGGGTCCATTCCCAACCTATATAGAGATGGAATAATAACTTTTTAAGAGGACTTGTTTTTAGTAATACCATCCAACGCCTAGTGAATCCAGCTCGATGTACCAAAAATAAAGCATCCCGATCAACGCACCTGGTAGTTGCAGTCCTTGACGAGGTAGTCCGCGCCGTTCCAGACGCCGTCCCTGACGTCGCGGTACTCGAGCTTGTACCCCTGGATGCGCGCGCCGCCGTCGGAGCGCGGCCGGTCCCACACCAGCGACGCGCTCGACCCGTCCCACTCCACCACGCGCGGTGCGCCCGGTGGCTCGGGGATCGTGAACGGGAACTGTCATACGCACATAATTCAATCTTCATATATCGTCCGGCTCGAAGGATTCTTTTTTAGTTTAAATGACTGTAACTGTTTTAAACTTTTTGTGGTTCTTCGCGTTTAGATAAATGGGATATTTATTATGATAATATTATTTATGAGCCATAATAAATAAAATAAATAAAAAATAAAGTTAAATAGTAATTACAATCATATGGAAATTACAATATATTCTGAGTATCTATGGTATATACGTAATAGTTACGCGATGACGTGCTGACAAAATGTTTGCAATAACATAATATATGCTATTTATTACCTTTCTATGACATATGTAATCTACCTTAGCAATAAAGAATACAGAATATATAGATACTCAATATTTTACCGATTTCTACTTTTCGTTTATTGTTCTTTAATCACTAACCTTGGCTGTAATCGAATCATCCATAGTGAGTGGGTCAGAGACACCATATTGGTTCTCCGCTCGAACCCTGAATGTGTATTTCTTGTTGGGTTCCAGACCCATCACATTGTAGTGGCAGTTTCGGACAAATGATGAAATCTTGCTCCATACCTGAGAAGTAGGAGAAATACTTCAGTATTTCAGAATAGTAACTAGAGTCAAATTATATTTTTTCTTTAAAAATATAGTTACAATTCTACAAAACTGATTATTGTTAATATCAGCGAGTATTTCATATCGAATACTTACTCCACTGCCGTCCATCTTTTCGACCACATAATTTGTGATTGGTGAGCCGCCATCATCGAGCGGTGGTTTCCATGACAATGTGCATGTGTCTGGTGTAATGTCGTATGCGTCCAATGGTCCCACTGGTGGGGATGGTTTGTCCACTACCAAAACCTGTAAGAATAGTATTAAATTAACGTTTGAATAATTTGCACATGGTAGATATCTTTGGGGAAAATATGTCTCATTGAAGCCTTAATAATGTCTATTTTACAACAGTCAAGATTTATTTTTACTATTAGATCCATATTCATGTAAATTACATCACTATGGTCGTAATAGGAAAAAAGAGTGCACCCCCTGACATAAGTATTAGACAAACATAATAATACCATACATTTTATTACACTTCATTTGAATTTTAGGTGTGACAATACATGTTAGTACGGTGCAGATATTTATTAATCTATAATGTTTATAGACATTATAATGTTAGCATGTAAGTTAAATAATGTATTGCCAAAGTTTATGTCCAATTATGTCTGTCATATGTAACTTACCCTGCAAGTAGCGCTGTCGGAACCTTCGCTGTTGACCAGCTGTATCGTGTAGGAACCGGTATCTGAACGCTTAGCGCTCGAGTTTAGGAATACTGTGTCCACATCGGAGGTAACGAAACGAATACGACTGTCTGGGAAAACTTCCTCGTTGTTCACCACCCATGAGACCTAAAAACGTAATCTGGTTTTAAACGAGTTTCTTTATCATTGTAGTATGAATTCCAAAGTTCAAAAGTAACTAAAATAAAAATCTATTACGCAGATTATGGCTTCTACTATTAAGTTGGTGCCAGACATGGATAGAAGAGTTCATTGGCTTATAAAATCGTGATCTCTGGTATACATTTTAATTTTATTTAACGTATTTAACGTTCAAATATAGAGAAGAGAAGTTCGCGCAACATACGAAAAGAAAGACATAGATCTGCAAATATTTGATCTAAACTTAAAAGTGGCTTTTAAGTTTAGATCTAACTAAAATAAAAATCTATTACGCGGATTATGGCTTCTACTATTAAGCTGGTGCCAGAAGAGTTCATTGGCTTATAAAATCGTGATCTCTGGTATACATTTTAATTTTATTTAACGTATTTAACGTTCAAATATAGAGAAGAGAAGTTCGCGCAACATACGAAAAGAAGACATAGATCTGCAAATATGTGATCTAAACTTAAAAGCCACGTCAGGCGCTAGGATTACATAGAATTCTAGTTATTCCAATTCATGAAGTTACAATGTATAACATGAAAGTTAAAATTGAAGCACTAACCTTCGGCCTTGGGTTGCCAGTGAAAGGCACAGTGATTTTGATCTCCTCGCCAGCGATGACAGTGATGTCGCGAAGGCTGAGGTCACTGGTGATGCGCGGTGAGTTAGGTGGCGCGCACGCACGGATAGCATCCGAGCTCTGCGACCAAGGTCCCTGGCCTGCAGCGTTAATAGCCGCCACGCGGAACTCATATTCGTGGTTTTCAATCAACCCTGTAACTTTATAAGTGGTGTCTGGAATGTGTGCATGAGAAGCTTTAGTCCATTTATCTTCTGTTATCAATCTCTTCTCGACTACGTAACCAGTGATAGGAGAACCGCCATCATGACGCGGCTTCGTCCAAGTAATTGTAATAGACGATTCGGTAGTTTCGATAGACCGTGGAACACCTGGTGGGCCAGGAGGATCGAATGGATGTCTCGCTTTGATTGGCTCTGTTGTCTGCACTGGGTCAGATTGACCGTACTGGTTCTCTGCCATAACTCTAAACTCGTAATCCCTTCCGACGCTTAAGTTTTTAACTCGCAAGAATGGAGTGGTCACATAACCAGACACCTTGGTCCAGTTGCCAGTACGAGCTTCGCGTTTTTCAACTACATAGTTTGTAATTTCACCGCCGCCGTTGTCCTTTGGCGGATTCCAGTATAATGTCAGCGCTTCGCCTTCGAATTCATCAGCGCGTAGGTTCTCTGGTTTGCCAGGTCTATCGAGAACACGGACGTTAATTGTCGCCGTATCGTAGCCAGATGGATTACGTAACTGTAAACGATATTGTCCACCATCGGTGCGCTTAGCGTCCTTGACGACAAGCGACGCGGAATCTGGTGTAATCTTTTGGAATATTCTAGGATCTTTTTCTACATCAAGCAGGTTATCATCAGCAAACCATGATGCTGTGGGTTGAGGGAAACCAGTGTACGGTACGTGGATAGAGAAGTCCTCTCCAGCTCGTACTGTGATGTCTCTGACTCCACCAAGATCCATACAAGGCTTGTTAGGCTGTTCAGCGATAGTGATATCTGATGTTGGTTTACTTGGATCCGACCTACCAACGTCGTTGACAGCGATAACTCTGAACTGATATTCAGCACCTTCCTTGAGCTTTGGTACTGTGTGTACAAGACCCGGAATGGGAACATCATTGACGTCTTTCCAATCTTTATCACCCTTTCCTTTCTGTTGAATGATGTATCCCTTGATTTTAGATCCACCGTCATTCTTTGGTGGTCTCCATGATAATGTAACTGAATCTTTTGTGACTCTATCGGGCTTAGGTGCTTCAGGTGCGCTTGGCTTAAGACGCTGTGTTTCTGCTGTGATAGGTTCAGTAGGCTTGCTGGGTTTGCCAGGGCCAGCTTCATTGACAGCAATTACGCGGAACTCATAACGGTTGCCTTCACGGAGATCCGGAACTGTGTAACAGGTATTTGGCGTTGGATAGTTGTTGACTTTCACCCAGTCGCCGCCACGTTCTCTCTTCTCAACGTAATATCCAGTAATAGGCTTGCCACCACAGTTTGCTGGTGGCTGCCATTCGAGAGAGCAGTTGTTTGCACTGTATCCAGTGATCTTTGGTGTATCTGGCGCATCTGGCGGGTCGAATGGTGATTTCGCAATCGTAGGCTTGCTTTCTAATGGTTCTGAGACGCCATACAAGTTTTCAGCGCGTACTCTAAACACGTATTTCTTACCTTCGGTCAAATTCTTAACGGTAAACGAGCACTTCGGACAAAAACCAGCGACAGTTCGCCAGTCATTAACTCCGAATTCTGCTACTTCTACAACATAACCGGTAATTTCGCTGCCGCCATCGTCTGTAGGTGGATGCCAAGTGAGACTAATTGCATCATGTGTGACTGGAGTACATAGAAGAGGTCCTTTCGGTGGGCCAGGTTTATCGACAACAATGACTTCAATGTCAGCAGAATCTTTGCCATACTCATTACTGGCAGTAACAGTATATTTGCCAGCATCATCTCTAGTAGATTTCTCGATACTGAATTTGGTTTCATCCATCTTCGTTTCTGTCGATATTCTGTTAGACGCTGGTAGAGGTATTGTTCCTTTAGACCAAGTAACAGTAGGTGTTGGAGCACCAGTAATTGGAATGTTAATGTTTATTGGTTCACCAGCACGGACCTTAATCTTACGACCAATCAGGTGGTCTAATGACAGTTTTGGTTTTTCTTTCATTGGTCTAGCAATGAATACATTTGATGGATCTGATGGTTGACCAGGGCCGGCAGCGTTGACAGCTGATACTCTGTATTCGTATTGGTGTCCATCCTGTACCCTATCATCGTTGTATTCACTTGATCTAACCGGTTCCTTGTTCAATTTAACCCATCGGCCCGTAGCCTTATCTCTTCTTTCAACGTCATATCCAAGAATATTAGACCCACCGTTAGATATTGGCGACGACCATTTAATTTTAATATGGTCCTTATCAGCAGATACTAGCTCTGGTTTACCTGGTTTACCAGGTACTGTGTATTGATTCTTTGCCACGACTGGTTTGTCAGTTACCAATGGTTCAGATCGACCCTGCAAGTTTTCAGCAAAGACTCTGAACTCGTATTGTGTACCTTCTTGAAGTCTGGGCACAGTTGCGTGGTTATACTTAGGGTTGATATATGTAACAGCTGGTACCCAGCCGCCTCCATGTGTAAGATCTCTCTTTTCAATAACGTAGGCAGTAAGTTCACTACCACCATTATCTTTAGGAGGTTTCCATGACAAAGTTACCGACTGTGCAGTGATCTCCTCGTATGCAAATGGAGCTTGTGGTGGTCCAGGCACATCCAATACGATAAGGTCGAAGCTGCCCTCATCAGAGCCAGAATCGTTCTTTAATAATAAATGGTATTTGCCAGCATCTGACCGTTTGCAGTTCACAGTGTGTATGATAGTGTGATGTCCAACAGATGTGACTGTTGTTCTCTCATTTGTAGCAACTGGTTTACCATCGTTAGTCCATTTAACTTCAGGAGTCGGCTCGCCAATAAAGTTAACATCCAAGTGGAAAATGAGACCAGCCTTGATGCGAATCTCTTTAAGTGGCGTAATAATCTTTGGCGCCACAAATCTGTCTTTGGCGGTGATAATATCAGAAGGCTCACTAGGCTCAGATTGTCCAGCTTGATTAACAGCTATTACACGGAATTCATAATCTTGGCCTTCAATTAGATCTGGTACTGTCGCTTTATTCTTGTTAGGCGGTACATGAACAGCGTTCACCCAGTATGGGCTGCCCTTTTCTTTCTTCTGGACAATGTAACCAGTGATAGGAGATCCTCCATCAGATTTAGGTGTTGTCCATTGTAAGTCCACATGGTCTTTGCTCCAGTCTGTAGCTTCAGGTTTACCAGGTGCTGATGGTTCATCGAATTCGTTCTTTGCAACAATAGCGCGGTCTAATTCCAATGGTTCAGATTGACCAATTGCGTTCACGGCACTGACTCTGAACAAATATTCTTTCATATGTATTAATCTGGTTACTTGGTGTGATAGGAATGTGCTCATACCAGCATCAGACCACGTGCCACGACTTAAGTCCATTTTTTCAATAACATAATGTAAGATAGGTGATCCGCCATCATCGAGAGGAATCTTCCACGAAAGCGAGCAGGAGTCTTTAGTGACATCAGAAACTGCAAGGGGCTTCTCAGGTCTTGATGGTTTATCAAGTACGGTAACTTGAGCGGTTCCTGAACAAATTCCGAGATCGTTTTTCAGGGTCAGTTTGTAAACGCCTCCGTCAGCGCGGACGGAGAATGGAATGTCTAGGATGACCCTATTATGCAAAATTTGAATATCGATACGATCTGACGGATGAACGACTTTACCATTGATTTGCCATTCAACAGTTGGCTTTGGTGATGCTTCGATAGGTATCTCATATTGTATCCTCTGTCCTGCTTTAACAGTCTTATCAGCAAGAAGCATCTTGTCGAAGTGCGGCGCGCAATAACGTGCCTTTGCAACTTGTGGCGTGGAAGCGTCGCTCGGTTCACCATTTCCAGCTTTATTAACTGCGATAACTCTAAATTCATACTCCTCTCCTTCTTGTAAACCAGGAACAGTAGCTGTCGTCTGGTTCCCTGGTACTGTTGCAGCAACTTCCCATGGTCCATATTTCTTCTTTGCTTCGATAATATAACCTGTGACTGGGGAACCGCCGTCTTTTTTAGGCGGTACCCATTCCAAGTCCATGTGATCCTTGTCCCAGTCCTTGACAACTGGAGTGCCGGGTTTGTCTGGTGTTCCGTAGGGATCTTTGGCGGTAACGGGTTCGTGTCCGACAAGGGGTTGAGACTCTCCTTGTTTGTTGACAGCGCGGACACGGAAGTTGTAATCGTGGCCTTCAATAAGATGATCTATCCTAATACTGCAGGCTTGTACATCACCCGCTGGTACCCAACGCATGTTCTCTTGGTCCATTTTTTCAACAACATAATGAGTAATTTCACTGCCACCATCATCTTTAGGTGGCCTCCAGCGAAGTGTACAGCCGGACTTGGTGATATCATCAGCTCGGAGTGGCCCTTCGGGTGGTAGTGGTACATCGAGAACGAGCACCTTAACAGTCGCTGTGTCTGTTCCGTTGATATTCTTGGCTTTAAGCGTGTAAGTTCCCGAATCAGCTCTCTTAGCATCGACAACGCGGAACTTAGTGGAATGAGTGTCGTTAACCAATTTAATCCTGTCAGTATTGATGACAATATTATCTCCATGCTGCCACTCCTTAGTTGGCGTCGGCTCACCGGCGACGGGGACATCGAGCTCGAAGTTCTGTCCAGACTTGACCTTAATATCGAACATGAAGTTCCTGTCAATCTTGGGAGGTAGATTCTTGGGTCGCGCCAAGTGGGGCGCTGTGCCATCACTTGGGACTCCAGGTCCGGCCTTATTGACAGCGCGGACTCTGAACTCATACGTATTGCCTTCGATCAGATCAGGTACTTTTCCGGATGTTACATCGCCTTCGATCTGATAACAAAATGTACAATTTGTTAAACTTTCTGTCAAGTAAACTTACTATTATATAAAATTACATATGTCATAAGTCTACATTAAATACTCATATAAAACAGAAAATGCCCACAAAAATACAAACTGTCATACTCCTCAAAACAAACATCCGTTGCACGGGATCGATCCCGAAACACCGAATCAGTCTAGGACTAAGTTCGTAAAAATAAAATCAAACAATTTTTATTTTAATCATATTATTGACTATATTGTCAAGATTTCGAGCTGTTTTTTTGTTTACAATTAATATTTTAGTATAAAGGAGTTTTTAAATAGTGCATTCCTAAATTTTGTATATAAATTGCAATGATTGCAATTTTTACAATTAAAAGTGTTTCAAAATTTACCTGAGCACATTCTTCCCAGTCCGGCGCGAATCTGTCCTTCTTTTCAATAACATATCCCGTAATAGGGGCGCCACCGTCGCTTTCCGGCCGAGTCCATTCCAGTTCCACAAAGTCTTTGTCGAAGTCCTTGATCTTTGGAGTGCCAGGCTTGCCTGCCACGTCGAACGGATTCTTGGCTTCGGTAGCGTGAGGCGTCGTAAGTGGTTCTGACTTGCCTTGTCTGTGGAATGGCCGTGATAATGTAATTAGGAAATTAGTTTAATAGTTAATAATAACAATAACCTAGGACAACTCAAACAGTGCCATCTATGCAGTGCTTGTGTTATTGCTACTAAATAAAAAATCAAATCATTATGTACTTTTATATAGGTATCTATGTATGTATAACATTAAATAAAAGTTCTGTCCATGAACACTATGAAGTTACAATTATTATCTTTTGCAAAAAGTTCAGGTATATAGTGTTGCCATAATTACTGGTTGCCACGGTAGGTGTAAATGTTTACAGAAGTTTATATATATATATATATATTTATTTATAAATATTATATATATCCTTATTCCTATGTATATATCCTTTGGATACCAAAGGATATATAAATATTTATATCTTTTCTCATAACAGACCCATCGGCTTATTCTAAACGATAGTCAAGAACGACAAGTTCTGTCGTAAATGTATTATGAAGGTGATGACTCCGAGCGCACCTGTTGACTGCGCGCACGCGGAACTTGTACTTGTGTCCGGGCTGCAGGCCGTCGACGGCGAGGCTGGTGAGCGGGCCGTCGGTCTCGCCGGCCTGCAGCCAGCGCCCGGTGGCCTCGTCCATGCGCTCCACCACGTACTTGTCGACGGGCTGCCCGCCGTCGTCCGCGGGCGGGTTCCACGACAGCTTAGCGCCGTTCGCGTGCACGTCCGACACCTACATTTAAAAAAAAACTTTACTACAGACGGAGACTCTATTACTTTTCGTTTTAGATAGAGAGCTTTATTTTTCCCGATTCATAATCTTCGTCCAGTGAAACTATCGAGAATCCCTTTTAATCTAAACAAAAATATAAAATAACTTTATTACTATTAAAACTATACATATCACATTGTTCTCTTTCACGCAATAACTACTGAACTGATTTCTATGAAACTTTATAGCTTACACATCAGAATATCATATGGGCTAAAAATTTAATGTATTCTGAAAATCACAAAAGCCATTCAAAAATATCTTTTATAATGCTTAAATTATGTCATTAACTATATGTTTATATACTGTACTGAGTTACAACCTTGAGTGGTCCTCCAGGCGGGCTGGGCACACTGAGAACGATGACTTCCACCTCAGCCACATCCTTGCCGTTGCTGTTCTCGGCGGTGATGGTGTAGCGGCCGCTGTCTGCGCGGGTGGCTGCCTTGCAATTCAGTTTCGTGTTGTAATCCGAATGTTGAACCTTGGTATCACCCCCGGATTTGACCTCCTTTTTGGCGAGGAACCATTTGGTCTCGGGCATTGGTTCACCTGTAACCTGTTTAAGAGATTTTGGTTATTTTCTGTATCTCATATAGCGACTTGCCACCGTTTCGCGTGGATGTAATTATTGTAGGTAATCTCAAGGAGGATTTTTTCCTGAAAGGAAAACCTGAATATGTGTAGTGATGTACCACAGTTTTATAGGGCACATCAATATAATGTATTATAATTAATATTTTTTGTTAAATATCGATGCGATATGTTTACCGGGGCGAACAGCTCGTTACTATAACTATCTTGAGTGTACTAATTTTGAGTGTTACATACGTCGCCAAATGGGGCCCTTAAACCTACACCTAGATCACAAGTCCCGGGAACTGCTCGGAGTTTCGAGTTTCCCTCTCTGTGACACGATGGACTCGGCACCGCACGATTAACCCATGGAATGCTAAGAAATTTTTCTCTCTCTCTTCACTTTCTCATACTGAAGAAACCTTCAGGTTGAAGTCGAAACAATAGTCGCGAAAGACAAAAATAGCCAATACATAAAATTCCGATGCAGAGTATAAAATATAGTATAAATAATTGTAAAATTAACTTTTTAAAATAACAAAATAGTACAAACCTTGACATCGAATCCGAACTTCTGTCCGACCTTGATCTTGATATCAATGAGGTTGGTCCTATCGATCTTGGGAGCGAGATTCCTGGGCTTGGCAATAATCGGATGCGTGCTGTCGCTAGGCTCTCCCGGCCCGGCTTTGTTTACCGCACGCACTCTACGATAACAATGTTATTTTTTTTATCTATTTGGCTTTGACAATCATCATGAATGATGGTAAACTTCAAAATAATATCTTCAGTTATAGATGGGAAAGTATTTCTATTTTATTTCACCTAATGAAATACAGGCGAGTTACATAGTTACCGAGTAGCGGCCGTAAAGTTAAGAAAAACTAAACTCACTATATATTAAAAATGTTTCTGATCGTTGTATGTAAAGTAATAGAAACGATTGAATTCACAGAATTTTATGACCGAAGCGTTTAGCGAGCTGATCTCAGAATTAAATTAACTGATTTAGGTATGCGGTTTACACTAATTTAATTTAAGCTTGACTTAAAATATTGAACATACATAATCTATTCCAATCAGTGAATGATTAAACAAAAAAGTTATATACGAAGTCGCGAGCTCAGCTAGTATTAAATAATTCTGGTCGAAAATGGTACCTGAACTCGTATGTCTGCCCTTCGATGAGATCAGGCACAGTGCACGTAGTTTTGTCTGCTGGCACTTCGAGTGCCTTCTCCCAGTTGCCAAACTTGTCCTTCTTCTCGACGACGTACCCCTCGATGGGGGCGCCGCCGTCGTTGGTGGGTGGGGTCCATTTGAGGTCCACGTGGTCCTTGTCCCAGTCCGTCACGCTTGGTGTACCAGGCGCGCCTATCAATAAAATTGAAAATTAATTATAAGACATCCATGTTTGTGAATTGTACAAAGTCATCTGCCAAACAGCTTGCTTTAAAAGCTATGTTTCGGTAAAAGGGTACGGCAGTGAAAAGTACATGGCATTACCGTCCTTCGGTATGACGACACAAAAAGCGTATCATATGATAATGTAATAAGAGGTGCTTAGTACTATTGATGTATATAGGCGACGGTTGCCACTTACCATGAATCAACGTTGGTCATTGCATATATATATAAAAAATAAAGAGAAATTTTATCTCTATCTTGGAGAGTATTGGTTGGAAAAAGTATTCCTGGTAGTCACGCCCCCATCTTTGAGAAATCGACAAAGAAGCAGAACTCCATCATATGCCTTGATGGAGTTCTGCTTCTTTGCGTAAAGAAAATAATCTTGAAAATAACGTCTCAAACACCACATATGCAGAAGTTGCGATCTAAAGTTAGTAGTAAATAATGTTAAACTGACCAGGCTCGTCGAAGGGATTCTTGGCGACGATGGTGCCTTCAGATATGAGGGGCTCCGACTCGCCTTCCGAATTGACGGCCGCCACACGGAACTTGTACTCCTTGCCCGGAGTCAGGCCGGTCACGTCGCACTCTGTAACATAAATTAAACGATTTCGTTAATCAAACATAGACCTTACTACGATACATTTAACTGTCAATTTTCGGTAACATGATCTTAGCGTGTCTAGAACTCCCCGTAAGTTCTTTACTAAAACGTGTATTTAAAGTAGTACTAGTAGAGTCCTACCAGATTTGAGTGGGCAGGGTGAGAAACACGAGTAGTGAAGGTTTATCCACCTCGTGTCACAGGACAGTATTTTCAGACTAATGTTAGAGATAAAGGAAATGAGAACCATTTGTACCTGGATTTTATATTTATTCAAGGTACCAATAGTCAAAGGGCCATCATTACAGTGATTTGTTTTTACTTAGGTTGGCTGACAATTTCAGCAGGTTTAAAATGCCAGCTATCTTTGCCTTTTGTAACATGTCAATAAATAAATAAAAAAAAACTTAGAGATACTGACTGGGCTCATCAGAACGCGCACAGGGCACCCAGCAACCGGTTTCTGTATCCAGTTTGTCGATTTGGTAGTACTCGATAGGTGCTCCACCGTCGTCCTTTGGACGCTTCCATTTCAATGTCGCTCCTTCTTTGTGTACGTCTGAGATCTGAAATAGAGTTTGAACATATCGATATCAATAATAATAATAATAAAAATAGTATTCCTGGATAATTCCCACGGTGTCATCTAGTCCCAAGCAGAGCTTGTGTTATGGGTATTAGATAACTGATAAATATACTCAGGCACATTTTTTTAAATATATACATAATATGTGATTATATCAGCCTGGATGTATAGACCAGCCTCATATAACAATCACACTCGTGAATACAAATGTTTGTATCGTGCGAGGAATCAAACCCATAAGTATTGACAGTAAGGCTGTGTGCTAAACCTAGTGGTTTAGCACTAGGTTTAGTATCGCCTCACAGTCAATAATTAATAGTAGACCACCGAGGCCGCCAAGTTACGCTAAAAATATTAATTAAAAAATGATAATCAATTTGACTTCCATATACCTGTAGTGGTCCTTCAGGTTTGTTCGGCTTATCAGTGACGACCACATTAATGGTGACGGTATCTCTACCGCTCGAGTTGACGGCAGTGACGGTGTACTCGCCGGTGTCATCGCGTCTGACCGGCCGGACTACCAGCTTCGTGAAGTAATCCGGACTGTCGATGGTGACCGCCTTGGACGGTCGGAGCGGCATGTTTTGGTATCTAGTGATGAAATAGAATTCGTGAACTTCGTGTTGTGTATTTTTCTTTATTTATATCTATCTGTATTTACGACTTAATATCCGTTAAATTGTATCGCCTTATTATATCTGATCAATGCGACGGTTGACTGGTAGAGAATGTAAACAGACAAAAAATCCTCCATATATACAATTTTGTGTGCAAAATAATATTGATTGACATTAGTTGAATATTGTGACAAACTATTATTCTATTATAGTACTTATATGTTATATATTTTTAATGAAAAGAAATTTAAGTATTAGTATTAAAATAATTATGATATCTATTTCAATATTTGTATACCCCTACGGTTTGCTACATGTACTTTTATTATATATTAAGATGCAAAACTGTACCATGTAACAAGCAAATAAATAATAATTGTTATTATTAAATAATTAACACGTACCTCCATTCAACAGCTGGTGCAGGCTCGCCAGTGATAGCAGCCTCCAGCTTGAGAGTGGAGCCAGCGGAGATGGTGACATCGCGCAGGTGTCTTCTGTCGATTTTGGGAGCGAGGAACCGTGGCTTGGCCACAAAGTTCTTGCTGGCATCGGAAGGTTTACTCTGGCCCGCTTTGTTAATTGCGACCACGCGGAACTGGTATTCATTGCCTTCGATCAGCCTATTGGTAAGAAATGAGTTTGTTTTATTAATTTAATGCATGTAAAAGAAAATAAATATAAATATATTTATTTAGCGTATACAAAATAATCATAGAAAACATATAACAAGTAAATAACATTCAACTTATTGTAAACGTAGTTTTACAATTAAGAGTTAATTTATTTATATATTTTTATTGCCAAATGCATTGCTTTCAAGGATAAGATATAGCAGTATATTTACGGTGTATGCAAACATAACACTGTTGTACTTAGGAATGGCAATGCCTGCGAGGCAATACGGGCATTCTGTGATATTTGAACTTCTATTCATATCTGCTGGCAATAGTCATCACTTTTCGTCTTCAATAGACGGAAAGTCAATTCGAAGTCATTAGAAATCGATTTCTGCGTCTCTAGTAGTATTCTCTCTAGTATTTTTGTATAAGCTATAGCCCCGTGTTGCTTGTATATGGCTCTATATCTCCCTATAGCTCCATATAACTCCCTATAAATTGAGATAATTAAACAGTAACGTACCCATTAACTGTAGCAGTAGGTGTAGGAGTATGAGTCTCCACAGCTTTCTCCCACAGTGGACTGTACTTGTCTTTCTTCTCAATGATGTAACCAATGATGGGAGATCCACCGTCTGATATTGGCGGCTCCCACTTGAGATCCACGTGGCTGGCTGACCAGTCGTCTGGCACTGGTGCTGAGGGCGCATCTGGTACCGCTATTATTAAATAGAAAAATAATTAGCCACAAATCTTGTATATTTATTGTTTTAAATTTATAATTTAATATAAACTAGTACAATATATTAACCAACTTAATACAATTAAAATTATAAGTTACCTTATAACATTAGCTATCTGTCTCCATAAAAATTGTCCAGTCGTTTTAAAGATAGCAAGAACAGACATATTTTTTTTATGATAGTGTTTTTTTTTTATGATTTCTCTTTCATATGCATTCAGAGAGAAGCTATTAATTTGAAATTACAGACACTTCAATTTTATTATTTTTTATTTATTTGTATAGATTTGAAAGACAAAACACTTGAACAGTATGGTTTTATAGGAGGTTATACTTTTAACAATAGTAGCATATTTACAGTTCCATAAATACATTAAACGATAAATGCACTCACTGAATGGATCCTTCGCGACGATGGATCCAAATGTCTCCAGCGGCTCCGATTCACCCTCTTTGTTGAGCGCCTTCACTCTGAACTTATATTCATGTCCGGGGATTAACCCATCCACCTAATAAAACAAAATAATATAGTTTATTGTTTAGTAAAACTATTACAAAATTTATAGGATACATAAAATTCTTACAAATGCGAAAATGTATGAAGATAGACAAATGATAAGCAAACATTTGTCTATCTATCGGACAGTCTACTCTTTACTGAGCATAGAGTTCTCTATCTACTCATACATAAGAGAATTTGTAGTATCAATATTTTTTTTTTCTCTTCCAACTAGGGTATATGCTTAACTTCCTAATAATCTACTCTTAAATCCTGGAGATAAAAACACACGCACCTCCATCTCAGGTACATTTCCAAGAGTCTTCCCAACTGGCATCCAGCTGCCAGTCTCAGGGTCGTACTTCTCCACAAGGTACGCCTCGATGGGTTCACCGCCGTCGTCCTTGGGCCGTTTCCAGTTCAGCTTGCATCCGTCTTTGTGGATGTCTGATACTTCTAGTGGACCTTCAGGTTTCTCCGGTTTGGCTGAAAAACGAGAGTTTTAAAAATTAAAAAGATGAAAATGAAAATAGAAATTAAAAAGATGAATTACAATACGAGTGCAAACACCCAGCTGTCAGATTTTAGGAATATTATCTATAGTTTAGGTGAAATTGTCATTGGAAAAAAAATCTGTTTATGTAATTCTTTAGCGATTAACTCACAGCTGCAATTGCGAACTTATAGATTAAACAATTCGTTATCCGATATAAACAAATTGTAATGAACACATGGCGTTTTTTCCCAGTCAACTATAGAGCAGACAGAACTGTACGCGGGCAGTAAATTATTGTCAAATAACTAGTAACTAATTGCAATTTGGTATTTAAGACTTCAAAATTTTGAGAAGAACTTTAAATCGTTATGGTTTAAAGACGCTTTTCATATACTAACATGTGACTATGATTTCCAGTTCGGCTGTGTCCTGGCCGTACTTGTTGACGGCTTGTATCTTGTAGGTGCCGGAGTCCTTGCGACGCGGGCTTGCGTGCTGATACTTGGTCAGATATGGCACATCCACCACTGCATTTAAAATAAAAATAATTAACTAGTGTTCTCGCTGGATTATTAGTATTTTGTTAATATACCGAGGACATCGGTCACTATGGTAGAAAGACTTATATAAATATATTTTTGAAATTATATAAAATATATACGTATACACAAAGTGCATCTTGCACGAATAGTTTAAAAAAATAGCATTGTTAGTAGTGGACTAATAACCCCATTACTAGCAATGTACCATCTCAGGTTGACCTCCACGTGGTTCTTCCTGGAAAGCATCGTAAATTCATGGTGAATTTATCACAATGGGATAACTGATTTGACCTAATGCTCATCTCATCATCCTCCGCTGGGGACACGCACCGTGTTAACGCAGACTATTTAATTATAATCCATAAAAAAAACTTCGTATGCCGAAGTCTAAAATATTGGTAGTACAAATTGTTAATTTGGAATCAAACCCGCTGTACTCACATTTGAGACCGTTACCGCTGGTGACGGACTTTCCGTTGAGAGTCCACGTGACATCTGGTGGAGGCTCGCCGGAGACCTTCACGTCTAGCGCGATGGGCTCGCCTTCGTGTACCTTGATGGTGCGGAGGTTGCGACGGTCGATCTTCGGAGCCACTGTATGATCATATTACCATAAATGTAATTACAAAATATTTGTGTATAAGTACAATGTCGAGTTTTAAAATGCCACTCTTACTGATGACTAAAAAATTCTTTGAACATAAATTTTCACCTTTCTACCACCAACCCCTATATTTAATAGCTATATTATTATTATATATGGCAAAACAACGTTTGCGGGGTCAGCTAGTATATGTATATAGATAGTAGATATAGAAATTCGACCTAAGAGACCATAAATTTACGGGGCAATATTATTGTATATTAGATTAATGAAATAACTGGTGTACTTACGTCTCCTTGGTTTGCAAACTACGGACTTGCTGGCGTCTGAGGGTTCTCCAGGACCCGCTTCATTGATAGCTTTCACCCGGAACTCGTATTCCACACCTTCGTCTAAGTTCGGTACTGTTGCCTTTTCATTATCATTAGGACCAACCTACATAATAAATAAATAATACATTTACCCTTCTGTTCATCTAGTATAAATACGAAATTGTGTTTGTCTGTCTGTTACTTTTTATTACTAAATGGCTAAACGGATTTTAGTGGAATTTGACAGGAAGATAGATTATAAGAAGAGGACGAACATAGGCTAAGAGATATACTATACAACTAAAAGCTCTTAATGAACCAAATGAGTTTAGAAAACAGAAGTTTAGAGAACCAGTTAAATCGATGTTGAAAGCTAGTGCAGACGAAGTCGCGGGTAACAATAACCCGACCTATAAAAACACTAAAGACTTCTAAAGACTATGATGATTACTCACCTCGCAGGCTTTCACCCACTTTGGTGATCCGACTTCCCTCTTCTCGATAACGTATCCAGTAATGGGTGCTCCACCATCCTTCAGAGGCTTCTCCCATTTGAGATCCACGTGGTCCTTATCCCAATCTACTACCTCGGGAGTGCCTGGTTTACCAGGCTCATCTGTTGTACAAATACACATAATAACAATGAATATTTAATATTATTTAATAGTTTTATCTCATTATTGAACTACTATTTATCATCTGATTCTTCCTTAACCCATTTGTTTGGGGTTGGCGTAATATGTTTAATTTTACTATTACAATGCATTTATATGTTTTGTATTTGGGATGGCAAACAAGCTGACAGATACCACAACAAGAGACAGTATACTTGATGGTAAGTGATATCAATCGCCTGATTACTACATAAACGTTGCCATTACGGAGCACACAGATATCATGCTTCTTTCTTCTCTTCTTCTTCTTGTAACTTTACTACCGTTTTTCATCCAACGATCGAAACACAACTTATAAAATAAGCAACTTAGCAGACATGTAAATTACAGTTTACTACAGCCTCAACAAAGCCTACCTTTTATATTAGACGTGTATTACACGCTTAACAATAAACTGACTTAAGTAAAAAATTTTGGAATAGAAAAATCGATTATATGCCTAAAATGTTAAAGTGGGTTTCGTCTAATTTTCGTTTTGAGTCAAGACATTTTATAACTACGTGTACGACATATAGTTACTAAAATTTTAAGCTGTTGCTTACCGAATGGATTCTTAGCAATGATCGAGTGGTCAGCTTCCAGCGGTTCCGACACACCCTCGTTGTTGACCGCAGATACTCTGAACTTGTATTCGTGTCCAGGAACTAAGTTCTCTATTTCCGCCTTGGGGTCCTTGGTCTTCAGCGCCGGCATCCATCTTCCAGTTTCCGTATCGAGTTTCTCCACGAGATAGTGGTCGATGGGGGCGCCACCGTCGTCCACTGGAGGATTCCATTTGAGGGTGCAACCCTCTTTGTGGACATCTGAGATCTGAAATCATAATTTTACACGATTTAACTTCTAACTATAAAAGCGAGCACAATAAATCTCCGTAGGTCGCAGTGCTGCAATAGGTTTAAAACACCTGATAATAGACTAAACTCCTCAGTAATAAACTAAAATATGTTTTTTTTGTTACTTGGATATAGAAATATACTTGACGTGTTATTTATATTACAACTAATATTATATATAAGACATTTGTTTATTTATTTGTGGACAAATGGTTCATTATGATAAGTAATATGTAAAATTACACCTTTAATCTTCCTAAAATAAATAAATAATGCTATAATTTACCTTGAGTGGTCCTTCAGGTTTAGCGGGCACGTCCAATACAATCACTTGTATGGTGGCCTCATCCCTACCGCTGCTGTTCTCAGCCTTCAGTACATATGTACCGCTGTGCTTGCGAGATGTGATCACAATTGATAACTTGGTGCGGTAGTCTTCAGTATCCACGGTGAGATCATCGCGAGTGGACAGACGCTCTTTGTTGTGGAACCTGGGGAATATTAATTAATGGTAATGTACACCTATTATTAAGACTTTTGAAGTGAAACTTCTATGTAGACCATCGCGTGGAGCAGATAGACGATATATCGCGTTGTGTGAGAAAGAGAAAGGCTGGTGGCAGCGGATAGAGGTCAACGGCAACGTGTTTCCACATCTCCGTTGAAGTTTTACTTCTACTATGTGATCCAGCTCACTCCTTTTTTTATTTGCTAAGTCTCTGAAAATTTGTCTGGCTTTCTCTAGAAATGTACTGTCATTTTATGTATTGGATTGCAAATTGTTGGGTTTCGATTAAATAAATTATGTAGACTAGAATCTGGTTTATAATGACTTTTTAATTTACCTAATAATTTATCATAGGTAGTCTTTGTATGTTTCGTACATCTCACCCAATTGAGTAAAGCGGCTTTATAAGCTATGTTTCGTTTCGTAGGTGAGATAAGGCAGTGAAATTACAGGGTAAGAAGGCATGACATCTTAGTCCTTCAGAATGGAAACTCAAAAGTAGCGTCACGTTATGACGTGATCTTCGTGGCATTCTTTATATATATACGGTCACGGTAACCTTTTACCATCCAGCTTGTTTAGCATTCCAGACAGAAAGGTAGACTAAAAAGCCACTAGTCACTAGCACTAGTAATTGTTGTACAAATGTATATAATATGTATAAAAAATACAGTATTTATTTTTCAATATATCAACTCTTTTTGTTTTAATAATTTAATAATAATGAAATAATACTAATATATTATTAGTATTATTTAATTATTTACTCATTATTGTGCACAGAAACGTATTTAAAATTTTTATATAATAATATGTGCTAAACAAAAGCCAGCCTTATCGCTTAAAACAATCTCCTACAGACAACCTGAGAGATCAAAGCTTTGAGTAAAGAATGGTACGCACTAACAAACAACAATGAAGAAAATTTTGAATGACACTTTTGTTCACATCGCCTCTATAGTATCTTTAAAGTACTGTAATTATAATAAAAACTGTACATTAGATTGTAAAGTATAAAGTATTATTACTAATAAAATGTGCATACCATGTTTTAGATGGTGGCGGTTCGCCCGAGACCTTGATGTCAAGGCGAATGTTCTGTCCCGCTTTGATTGTGATATCGCGCATGTTGGTACGATCGATCTTCGGCGGTGCTATAAGAAGAAACGATTACGTTATTTGTAGATCTATTACATTGGGAGAAAGGGGGTTGTTGTCATGTAGACTAATAACCTCGTTGCTAGCAATGTACTATGTCAGGTTGACCTCCACATGGTTCCCCCTGGATACCATAGTGATAAATTCATGGTGAATTTACCACGATGGGCTAACTGACATGACTTCATACTTATCTTATCATCAGCCACTGGTGTCCTGCCAGCGTACACCGTTAGAGCAGGCGTAACTTATAAATGGTATATAATTTATTGCGTAATTTGCTAGTACTTTAGAACCATCCAATAGTTGTGTTAGCTACCTCCAATCGATCATCCGTTCGATTCAAACGGGGATCGAAATTACGAACAAATTCGATACCCTAGGGGTGCCCTCAGACTAAACTTGTATCCGACAGACGGGAGGTGGCCTTCAGTCGCTCCATAAGTCCTTCCGTGGGTTTGGAGTGCTATCGCATTCGCCCCCTATCGTCCGGTGAAGCTGTAAAGGCCAATTGCGCCCAACAGCATTAGAGTAGTCCGATTTTTTTTAATATATAAATGTTTGTCACTATCTTATTTTAGATCCTAGGATGATTAACAAACCTGCTATATAGGCATATAAAATCAGTTGGGAACTATGTTCAAGTCTCATTAGTAAATGTTCTTTTATATATGCAGAAATATCCCAGGATGCAGGATAGGTTTAGATTGTGACTAGATGGCGCTGTGTAGAGTGAAAACAGATTATTAAGCCTATTCACTCCTAAAACTTCAATCTTTCTCTCATCATTTTCCGTTAATACGTACCGAATCTATCCTTTGCAAGCAGGTTCTCAGACGCCGTGGACGGTTTCCCCGGTCCAGCTTTGTTCACCGCTTTCACGCGGAACTGGTATGTTTTGCCTTCGATCAGATCAGGCACGCGTGCTTCTGTCTTATTGCCTGGAACCTGATGAATTTAGTGCGTTAGTTATTTTGAATTTATTTTCGATTAGATGTAGCCCATAAAGTTTTTGCGTGTCAGTCTCACTTATTTCAGCCGTCAAGCAGCTTTATTTAGTTGAAGATTGCAGATTAAGAAGTGAAATTACGGGATATGTGACATGACATCTTAGTCCTCTAAAATTGCAGCGCATCAGTGGTTTTTTTATAATAATAAGGTTTAGCGCAAAGCGCACAGCTTACCATCAGGTGAGCTGTCAGCTTGTTTATCAATACAATTATATATCTAATTATATACAACCAATTATTTAAAGAAATCCAACATAAACCATAGACTCAACTGTATCAAATACAATACCTTTAAATAACGTAGGTTTGTTTTATTCATAATCTATAATATACAAGCTTAGATTTAAAAGGTATAGCTAAAAGCTCAAAATTAAACCACATTTACAAAAAAAAAAAATAGAAACTAACTTTTTCATACAAAACTTTGGCAATATTGTTCAATTGTTATTCGGCTTTGACAACACACTACTAAATGTATATATATGTGTGTTATAAACACACATGAAAAATAATAGTAAATAATCTTACCTCAGCAGCCTTCACCCATTTGCCGGTGTCTCGGTCCTTCTTCTCGACGATGTAAGCTGTAATGGGAGCACCACCGTCGCTGGCAGGTTTCTCCCACTTGAGGTCCACATGGTCTTTGCTCCAGTCTTTGAATTCTGGCTTACCAGGTGCGTCAGGTTCACCTATAAAAATAGTGCACTGTGGTTTTATACTCCATGCATTTCATTGTTTTTTGTGAATATAAAAATATATACTAGAAACATACAAAATCTAATAGATAAAGTGACGACATTACTTTGAATGACTTTGATAAGTTTATGGAAAATTATTTCTTATTTATATCCTGCCCGAAGGACCATGAAATGTGACTTCGTAAAATTGAATAATTAACAATATATTCGAATTCAAGGATGTGTTCATAATTTCATCATTCGCTATTACTTCTTTTTGGTGGTTCGAGATTGATTCCATTAATAATAGAGTATTTTAAGTATTCTAAATTCCAACAAACAGATACATATACTAATGGAAAAGGTTCTTAAATATTATAGTGATAAAAAAATTAATATCTGATAGGCATACAACCACCTTACCTTATAAACTACTATTAATTTAAATTTTAAAGTTTATCGCATAATAAGTAGGTCATATAACTTAAAGATATTTTATTGTCGAACAGAATTTCATTAGGTTCAACGAATCAGTTTATTCAATGTAAAACAAAAATAACATAGTACTAACCGTAAGGATTCTTTGCAGTAGTGGCGGTTTCCGTGACTAACGGTTCGCTCTCACCCTCAGGGTTGACTGCTTTAACTCTAAACATATAATCCTTGCCCTCATTGAGGCCAGTGACGTCAGCTTCAGGGGTCTTGGTGGTGCAGACGGGCACCCATCTGCCAGAGTCCGTATCCATTCGTTCAACTACGTAGCTCTCGACGGGTTCACCGCCGTCGTCTTCTGGTGGATCCCATTTCAGTTTGCAGCCATCAGCCTTGACGTCTGAGACCTGAGGTAATAAGTTTATCGTTAATTATAGGGTTGATATATCTTTTGTATTTTTTTTATACTACCTAGGTGGCAAACAAGAATACGGCCCATTTTATGCTAAACCGTTACCGTGGCCTATGGACGTCTGAAACATCAGGGTTGTAACGTGCGAGTTGCCGACCCTTAAGGACCCTAATATACTTATACCTTCTTGAAAAACCCCATACTGTAATTTCTCATGTAGTTCATTACACAATCTAAGTGTACGCGAGAACTTAGGAACCATGTATTTTATAGGGCATTTCTTGCCACTTATGTAGATCAAAATTTGTTATAACTGGTACATTTTTATTTACTCTATTTTTTTTATTTATTACTCTATCTATTCATTGATTACCAACAAATTCTAAAATTAACTAATTTATGAATATTAACTATAAAGTTCTGCTTTAAGGTCTAATTCAGCATGTGATTACTAATAGTGAGAAAGACTGTACATACCTTTAGAGGTCCTTTAGGTTTAGCAGGTTTACTGACAACGTCAACTTCGATCTCAACGCTGTCAGTACCAGAGTCGTTCTTCGCTGTCACAACGTACTTGCCGCTGTCTGCTCTGGTCACCTTCTGCAGCGAGAATGACGTGTGGTAATCTTTATTCTCGATCTTCAACCTCTCCTCGTCCTTGAGGGGTTTATCTTTGAAGGTCCACGTGATTTTCGGTTCAGGTTCACCCTTGACGTCCGCTTCGAATTTGAGCAGTTGGCCGACCTTGATCTTTCGCTTTTGTAGGTTCTTGCGGTCGATTTTTGGAGCCACTGCAATGGAGAAAATATGTTTGATATTGATGATACTCTACTAGGTTCTGTAAGCGACTTCGTCCGTGACTATAATAAGAAGAAGCTTATGTCTTTTTCTATTATACCACAGGGGCCAAAATAGCTTGCGGCTACTCGCAAAACCAGAAGAAGACATGCAAATGCGTTGCCGCTTGCCAAAATGATTAAAGACATTATTAAAGCTCGACATAAATATATATTGACTTACAGAATCTAGGTTTAGTGATGACAGATTTGCTCGGGTCTGACGGCTCGCCAGGACCAGCCTTGTTGACAGCTATCACGCGGAACTCGTATTCGCGACCTTCCTCCACGTCCGTCACGCGGCCAGTGGGTCGGTCACCCGATGTACGCAGGCAATCTTGCCATGATCTAAATTTAACCATCAATATTAGACCTTATTCTAGTATTTATAAATACAATAAAAAAAGATTTAATTAAATATAACTAAAATTATGACTTTACGTTTAAGATAACGTAGAAAGTTATTTTATTTTTTAAGTAATCGGTATGTTGAACTACCTTAGAGTAAATGTTAACCGTCGGCTATATACATAAACAGCACAACGGAGATCACTCCATCATACGTAGTAACATTCGCTTTACACCCTAAAATTTCACTGCATCTCGACCAGAAGGTAAAACAAGCGACACAAGCAAACAAGTTATCCAGAAACAGAGGTATCCCCATATTGACGACTTTGTACAAAGTCTTCTTCACTTCACAAACAGTGAATACAACAAAAAGCTAGAGATCACAAACCTGCCGCCTTTCTCTCTCTTCTGTATAATGTAACCGGTGATAGGCGCTCCGCCATCTTCTTTCGGTGGACTCCACTCCAGTTCCACGAAGTCTTTGTCCCAATTACGAGGTTCAGGACGACCAGGCTTGCCGGGCTCGTCTATACAATATTATTTAAATATGATCAATAACAATTTCTTGCAAAACGGGAGGAAGGGGATTCTTAGTAACGTGTGTTGAAGACCCCATTGCTGAGCAATGTACCATGTAGGTTAACCTCAACGGTGTTCCCTCTGGAACATAGTGAATTTGTCATGATGGTTTCCAGTGGTTTCCAATAGGGCATGATAGATTTATTGACCGGATCTCATATTCGTCTTATCTGGTCCGAGAGCCAACATTATCAAAAGACCAATAGAACGGTCGAAGAATTTTGATTTAATAATTTAAACTATATATTTAATTAAAGCGAAATATAGGAAAATTATTAAATTTATTTTATTTCAAAGACATCGTCTACTCACCGAAGGGATTCTTAGCGATGATCGGCTTCTCGGTCTCGAGTTCTTCCGACTCGCCCTCTTTGTTGACTGCCTTCACTCGGAACTTGTAAGGCTTGCCCTCTTGGAGACCAGTGATGTTGGCCTTGCAATCCTTAGCAGTACCGCATGGGATCCATTGTCCTGGAATAATAATATTAACATTACAATATTACTTATGATTACTCTCTATTTACTTACTATTAAGATTGTCTATAGATATGAAGCGACAATAAACATTACAGCAGAAGTCTGAGCACAATCGATGGCGACAGCTGTTCGATAAGAACGTGTATAGTCGCGATCCTCAGCAGTAGGGAACGATAAAAAAGACACCGTTAAAAAATTAAGGCTCTGTGAGATATGCCAGTGAAATTACAGGGTACATAGGCATAGGCATAGGCTCAAACATCACGTGTTGAAATGATGTATGTCCCATACATTGATGATAATGGTATCCACTTTCTTTTAGGTAGGCCATTGCTTTGCCATTCTTCTAGAGACCACTAGCCGTATATTTTCGTTGTCTATCCTGTATGCGATGTAATATAAATGTATTATAGACCAACCTGTGAGCGGGTCCAATTTCTCAATCTCGTAGTACTCGACGGGGGAGCCACCGTCATCTTCCGGTTTCTTCCACGCCAGCGTACATCCGTTCTTCGTAACGTCTGATACTTCTAATGGTCCCTTAGGTTTAGACGGTTTGCCTATAATAGAAAAAAATAGTCATTTATACGTAGCTTTGTGTATAATATTGTATCAACTTTTTAGCTGATTAGAAATATTTTGTTTTATTGTCATAATAGAAAACTAAAATCTTGTTGTGTTTCTTAATTAACATAGATATGGCTAATAAATCTAAAGCACAGTCAAAATAATTTTAGACTAAAATATAAAAATCTTTAGTCACAAAAAATCATCAAATATTCCATATTTATGGGGTTATTTAATCAGAGAAGAAAGAGAGAAAGAAAAAGCCGTAACTCACCGAGTATGGTGATTTCAATTTCGGCCTCATCTTCTCCCACTTCATTCTTAGCTTTAATTACATATTTGCCGGTATTAGCTCTCTTGCTCTTGGTCATCAGGAACTTGGTATTGTAATCAACGTTGATGATCTCCAAGTTCTCATTGTTCTTCAACTCCTCGCCCTTGAAGAACCAGGTAACGGTTGCCGGAGGCTCGCCGAAGACTTTAACGTCGAGGGAGACGGGAAGGCCAGCTTTCACCGTTAAAGGTTTAAGATTTGTACGATCAATTCTTGGTTTCACTGGAAAAATCAAGGTCGAATTTAGTATTACTGCAAATAAGTGATCAAGGTACTTGAACGATCATTATATAAATACGTGAAGCAAAAACTTTTTTACGAATATTGCGCGGACGAGTATGAAATTCCGCACATTTATAGTTTGTATAGAGAAGGAGAGTAGAATGCAAAATGATTTTTTAATTTTTCATAAAAAATACACTTAATCAATAAAAAAAAACATTACATATTACATATTCACACACACATATAGAACTGTAGTCTTCGACAATAGTAGATTAATAATGCTCATACTTCTAATTTATATTATAATAATTATGGTCGAATTTCGAACATTTATATTTATAATACATGTAAACCTCTATATGATTTCCGTCAATTACACCCGTACGAAGCCCGGAGAGGTCGCTAGTAAAAAATATTTCTATTCCATATAACTTGTTTACTTACAGAATCTCGGTTTAGCAGTGTGCCAGTTGGTGTTCTCTGAAGGTTCCGACTGGCCGGCTTTGTTAACGGCGCGGATTCTAAACTGATATTGGTTGCCTTCCTCCAGCTTCGGCACAGTTCCTTGACAAACGTTGCCTTGAATCTCAGCCGCCTGGAAACCATAAACAGTTAATTATACTTATATATTCATCTATCATCAGAATATGTGAGACCTCAAATATGGGTGTGAAAACATGACCACCGTTACCACTTCTCTAATGGTGATCAAATTCCGACTGTTATTGAATCTACACCTATATTATGACACGTGTTTCGTCTCTGAATGATGTTAATTGTATCTGAATTAAAGAAAATAATATAACACCATTAGGTAGTGAAATGGACTACGGACTGTGTTCTGAGGAATTGTTCGACATGATGCCTATAGCCACCTTTTAACATCACACCGTTCGCCATCGACAGGGAATTCATCCCCACACGCTAACCTAAGTGGTCTCGGACAGTGCGGTTCAGACGAGCTTCCTCTCGCGTACACTTAAATTGTGGACTACCTGCCGAGGTTTTCTCACGAGACTACAGCATGGGGTTTTTCAAGAAGGGTATATGAAGGTTCTGTAGGTGTTTCAGGCGTCCATAGGCTACTCATTTACCATATATATGAAAAAAAAATGGATACCGTAAAATAACAGCTAATTCGATAAAAAAATTAAACGTACACCAAGGCAACTCACCTTAACGAATTCACCTCTATCTCTGTCCATAACTTCAATAATATATCCGGTAATAGGGGCACCGTTGTCCCTAATAGGAGGTTCCCATTTGAGTTTAGCGGACTTCTCGTCCCAGTCTACGATGTCGGGTAGACCAGGAGCGGCCGGCACGTCGTACGGGTTCTTAGCTAGGGTACCGTGGTCAGTTTCCAAAGGTTCTGATTCACCTTCTTCGTTGAGAGCTTTGACGCGGAACTGATATGTGTGGCCTTGTTCCAGACCTGTTTTGGTTAAAAAAATAACACTTATTTTGGAGAATAAGCCAAATCCAAAATTACGATATAAATGCGTGACCATTTTTGTAGTAAGAAAGTTTCAATAATAAAAGGAATACAACCCAATCACTGTCAAGAAAAGTGGTATTTGAAAAATCTACCTTACCAAGAAATTGGAAAAGAATCTAGCTAAACCTGACACGATAAAGACTATATCTGTCTGTTTATAATTATAAATTAACAGTTTTCAGGTAATTGCATTTTTAACACGAAACATACATACAAAAATAATTTAATAAAATGTCTGTCTGTATGTATGTTCTTGCTAATCTCTGAAATGGATGTCCGATTTAGACGGGACTTTCACTCGCAGATACTTAATATAATAAGAAGTAATATAGTCCGCTTTTATTTTGCCGCAGGAGTTGCGATAGAATGCTAACCCGACCTCGCAGCTCCGGCATAGGCGCTCGTAGGAACACCGTATTGTTTTTTAGTGGGTAAGAATCCCACACACCCCTTCGTCAACCATCTGACGGGAGACGGTCTTTTGAAGACTTTTCCACACGATTAAAAAATGCTACGTTTATTTCTATTACTTCCACACACTTCCACACGGACAAAGTCACTAGTAACAACTAGTATACGATATTACCACTCACCAGTGACAGTAGCCTCAGTGGTGTCCGGGTCGATGGTACCTGCAGGCACCCACTTCCCGGTCAGTGCGTCCATCTTCTCAACCACGTACGCACTGAGAGGTAGACCGCCAGTGTGTTTCGGCTTGTTCCACTTCAGCTTGGCGTGGTCTGCGTGGACATCGGACACTTCCAATGGTCCTTCGGGCTTGCCCGGTTTGTCTGTAAGGTTATATTAGAATTTAATGTAGGCGGTACAAATAATAAATTTGTCCTTCATTCCTTAATTATAATACTTTCTTAAAAACGAATGTCCAGAAAAATTGAGGGCGTATTCCGTTTTCCAGGTGGCAAAACTATTTTTTTTAATATGGGAAAAACAGGGCTCATATTGATTCTATAAAAAGTTTTATTCTAAATATAATAATACTATTACTTATTCTAAAATCTCATCACAAATAACGCAAACCAAAATGACTCTTCTTTAAGATGGTTTTTTATAATCTACAATAATCTAGACACTTAGAATACATATTCATGAATCCATCTAATAAAACAAAATTTTACAATGTTGAAAGAACGAAACAGAGAGATATTAACATTTAAAAAGAATAATAGAGTAATATCATAGCAAGTGTCCATAGCTCCGTATATAAAATAGTATATTTACTAACCAAGCACAGTAACTTCGACGGTAGCTTCGTCGACTCCAGAATCGTTCTCCGCTTTGAGCGTGTAGATACCAGAGTTCTTCCATGTGGTCTCAAAGATTTGAAGACGAGTGTTGTAGTCCTCGTTTTCTAGTTTCACGCCTGGTGCCGTTTCCAAGACCTGAATAAAAAGTCGTAATATTATAAGAGAATAGTAAATATTACTTATTAAAAAATTGATTTTAGTGAAGAGTCCTTTCTGCAAGATGGACCGGCGACATCACTAAGGTGGCCGTGAGTGGATGGATGCGGAAGGCGGAAGATCGCACATGGTGGAAGACATTGGGAATGGCCTATATCCAACAGTGGATAGATACAGGCTGATATGATGATGATGAAAGAATATACTACCTTCTTTGCGAATGTCCACGTTTTGGTTGGTGGAGGTTCACCCTTGATGTCTACATCCAATCTGATGGTGGTGCCAGCACGTATACGGATAGCGCCCATCTTGTCTCGGTTTATGTGTGGTTTCACTGGAAACGTGAGAGTAATAAGTTTAATTATATTTTTATCTCCCTAACTAGTATGGGGCCAATCTGTCTTTTTTTTACAAAACAAGTTTTCAAGGGTCTTTAAAGAAACAGTTTCCATACGAAATGTGTCTCTTCTGTAAGACTTGGCTTTCTTGTGATGCGTTCTGAATTAAGGTGACCAAAACGACTTAAATGATGTATAAACAGTAACTATTAAAACTCATTATAAACAAAGCCAATATGTACATATATGAACCTGCGACCATCGGACGTAAGTCGGTGTGTTAAACCGGTAAACCATCGAAGCCGTCTTATAGACTAGTATTGCATATATTATAGTTGCACCGCCAACAATTATTCTGTGCATCATCATATGTACTTCGAACTTATATGTATTAAGTAAATATATAAATAAATACTTACAGAATCTAGCCTTGGCGACGTGCGGCTGTGTAGCGTCACCTGGCTCTCCAGGTCCGGCTTTATTGACGGCGCGGACGCGGAACTGGTACGTATTGCCTTCCTTCAGGTCCGGCACGCGAGCTTTGCACTCTGGTGTCTGGAGTTTGTAAATATTTATAGATTAACAACTTACACTCTCAACTTTCGCCCTATCCACTTATTATTTCTTAACCAATACTTTTGGGATCAGATACGATTTTCGCTATCATTTCAAGAATTTCTTACAGAAGATTTTTTATGTTTAATATAATCATACTACCTTAGTCAAATATACTGTTCACCAATGGTTGTTAAAACCGTTCTTGGGAGTGCCCACAAGAGTAGTTCTTACAATCGTTCTAAAACGGCAGTTTATTGTATCATTATACGATTCACATTTGAAGAGCCACGAAGATCAATCAGAATATAATAGAAATAACCTCTATTCGATAAATATAAACAAAATTTTAAGTATTTTTCACTGATAATTCTAATTCGAGCACCCATTCCACATGTAGATTCTGTTAAGAGTAGGTAAGAAATTTGTGATTATATAAAATATTTCACTACTCATGAGAGTTAAAATATTAAATATACGTTTATGGTGAATATCACCATGTATACTCACATTGGTAGTAAGCGCTTCTTGCCACTGTCCGAATTTCTCCTTCTTTTCGATGACGTAGCCCGTGATGGGTGCACCGCCGGTGTTCTTGGGCGCCTCCCACTTCAGGTCCACTCGGTCCACGTCCCAGTCCTCGATTGTGGGCACAGAGGGTTTACCAGGGATATCTGAAAATAAATATAATTTAAAAGTGTTTAAGACCCTTGTTGTTAGGTTGAAACTACCTTTAAAATTTCTCAAATTTAAACATTAATTCGTAATGAGAGCATGATATCAAATCAAGTCAGTCAATTTGTATCAAATCAAGAGGTATCAAATAATTGTTTTTTACTATTAAAAGACAAAGAGACCGTGGAAGAAAATAACTTATAGATATAATTTAAAGCCTTAAGCAGAGATTATATAATATACATACCATAAGGATTCTTAGCGACAATCGAGTGGTCAGTCTTCAGTGGTTCAGACTCGCCCTCCTCGTTGACGGCCCTCACTCTGAACTCGTACTCTTCACCCTCTTGCAACCCCTTGATTTCCATCTCTGTGTCGTCGGTCTTGCCCACAGGCACCCACCGACCAGTTGCTTTGTTTAGTTTCTCTACTACGTAACCAGTAACTGGTTTACCTGAAAATTGTCCATAAATTACATGTACAAATGTTTTTAAATTTTTTATTAACTTGTAGTTGTATTTTCAATCAAAATTACTAGAAAACTTTATAAGCATAAACAAACATTGTTAGAATTTTTGTGCCTCTGTGCGTCTAAGCGTATCAGTGTGGTCATCGCCAATATATTTTGATAAGATTCAAATGTTTCATTTTTATGGATATTAATCCTATAAAAGTTTTGAGTAGATTTATGCAACTAGTAAACTAATTATTCTTCTCGTTTCACACGATTTTAATATTAAATTATTTCATAAATACAAAATAGGTGTAATTATAATCCAGTTCTAAACTAATAACTTAATCTTATTAGTAAGATATTTGTAATATGAAAAACCTATACAACCATTAATTAATACAAATGTCTATTGTCTAATATCGATACATACTGTACTTTTTGTAACAGACATAATAAAATATATTCAACTCACCACCATCATCTTCTGGTTTCTTCCAAGACACTTTGCAACCAGACTTTGTAACATCTGCAACCTTAAGTGGTCCGCCGGGTTTGCCGGGTGCTGATAAGACGGTGATCTCCACTTCAGCTTCGTCCTTGCCGTGCTCATTGGTTGCCAGGATGCGGTACGTGCCGGTCATGGAGCGTACGGATTCTTTAATATCCAGTTTCGTATTGTAATCTACGTTGATTACATTCTCTGTCACCTGGGAATTTAATTGTTGTAATTAGTATAAGTCATGTACAAATAGGTTTATAAGTTCCGGATCGTATCCGGCTCAAAGGACCCCTCTAGTAATTTAACGAGAAACTGCTGCCAACGTTATGAGCCTTTGGACCGGATACGAGACGGGATGTATAAAACGTGACATCATCTGTTTGTTTCTTGTCCCATTTATTTGAGGTCGGCATAATATGAAAGAAAAAATCTCTTCCACTCATCGTTGTTCGGAATCATCTTGTTACTTCCTTTCTTACTATATCATCTTTCAAACAGTTCACCCATCTATTTTTCGACCTTCCTCGTCTCTTATAACTATCCATTCATATGTAGCATAACAACGTGAGGCAAGTTATAGTTCAAGCTTAATAACATATATATATACTAAATCCAGCTTTTGTTTGCACATATAATTACAGGGATTTTCGATAATCTAAATGCCTTACAATAATTAGTTCAGTTAATCGAATTTTCACTGTATCTGCAAATATGAACCCACCTCCTTCTCATCTGCTTTCCATTTCTGGAACCATTGCACTTTAGGCGCCGGTTCGCCCTTGACGTTGACGTCGAAGAAGATCGGCTTACCAGCACGCACCGCTAATGCCTTCAGATTGGTGCGGTCAATGCGTGGTTTCACTGCAACACATTGATATTATGGAATTTACATTTTAATTAAATTCAAGGAATATTTGAAGAAAAGTAAATTTGGTTCAAAATAATGAAGCGTTAGTGTCAATGGATACCTTAAATACTGTAATACTCATCGAGAGCATATCACTACATGGTATAAAACAAAGGCGCTGTCGCTGTCTGTCCTGTGTATGCTTAAATCTTTAAACTACGCAACGGATTTTGAAGCGGTTTTTTTAACAGATACTCCATCTATTAAAAAACCGCAAGCAAGCAATTCTAGAGGAAGGTTTATATATATAATACATGTACACCCATGCGAAGCCGGGGCGAGTAGCTAGTAATTTTATAAAAGGAAAAGGGGAACTTTAATACAGAAATGCAATTTTACAGAGATTGTATTTTTGATGACATGTAGCAAGATATAGGGTTATTTGTAAGTATACCCACATTCTACTCAGTGACCTCAACTAATGTTGTGATCAATAAAACTACAGTGCAAACTAGATATAACAAACCTTAGACCAACTTAACCACATTATAATAATAATAATATTTCATTCAGATTATTATCCCATAGTGTTATTAGAGTTACAATTAATTAAATCTAATGTTACTAGGATCAATCCTAGTACATAAATACAAAAATAACATAAAATGGATATAACAAGCCTCAATTTAACCAATTACTTGATATAACAAACATTTACACGATTACCATACAAATTTCATGTTAACGTTTACTCACGGGATTTGTGTCTGATGGTGGTCAGCTTGGTCGGGTCTGATGGTTCAGACTGGCCGGCCTTGTTGACTGCGATCACTCGGAACTGGTACTCACTACCCTCTGGTAATCCATCCACCTTCGCTGATGTGGCTGTACCAGGCACCTGGGTCGTACAATTTGATTATATTTATTTATATCGGTCTGAGAGTGTTTTATGCATATTATGTATGGATATACAAAATCATATATTCTATGTATATAATTTGTTTGGTACTCATAACACAAGCTCTACTTAGCTCAGGACTAGATGGTGCTGTGTGAATTGTTACTGAAATATTACTATTTTCCAACAATAACTCCATGTTAAAAATTCTATTATAAAAGCATATAGCTTTTTATTCTAATACTGCTTACCCATAGGTGACTGGGAGAAAAGGGGGTTGTAAGTAATATGGACTGATGATCTTATTGCTAGTATTGTACCAGATCATGTTGACCTTCACGCGGTTCTTGGTGAATTTATCACGATGGTGTCCAGGGAGAGGCCTAACTGACCTGACCTCATGTTCATCTTATCATCCTCCACTGGTGCCCCGCCAGCGTAAATTGTTAGCGCAGGCGGATACACCATTCCATTATCAACCATAAAAACATCATAGGTGACCTTTAAAGTAACCGTTAGAGAAGGCTGCCCATAGCATTGCCAAACCGCGATTTGAACTTTACAATAAGAATATAGAGCATCTAATATACCTCTCCAGCATTCTCCCAGTCTCCGCCCTTGGGCTTCTTCTGTATGATGTACTTCTGGACGGGCGCGCCACCATCGGACTTGGGTGGGTCCCATTTGATCTCAGCACTCTGGTTGTCGTGGTCAGCAACTTGCACGTTGCTGGGTTTGTCAGATATATCTGTAATTTTAAAATAATAAAATAAATGATTAAATCAATTATCTATATCGTTATTAATGCTGGTGGATATATTTGACAATATTGAAATATTATTTTGAAAAAAAAAAGCTTGTAGAAAGCTACAATATGAGATTATAAAGAGCAATTTAATTAAAAAATAAAATAGTCATCTCTACTATAATCACCAGTGTTAACCCGAGGCATGCCGCTATTATAATTAATATTTATATTATTTTATAAATATATTTCAATAATAATTTTCATTATGTCAATACATGTATAGTATGATATATTTAATATATAAAAAGGTGATTTTATTCTTTTTTTATATATTTTAAAAACAATATTCGTATTGATCATGTATTGTAATAAATTTAATATCATCTTTGAAATTACTTTAATTTATAATTTGAACCAACGTTGAAATTAGTAATAAAAATTACCAAATGGATTCTTCGCGAGTATGGCGCGGTCAGCTTCCAAGGGTTCAGAGTCACCCTCGTCGTTGACGGCTGTCACCCTGAACTTGTATTGATGGCCGGGTTCGAGCCCAGTGATGTCCATCTCCAGAGGCTTCTTGTCGCCGGCCACTCTGTCAAAAAGCACAAACAAATATTTGTTTTACCGTTTGTTATTCAAATGACGTAAGTATGTCATAAATTTATTTTCAACACACTTCCTCGTAAAGTTGATCTAGTTTCAGCGGTTTTCGACACGCGTGCATTATAAATACTAATAGCTGAAGTAATATTCGATAACCGCACTATTTCTTTTTCTTTTCAAATTTTCAACTGACTGCCGCGAGCCGCCAGCCAGCATTTTAAAAAAGTAAAACGGCGGGAAATACGTATAACTTTAATAATTGTTTTTCATAATTAAAAATAAACAATATATAAAATAATTATTTTTTACTCTATTGCCTTGCAAGTGTGTTGAAAAACGGTGTACGATATACGTGCGTATTTAACACAATCGCTTCTATTACAGACCGACAGATGAAATTCTGCCTCGTGTGTTATAACCAATATTTATTTATTTACTTATATCGTAATATACTATTTTATGTAGTCGGAATATCAATTTGATGTCAAACACCTGATGGTAAGTGAGTATCATGGTAGGTATATAGGTATGTATATACCTACCTTGTATATACATACATGTATATGTATGTGTATATGTAGTGGTATAGACCACTTACCATCAGGACACATCATTATGCGATGCGATACTCCTAATGTGTGCAACACATATGGGGTATCGCATCACATCCTTGTAATTTCACTGCCACTTCTCATCCTTTAAACAAAACAGCTTACAGATAAAGTTGCTCAGATACAGATGACTTCATACAAAGTCTATATGAGAGAAAGATTTTTTTATAATTTGCAAGTTTAGGCAATAGACTCACCTTCCAACACGGACCCACTTTCCAGTAGCCAGGTCCATCTTCTCGACCTCGTACTCCTTGACTGGGGAGCCGCCATCGTCTTCTGGCTTTTCCCATCTGACCTTGCAGCCTTCGGCGTGTACATCTGTCACTTCAAGTGGACCTGGTAAGAAGAGTAACAGATTACTTAACAAGTGGCGCCGACCATTACTAGAGATGCCACGAATAGTGGTTTTGTCAAATATTACTAATATTATAACGCGGAAGTTTGTAAATATGGATGGATGTTTGTTAATCTTTCGGGCAAAAAATACTGAATGCATTTTAATGAAACTTTACAATAATATAGTTTATACATCAGAATGGCATATATGTTATAATTTTCTCACATATTAGGCTTTAGACTTGTCCGAAGCTTCAAATATCGGTGAAATTTTAAATTTGCGAATACTTGACGTTTGGCATTAGTGACCAAACTCCGATCGTCGAATTTACGTGAATTCGTGAATCGAACCCGCTACCATCGGAAGTAAAGCGGTATACTTAACCACTAGACACCCGAGGTATTATGATAAAATAGACCTAAGCAAAAATACTACCTAATTCAATAAAGTATGTATTATTACCTTTAAGCGAGCTGGGTTTACTAAGTATAGTCAGCTCGAAATAACCCTTAATACAATAAAATATGTATTATTACCTTCAGGTGAGCTGGGTTTACTAAGTATAGTCAGCTCGAAATAACCCTTAATACAATAAAATATGTATTATTACCTTTAGGTGAGCTGGGTTTACTAAGTATAGTCAGCTCGAAATAACCCTTAACACAATAAAATATGTATTATTACCTTTAGGTGAGCTGGGTTTACTAAGTATAGTCAGCTCGAAATAACCCTTAATACAATAAACTATGTATTATTACCTTTAGGTGAGCTAGGCTTGCTAAGGACAGTCAGCTCGACGGTTTCCTCGTCGAAGCCGTTGCAATTCTCGGCCCGCAACTTATATTTGCCGGTGTCGCGTCGTACCGCGTTCACTATAGTGAAGTCAGTGTGGTATTCCTTGTTCTCGATCTTGATACGTTCTGTGTTTACCAGCTTGATGTTTTCACGCCACGACCTGTAATTTTTATTTATTTATACACTGTAGGTATAGCAACAGATACAGAAAATATATTAATTAAAAAAATACAATAAGTAGTATATAAGGCGGTCTTATCGCTCTCCGACTACCTCATATGGGATAACAGTCGTGGCGGAATGTTTTTTTAAATATGACTAGCTATACGCGCAGCTTTGTCTGCATTTTTAGATGGTAATCTATGTCCGTCCTCATGATACAATCTCTATATCAAATTTGATTAACAGCCGTTCATTAAGCCGTGAAAAGGTTAAAAACAGTCGGAGAGCAATTTGCATTTATAATATTAGTATGAATTTAATAGACTATTTGTTGGTCCATATATAAAACTAAATTGATTTTATCATGTTATTACTAAGAACTTGAAAGTACATAGAAGCATTTACTTCGTGCTTTTTTAGATTTAGATAAATATTTATTAGATTGTATTGCTATTAAAAGATCAAGTAAAACTGCTATTTTAATTTAACATTACATTAATTTAAGATAAAAAAGTACATACAGTAATTTATGCAACATATGCATACATACATTGCATTGCTACAAGCTTTTTATAGTTTTATAAGCGCAAATGCTAAGAAAAAACGCGTAACCGCTTTTTCTTAGCATTTGCGCTACGTCCTTCACGGTGGTTATTGAGGGTTGGAGAAGTAATATTCATTACATATGGAGGGGACAGCGCGTACGCAGTCCCCACTACCAAAAATTACGCGTCCGAGTTATCCACATTAGGGATAATCGCAGGGGTCAACCCAACCGCAGTGCAATGGAAGGGCCTCACCCTGGGGGAACCGCCTTATTGATCACGGTGTCTCCTACGCCAGGTAAGTATGATTTTACGAAACTACAGCGGGAGGGTCATTCTAAGCGAAAAAATCTTAATAGCGCGATGTAAATTGGCCAGCGTCGACATCTAGTGGAGACATAAAGTGATGGAACGTTTTGGTTTGGCATCTGCATGAAACACCCTTAAGAGACTTAATTTCAAAATAGAATACTAGAGGGCGCTAAACGAAAGCAGTGAAAGCACTGCTCGTTACGGACGTGAGCATGTTCGTAAATTAAGAAATATTCCTACTGCTTCTTCAAGAATATCGATTTTATTTGATATATTTATTTCCTTGTCACACTTGTATCTTTAGCTATAAAAGTTGGTAGCGTAAACATGCACACTTTATAAATTATGTGTTGTGGATACAATTATAAAATATGCAATTATTTACTAATAACATATTTATCGTTAATCCACTCAATATTAGTCTTAACTTAGTTCTTAATTTGAATTTGTATTCAACAGACAGTCAAGATACTAAGAAGATGAATTTCATCTATCCTAGGTACATTAAAAAGAAATAATAATTATTCGATTAATGGTAAACATTTTTTAACAATTTGTGTTGATATGTAATTATTATAGATATAGAAATAAATAATTTCTATGTACTCATTACTTATATTTTTACCGCCAATCTATAATCATTATCCTTGGTTGTTCATCGTTTAGAAATTATAATATAAATATTTATATAAATAAATAAAATAATTGATAGTGCCATACTCCACAATACTTATTGATTATAAATTCACTTTATGTATAAAAAAATAATCTTCATAAAACTTCAGTGGCATGTAATAAATAATATTTATTTATTTACCATGTGCACTCTGGTGGTGGTTCACCAAAGACATCCACCGACCACTTGTGAGTGCGTCCAGCCTTGATGATGACTGATTTGAATGTGCTGCGTTCGATGCGAGGTTTCACTGTAATAGAAAAAAAAAGTGAGCACCATAGATCTATAAGAGTTTCTTACTAACAATAATAAATACCATTTATTTCTACATTTAGAAATAATACAAGTAATGGAAGAATTATCATATTTATAAATAGCAAATATTGTGTAATACTTTGGTAAAGTATTACACAATATTTGCTAAAAAGGACTCCAATCAACATATTGCTGTCATGGCAGCTTCAGTGCAGATGTTCTGTAATAATAATAGGAGGTTTGGTGATAATTATTAGCATTTGATGGAATTTAGGACTGTTTTGTCTCAATTTTATTATAACTACAATTTGGAACACATTTTTATTGGAATACAAATAAAAATCATTATATATACTATTCTAAAATTACTTAATATTATGTTACCAATCATATTACTTACAGTTCTTATGCTTGCAGAGATGGTTGTCAGTTGGTTCGGAAGCATCTCCAACACCAGCCTTATTGTAGGCCTTTACTCTGAATTGGTACACCAACTTCTCTTTAAGCCCTTCCACTTTATATTCAGTGTTGGTATCTTCTGTTTTAACCACCTGAAAATAAATATTACATATCGAATTATTTATATACTTTTTGCCACTAGGCAAGGAAAGGTACTTATTAATACAAACAATAAAAGAAATTGATGGAAAAAAAATGTATTGTTCAACTCTAACCCATGGTAATGTGAAATGTAAGTAAGCTGACAAATAATAAATTAATAAATAACAATAATAAACAATGTAAGGGTATTTAATCTATAGTCTTTAGCCTGATTTAGTAGACACTACAATACTCTAGTCATATTATGACCAGACCAGATGTAAACACCCTATTACTATAAAATTAAAGAAACAATTAATCAGTCAGTAGAGACAGAAATTTAATTATTAAATTGAACAAATTCAAATTTATAACATATTAATTTATTATTTAACATATAAAATATAATACTAGTTCTATACTAATACTCTTTATCTTTGGAATACAGCCTGTTATAATCTGTTGTATTGCAGTGAGTCGAAACTCGGCTTTCTAGAGGTTAAAAGAATTTAAAAAATGCTTGTTAATCCATAACTAATAAATTACAATATATCAAATAACAAAATAGTAATAATCACAGGCTAGAGCAAGTCTTTAAACATAAATATTTCTATAAAAAATCAAACAGATCTTTCTAAATATATTTAGATTCGTTAACAAACTTTAAAGCAATAGTTTTTAATTGTTCCCAACTTTTTTTTGTACTGATTTTATAAACAATTTCTTGGATAATTTTGCAACAATATTATAATTATTTTTTTTAATAGACAATGTTTTTTTCAGGGTCTCCTTAACCCAATAATTACAAATACTTATTATTATATCCAAACTTACTTAATTCCGTTACACTGTAAATAAATTACAATATTGTAATATGTACCTACCTCAATCCAATCAGGAGAGAATTTATCCTTCCTTTCGACCACATATCCGAGGATTGGTCTTCCACCGGTGTCCGAAGGTGGCTCCCATTTCAGCGTCACGGATACATTATCATAATCGATGATCACAGGCTTGCTGGGCGCCTTTGGTGGGTCTAAAGTGTAATATTACTTCCATTATTATAACAGGTTTTAAAATGTTTGTTAAATACAATGGTATTGAATTCCATTTGCCTCCTAAATGTTTGTTTGTAAACAAACAGCTGTCACTTATAAGAATGACAGCAACTGTCAATTGAATGCGTTTCGTTAAAACAATATTAAGAAAAATATGTAATGCATAGATGGATAAAAAAACAATTATTGTTCTTAGGCATACATCCTTATGTATTAAGAGAAATAATTTTATTTACAATATCTCGACTACCGACTTTTAGTCTAGAAACTGGTACCGGCTTTTGTAAAAACTTAGTCTCGCCTATTTTAGCCCCCAAGCAAGTTTGAAAGTAGTATTTTCAATGTAGGGTAAAATTAGGGCCGTCAAATTACGGGAAACATGATATCATGGGCGTCACATGATAACGTGGCGTCCTTGATGCTGTTCATGTACATAGGCGACGATTACCGCTTACAATCAGATGGACCTTCCCATTCCAATTACAGAAAAGGTGTAGAAGGCAAGGTACGGTCTGTGGTACTTTAGCCTTATATCCTGTTTCCCTGTACTGTGAGTAAATACTCTATCAATATCATAAGTATGCGTATGAGAAATAAATAAAATAAAAATGACCTAGCATATTTTATAAACATGACTATTTATCACTTATATACTTACTAAATCTAAACTGCACATTGCATTTAATGACTGATCAGCTTTTGATTCATTAATTTAATCGTGCAACATTGTAGTTTCATTAAGTTGCCAAATAGGTCATGTTATACGTAATTTATAAAGCAATACTGTTACTATTGAAAATAATGGGATTTCTAATAATATCCCAAGGAAACTAATGTTTTGACACAACAGGTTCACTGGAATAACTTTTATTTTTCGAACCACCTATTATATTATAATTTTCAACGCTGCTGACCTTTACTTCACTTAACAATATCAGGCAACACTCCCATATTATAATATGAGCTAACAATAAACTTTGTTAGATTGATCTCTACGCAGTTAAACTATGGGCTAACAACTGACCTGACCTTATTCCACCACCACCACAGGCGCCACCAGCATAAACCATTAGCGCAGTCCGGTGCACATTTCCATTATTATCAATTATTATCAATTAAAAAAATCTCACCATACGGATTTTTGGCGACGATGAAACCATCCGTCTCTAGTGGTTCTGATTCGCCCTCTTTGTTGACGGCGCGAACCCTGAATTTATATTTGTGGTTCGGAGTGAGACCCTTCACTTGGAATTCTGTTGGTTCTGGTCCAGTTTCGCCACATGGTACCCAGTTTCCAGTGTCCTGTGAAACACAGACAAATCACTTTAATCCTAAAGAACTAATTTTGCATTAATTTATAGTTTTGCTTCAGCGTTCAGATATGAGTGTACATGGAAACATTTAAGAAAATTTTAATAAAATCAAATGTAAAGAAAGCGCGAATTATAAGAAATCAGGGGACAATAATAGAAACAATCTAAGCAAATCGTTAATTCAAAGCTTTCTGTTTCAACTCCGAACTATTTCTAAAAAAAAGTAGTCATTTAAGTATACAAAGTAATACGAAGTGTAATATTTAAAGATAGTTGTCGTACCTGCTTTATTATTATTAATAAATGGTTAATAGTAAATAAGTTCTGTAAATTAATCACGATTGACTTTAATTTAATTGATTGTAAGATTGCGCTGTTTAATCAGTACAATACTTGTTATCAGTTTCCTGTTCAATATTTTTATAAAGATAATAAATAGACATGTAAATTAGTTAATTAAAGTTTTTTTTTGGAAGGAAGAAAAATTATATGTACGATTCTATACTTAATCTAGCACTGAAATAAGTGCATAGTCCTTTATTGAATCATTACAAATTTTACACCTTATAAAGGTAGGAACTGAAAGAGTGCAACTTTGCAAATCAAGCTGTTTCCGGCAGATTATAGCATAGAAAGGGCAAAAATTTCAATATTAATAAAATTACCATATCCATTTTCTCGAGAGTATATCCGGTGATGTCGGATCCTTGCCAGTCGTCTGGTTTCTTCCATTTGACTGTAGCCTTCTCGGCGCGGATGTCTGCGACTTCAATGGGACCATTCGGACGGTTTGGTTTGTCTGTGAAAAATATATTATATTATGAATATATTTTAAATTTATGCAATCGAAATGGTATACAAGATGAACAATCAACCGTCGTAGTTAATATACATAATGGATCAGGTCATCATGTGACATTCGTGATACTTTTTGTTTTGCTATTCCAAAGGACTAATTTTTATACCTCCTTACCCTACTATTTCACTGACATTTTCATCTTTCAAACTTGTATTCCGGCTTACAAAGAATACTTGACAGCAGAAGTTGAAGAGATAGGCACGCAAATTACTTTGGCCAAAATTGGTATCTTTTTAATTTGGCAGGGTCAACTATAAGGTCAACATCGTCCTTAAATGCGAAGTATACGACGCATACAGGCTGGACAATAAAGGGAATGGATGAAACAGCGACAGTTATTAATTTTTTTACACAACAATAGTTGATTATATATAAGTGGGTATAAGTCTCCTAAGATATCATATATTCAGTCAAAGTTCGAAAAATAATTGCCTAAATACGACGACAAAAAAGAGGCGCTTCTAAGGTTTACACAGGCGCTGCCGATGGTCGGCTTTTTTTGCGGACTACTTTAATACTGTTGGCCGCAGCTGACCTTTACAGCTTTACCAGCTGATAGGGGGCGAGGGCAGATGGCACTCCAAACCCGCGGAATGACTTATGGGGTAGGTGAAAGCAAACTCCTGTCTGACAATACGACTTTAGTCTCAGGGCACCGCTAGGGGTTCAAACTTCAGCTCAGGTTGTTGTAATTTCGATTGGAATTATTGGACGGGAAATGCCCGGTTGGCGATGCCACCCTGCCTATTATAGTACTTACCCAACACAACAACATCGCCCACACTCTCGCAGGTTCCTGATGAGTTAGTCAGCACCAACTTGTACTTCCCGCTGTCAGGTCTGGTGGTCTTCCTGACGGTCAACACCGTGTTTCTTTCGTACTTGTCAATTGTGATGCGGTCGCCATCATCATGAATTTCCTAGAGGTAGATATAGAAGTATGAGAATGGAAACATAAGGGAAAGCATCTGACCATTAGGTGTTATGAAGTTTTGGTTATGGTGAGATATGAATTATAGTGAGATACCATTGGATGTATTAAATAGAATTGTTAAGAAGACCTACAGTATAATTAATTTTAGATATTATAGAATATTTGAAAGTTGAACATCAAAAATGCTTTAAGAAGCTCAGAGAATAATAATAGGCTACAAACTATATTTCTATACTTGCCTTTAATTTTATAATCTTATTTGTAATTGGAGTTACTGCACAGAAGTGCCAAATAACTATAGGTACACTTATATAATGCTGATATAATCTTAATTAAAAGGGTAAGCTAGGAATACTTTGATAAGTAATGACTTTAATTATAAAGTTAAAAGAGAATTAAAAGATTTATCATACGAAATGGTATGTTGGAAAATTAATAGAATTAGTTTAAGATTCAAAAACAGGCTTCGGACTAGAGAAAGAATTCAATTAAAAGTCTATAGCCTATATTAAGATTTATTGAGTATAAACAATGAAGAAAGATAATAATCATAAATATATAATAGATAAATGGAACATATTAAACCTTAGTGATGTGAAAATGTTATAAGAAATAGCGTGAAGTTCATAATATGAAAGTTTGTGAATATTAATGATTGATCAGATGCTAACCCATAAATAAATAAAATTGTCCAGTCATAGAGAAGTAGTGTTAGAATGTTATGTATAGATGGAGGCAATACACTGCCTCTCTTGCATGTGAATTTGTTAACACAATAAAATACTGAAGTAATGAATTATATTATTAGTATCGATGATGGATCTGTATTTCCCATGATCGATTACAATAAAAAACATAATTGTCATAAATTATAAATATAGGTAAGTATTAATTTATGACATCGTCTCGTATTTGAAAGAAATGGAATTACCAGTGCTAGGTGCAATCTACTGTAAAGAAAGTAATTTTTGCTGTGAATAAGAATCTAATATAGATGTTTAAATAGAATTACAACATTGAAAGCTTCGACACTGAGATTTCTAAATGATAGAATTAAAGAATCGCATCCATTGCGATACTTTGAACAGTGTTGAATCAAACCGTATATACATGATGATTAATATTTCAGAAAATCAAAATAGTAATATAATATCTATAGCATTAACTGGTTTTTAAATTCAATTACGATTAATTCTATTTAGTTTGCTCTTCATAACACTTTTATTTACATTGTATGAATATTTTTTTAAATGCTTATATATTATGTATGCGGTTTGGTTCAAATTGTAAGTATACAAGTATTTTCATTGAAGAGTAATCATGTTAGCCACATAGTATAAGAAGTAGGTTTATATAATGTTGAGTAATTTTTAGAACATATAAATAACAACATCTAGTTTCACCCTCTGACCTTCTCCGTGTACGGCTTTCCTCGTTTCTTTATTGAAAAAAAAAGTAAATAATTGTCAATAACAATATTAATTTAATTCTATGGTTTTTTTTACTGTGAACATATGTATAACAAGGTTAATTTTACCATTTTTTTAGAACCTTGGACAGATGGCTATTAAATTTTAAAGTCAATATTTCTATATCTGAAATTAAATATCAATTGATATATATAGTATAGTTACCTCTTCACCCTTCATCCATTTAACTTCGGGTTCAGGTTCGCCGGCATATTTAATATCATAAACAATAACCTGTCCCTTTTTAATTATCATACCCTGAAGACCCTCACCAATGATGTAGGGTTTCACTGTAATAAAATTCATTATTGAATCTCAATTAATAAAATAAAGATTTACAACAGCAAATATATTATTTAAATTATAAAATAATTTACCAAATCTGCACTTGGCAACAATCGGCTTAGTGCTATCACTAGGTTCACCAGGTCCAGCTTTATTGATAGCACGAACCCTGAACTCATAGGTACAACCTTCTTTAAGACCATCTTGCGTTGCAGCTAGACAGTCTCCGGGAACCTCTTTACCAGTTACCCAGTCCTTGCCGAATTTCTCCTGTAAGCATTAATTGTATATTACAAGCATATCTTTCTACAGAATATTCAATCTAAAATTATCCTATAAGCATACCTTATATTCAATTACGTAACCAGTGATTGGTGCACCACCATCGTTATCTGGCTTCTGCCATTTGAGATCAGCGTGGTCTTTATCCCAATCCGCAAGCTCGACGTTTTTCGGCTTGGATGGTTCATCTAAAGAATGAGCAAAAATGTTAGTAAATGCACGCATTTCCTCTAAGTCTGGTAGATACTGAATGTATACAGATAATACTTACCCCATGGATCTTTAGCCAGTACAGGCTTGCCAAAGAGTCCAGGTTCACTGGAACCAATTTTGTTAACAGCACGAATCCTAAATTTATAAGTCTTCTTCGCAATAAGATCTTCAACCTTAATCTTTGTCGGTTGACCACTTGGTACTTCAGCTACATTATCCCAGCCAGCCTTGAGAGATAAATCCTGTCTTTCAATAACGTATTTGACAAGGGGCGAACCACCATCGTCCTGCGGTGCTTTCCAAGTGACAACACAAGACGTCTGGAAAATCTCCGATACTTCCACATCTTGTGGGGGTGTAGGTACGCTCTGCATGTTAATGGTAACGTTTTTAGAATCTTCACCCTGGGCGTTTGTTAGTTTGATTTGATATTTGCCTGATCCTTCTCTCGTTGGTTTCTTAATCTTAAATAGAACCTTCTCCTGTTCGACAACTGCTTCAACTTCTTTAACAGGTAATGCCTTTCCATCTTTCCACAATTTAGCCTCAATTGGCGTTTGTCGGGTGCCGGTAACTGTTAATATAACACTCAATGAAATAAATTTAAAAATGTAGGTTCTACTAAATACATTTCCTATAATATCAATTCTTAAGTTTTCGGAATATTATATATATAAACAAACCTTTATAAGGCACCTCAATGACAAACGGCTGTCCAGCTGGTCCATTAAATTCATCCGGACAATCGATAGTTGGTTTCGATTCTCCTTTTTTGACAGTGAGCTTACAAGAAGAGCTCAGCTTGCCAGATTCACATAGGATCTCACCATCATCTTCCATCTCTAATTTATTAAAGATAAGTTGGTGTTTGCCGCCGCCCAGGTTCTTAATTTCAATCCTATAAAAAAATATGACATTTTATCTATTTTTTATAACGATATTTTATAATTATATATATATATATTATTTATAACGATATTTTATAATTATATAATTATAATATTTAATTACGGGATAAAGTATTTAGTTTCAATTGTTGATTACATTTTATTATTCTATTATAGTTTACCTCTCATTAGGAACAATAGGTTGTCCATTGAAAGACCAGACGGCTTCAGCAGTCTGATCCTGGAGCTCGACTTCCAACACAACCTTGTCCCTCTCAATTGCTTCGGTGTCCTTCAACTTTTTATTGAAGCGATTCGAGTCTGGGAACATCACAAGATTTTTGTTAAATATATATAACTATTATTAATATGAATCACAATAAAAGTCTTATATTAGTAAAGTACACAATACGTGAATTATCCGTTGAATATTTGTTTGCAAACTGAAACGTAAAGTTTAAAATTGTTTAGGTCTAGTAAACTCAAACAATAGACCGTAAATAATGATCCCGATACACATAGGTAATCTCATACTCCCAATATCTCCATAAATTATCTATCTATCAATGATATTTATATTTAATAAATAGAATACTACTGATGTAATACCATCTACATGTTACGCAATATCATGTACCTAGTATTCTCATTAAACATAATGACAAATAAATAATATAACTTTACTTGGGATGCCATGATATTTTTTTTGTATTGGCATTGCACAACATAGATACAGTTTGAAAAGAAGACTTACAATTGACTATCAACTCGCAGGCAGTTTCATCGGCGTTACTGACGCATTTGAAGTTTCCTGCGTCCGTTACTTTAGCATCCTTGATCACCACTTTTCGTTTGCGCCCATCTTTCACTATTGTCACGCGCTTGTCTGTCTTCAAAGGTTCATCGTTCTTGAACCTAACATAAAACATTGATTAATTACCAATTAAGTATATAATCTATAAATAAATACTTCTGTAAATGCAAAATAAACTCCTTTTCCCGTATTTAACCTCACATTATATTATATAGCAAGCAAATAATCATCAAGTCATTCCGTAAACGAAATAGATCCAGCTACTACAGGCTTTGCGGATAAGAATTAATTGCAGTTATTGTTTCCTTCTAATAAGTAGGGTAAATAAGAATACATTTTTAACTAGTAATAATGATTAATCAATTTGATTTACTTACCAGTTCACTTCACCAGAAGCATCGTCAAGTTCGCAAAGTAATGTAATGGTATCTTTCTCAATCGCTTGTTGCGATTTAAGAACTTTGGTAAATTTGTATGGATATTCTGAAAGAATCGTCAAAAATAATGTATGACTGTTACATATATTTTTATATAATATAAAAAATAGGACCACATATAAAAGTAAGTACAAAAGACAAAGTCTTGCGGGAAGCCCTTAAAAAGACACTGTGGACGAAAAATTATAGAAAAAAATGAAAAGTTACTTTAATAATTTATTAGAAAATGATGATGACTCACCCACAATCTTGACATCAGTTTCAGTTTTATCAGGCTGTTTCTCTATTTTACAGGCGTATTTTCCGGCATCCTCAAACTTAGCGCTCTTAATTAGTAGTCTACATACACCTGATAGATCTTTAGATATCTGGTAATAATCGCCATCTTCTAACTTCTGATCTCCTTTCCACCAAGAAACAATGGCGAGACTGTTTGACACGGCGCATTCTAAGACTACTTCGTGTAATGTGTACCCACTTGTAGTCTTCTTAAGTGATTTTGTAAAGGTATACGTAGGATCAGGTTCATCGACTTGTAGGAAAGCCGTGCAAGTAATTCCGCCGATTTCAATTGTGATTTTACCCGTATCTTCTACTTTCGGATTCATGATTATCAGTTTGTATGAATCTTGCTCGTTCGTCATTTTGTACTTTGATCCTGGGAAGAGTTCCTGTGGTATAGAAAATAATTAAAGAAAAATCAATATCATACATTTTTGGTAGTGCGAATTACGGCGATAGTAAATAATCATACTCACGTCCTTGCGGAAGAACCATTTTGGCTTCGAATTAGGCTTGGTAAAGATGGCTTCAAAAGTCACCTTCTTGTCCTTGCCTTCTTTCGCGAATTGATCTACGAGGGGTTTCAGGAACGACTCTTGTTTCTGAAAGAAACGGTTAGTGACCATTAATGGACCTGTTGTGATGAGAGGTAAACATGTGCAGTCACAAAAAGGTGCTCTTCATACAAAAGCTTTAAGTGCTGACCACGAAGAAACTTAGGGCGACTTCTCAAAGCCGTCAACTTTACTCGACAGTAATTCAAACGCAAGAAAATCACTGAACACTGTTGAGTTGATAGTAACCGAGGCATTAGAATCATCAGCCATTCTTCGATCATCACGCTAACACTCCATGCTATTGTACAGAATTTCGACATTCCATATTTTTTTTTGTGCTGTGGACATTAATTTAAAACAATTGTTGAATTCCACAGTGTGATTAAAGTTTTGTCTAATTAAAATGAAGAATTAAATGTAAACGTAACAGTAAACATTAGATAAAAGAATAAGATTTCGATAGTCGACTACATTGTGCGTAATAACCTTAATATATATTACATCTTAGGTGCTTGGTGCTTAAATGTTGACGAAGGAGTGCACTGAAGATTTGCTGTATAAAAAGAACAGAAGAGTAGAAAGTACTATAGTTTGTGCCAAATATAGACAGATATTTGTGATTATGTCGCTATACATTGTAGTAATCCAGTAGATATAAAAAAAATACAATAGCACTAATCATCATGACATTAGTCGTTGCCAAAATAATAAATTCATTGAAATATAAATATTTGAATTAATTTAATGATTATGGTAAAATACGAATTATTTTACAAAAGATTGGTTTAAGACAGCACAGAATAGACAGAAATGTTTATATTATAGCTAATAATAAAAAAATAATTTGGTAAAATCGAAATCTGCAACAAGTAAGTGTAGGTTTAAAGAAAACAGATTAAAAATTAATTTAGAGAAACAGTACCCCTATGTTGTAATAGTTAAGGATAATATGATATATCAAGACAATTTTACAATAATAAATAAGAAAATTAATGACATTTCCACATGTTGAAATACAAACAAATATGTACAGGAAATAAAGTTCTGAAAGGACAAGTTTGCCAATTCGGTTCTCATCAAGTTGAGAATATATAATAACAATTTAGGCTGTCTTGAACTAATGTTAGCCACAGTTTAAATTTTCATGATACATTAGTGCCAAAATGTAACAGTATATCTACTGGACTAACGTACACCAAGTGCAAAAGTTTTTGTGCGACAAGTATTTGCATTGGTGATACCACAAAGATACGTGATATTGTACACTGTGGGTATCAAACCTCGTCTCTTTTGAACGAGTGTAGCACCGGCCAATCAGGAATCAGTTCCGCGAGGGACCGTCTTCTATTATGATTCTAAAACAGCCATTTTATCCTTAGTCAACTCTAATTTCTTATATAATAAACCAACCTCCTTCATTAACAATTTTTTATTTAAATATACATTGAAATCTACAACTATTCATTTAATATCACTGACAGGAAAATTTGCATTATGCTTCTTTTCAGACAAATCCATTATATAATATTTAACAATAAGTAATAAACAATTAATAACAATGTAGTTACTTTAATCATTGTAATAAATAATAATTTACGTATAAATACAAATGTAGTATATTAATGTATTTAAGTTATACTTAATAAGCTCATCAACAGTGTCATATGGTTGCAAGAAAATAATCATAACAATATTTTTCATGTGGCAATTTCAACTTTCGATAAACACATGTTATATTATTAAAAAAAATCAACATCTGCAAAACATCGGATGCATCAGCTGAAATTAATTATGGAGTAAATGAAGACAAAGATTTATAATTTAATATTAAATAATGACGTGATAGAAGCTCCTCAATCCGACGTCAAAGAGAAACCTGAAAATTCAAAGAACGGACAAAAATTCCAAAATATTTAGTTGGTGGTAATCATCAAATTCATTCCACTTACATTCCCTGAAAATCATGTTCAAGTTAAATAAACGTGAAGTGGTGATACAAACTTGTGCGAGTTATTGTTTACAATTCAATTTTAACGCATTTATTTATTTAAATCGCTCTAAAACTACCATCCCTTATGCGTTGTATAGAAATCAAAATTAAATATTTTAGAAAGATTACAATAAACTTTTTGAAACTGTTACAAACAGGTAAACTAAGGTAAATAAATAGAGATGATAATTTAGGAGGACAGATTTAGTTTAGTTATTTTATCATTCAGTGTTTAAATTTCATTCATTTAAAAGAGCACTTTGGTCCTGTCGAAATGCAGGTACATATTGTAAGATAATACTGGCTATTACATGTACTTGTAACATAGACTTGTAACATATACTTTATGAATTTTTATTTCAATAGAACAAAAGTCTCTTGTTTTTATCGTGTGCTTTTATATGTTTTTATCGAACCTTAACTTTGACAGTCTCCATCAAAGTGGGCCAATCGCCTACCATTTCACGCAGAGACTTGCGTCTCTTAATGTCAAAGATACCCTAGAATCGAATATAGATGTTATGTATAGAATTAATTAGGCATAGATAAACAAATTTAATAAGCCATGATTCTTTTGCAGCCAAGTATTCTAAGCAACGTAATGACGAAAACGTTATGATTATGGATAAATTGTTATATGATCTATTTTATGACAACAGACTTTGTTTGGGATAAATTTAATATGTAATATTTGCTTGTTAACTCAAAATAGTGTTAGGATCATCATCATTGCAAAATTTCGTTGATGTCGCAAAGTACAATTTTAGTACACTAAATGAACTAACTACTACTGAATGTATGTTAACAGATTATGCTACTAAATTTATATTATTTCAAGAATGAACATACAATATAAATTACAAAAGTATAGGTATTGACATAATCGTGCGTGCGACTGAATTAAGTCAGGGATCTCGATAAAAATATTTGTTTTATATGAATCATGATGGTCAGGGTTGCTGCTTACGTCTATATGTATCTACGAGCATATATGCATCAATAGGCATTACGTGTTTTCATATATCAACTCAAAATCAATTTTAATTATATTCAATCAATCAATCATAGAATACAAACTTTAAATACATGAAACATCTTTTTCGTAAACCACGCAGCCATGTTTATTAATGCTTTGCAACTTCACCATTCACTTTAAATAAAGATTACTTTATATCAGCAGAAAAATATTTTGTAATTATTGTAAATTATTAAATTGAGGTAGTAATCACAAGAGAGATGATAAATATTATTGTAGTAATCACTCGTACGTTATATTCTAAACAAGTAGATGCCTGTAGATGCAAATTATGACATGACAACTATGACATAAGAAATATAATGCTACATTTAGTATAGAGTTTGCAATGTTTTTATTGTTTATTAATTTATTTGCTGCTTTAATTAATTTTATTAATATAATTTTTTTTTATATGACATGCAGATGAATAATTTATTATAATAAGGTATCAACGATAAAATATTAGGTAGATATATATTCATATAATAGCTTAAAATATATAATTGTAAATAGTGATAAAAAAGATAACAAAATGAAAAAAGAAAATTCACAGCGCTCATTATTATAGAAGACATTATTGCCTTTCTCGTAAAGAAAATGTTAGAGAAGAGGAAAAGATATAGAATTTGGAATGTAAGATGGAATGAACGATGGTATTGCTTTTTAGAATACTGAGGACCTTAAACCATGACCAGTTTGAAGAGCTCCCGCATTTATCAGCCGGGAATCTACAGAGTTCAACCCCTTCGGAAAAGATCACAATGAAGCCATCTTCTTCAACATATCCAGTTTGTATGGCCTAAAGATGCATACGATGTTATGTACAAGCTTTTTAATAAGTAACAAAGAAAATCTAGGAGTAGTAACATTAAAGCTTTGTATACTCTGAATTAGGTTCATATAAAGTCGCTTTAGTAGCAGTTAAAAGAATGACTAATAAAGAAATCTCATAAAGCACAGAGAACATTATGACAATTGTAAATGCGGTAGAAAGGCTAGATATTAAATATATAGATCTAATGCAAGTTTTCTATTACATAAGATTTCTTTGTCATTTTTATTATTTCTATTACCAGAAATTAACCCGATGGAGCTGTCTACATTTAATTTATTTTACGAGACAATGTAAGATTTGTAATTTAAACAGATAAGTAATGAAAATGTGTCGCATCTGTAATACAATACTGAATTATATTTAAAAAAAGTTTATAAAATCGACTTAAAGTATGAAACTCTTTAAGTTATGCCATTTTATATTAACCGAGCCAGGTGTATTGGCATAATATATCAGTTTCCTTATAAATCTAACATCGTCTCGTATTAACGTTTATCATTTATTTAGTATTTATTATTGTATAATGTATTTGTATAATAAGTATCACCATCTTCTTCGTAGTTTTCATAAATCAGAAATAGTTTTTTATTATTACGTATAAGTAAAAGAAACCTTACCCTTTCGACTTTCTTAAGGGGTGGTATAGGTTTCTCGGTTTCCTTGAGATCTCCCCAGTCGGGATCTTCCTTCTTTTCGCCCCATTTAGCGTACTTTCTTTTCTTGAGCATAGCACGGAAGTCCATACCACTCGAATCTAGATATTATTTAAACAGTTGAAAAATATATTTGGTTTAAAGAAAATTTTACGAATTCTTACAGCCATATTTTGGCAATTATCCTATTGTACCAAAATGAATTGATTGGTCAAATCTAGATTTTTAAAGCCTGCATGATTTCAAAATACATTACTATGAATACCCATTTTTTATAAAGAATACACTTATATATATTCCTAGGGTATATATGGAATAATGAGAAATAATTCTAAATACAAGATTAAAGTCTTACCAGAAACGTAGAGTTGCATTTCAGCGGAATCCTCTCCGTGTATGTTACTAACCACAACTTTATATTTGCCCTCATCATTGGGTTTAACTTTTCTCATGCAGAGCGTTATGAGACCCGTTTCACCATCGGTGATGAACTTGAAACGACCTCCTTCAATAATTTCAGTAACGCCCTTGTAAAATTTGAACGTCGGCGCAGGATTACCTTCCACTTGAACCGTGAGGTAGCCAGTTTGGTCTGCGTTGGATAAATCATATTTTTCTTATTATCTATGTCTTTTACATATTTTAAGTTACTGCACAATTATATCATTATAGTTAGGTTAAAATATACTAAACATTCTAAATACATAATTTCCTAATATTTTTATTTTTTAACAACAGAATATATTTGTAAAATCTATATACTTTAAATAATATAGCATAGTAATTAATATGAAATAAGTAAAACACAAATGTTCAGAAAGAAATGCTCAATATTAAACTGACTAAAAATTAAAATATTTTAAATATTTAAGAATTTATACTAACCTTCAACAGCAGAATTGCTCTCTGGAGCATCGACAATAACCGGCGGTCCCTCATTGCCGAGAGGTTTCAAAGGTACTGAAGGCTTATTAATGAGGTCTTCCAGATCTTGGACCGAAGGTCTCCTGGCGTCGCCGGACTTTCGTCGCTACATCATCAAAGTTTTGTTAATATATGTCCACACTTGGGAGCTCAGATGTTAATCACGATAAATCCAAAATGTCCATAAATAAGCAAACGAATATGTGACACAATAATCATAAAGCACAAATTTGAAGCGCGGCTTTCAGTATCGTAGTTCAACTTTTAGATCAAGTAGAAAGGACCTGTTCGTTTAAATAGAAACACTGAGAAATTGAACAATAGACAATTATCTCACATTATTGATTTATCGAAATCTAAAGTGAACTATCAAAAGACTTTTAATACACTAAATAAAAATAATTATCACGCTTTTTTCTTTTAATCTACACAAATAGATTTTGTGTGATTAAAATTTATTTATAAAGGTCATTGAAATACTCAAATTTATGTTATAAATTTAAAAAACATTTACAGGTGTTCCTCAAGGATTATTGTTAAGCCCGTTACTTTCCAACTCGTCACTGCCAAAAGCTATTAATACAAATTGAAAAATTATAATGGTATAGTTAAATACATGTTACAAATGGTACAGGCGTGTTATGACAGATGCACTACATTAAGAACGTAAGCCAAATGACCTGACAATGAAGATCTGGACTTCCTGATATATGTCTCGCAAGTGCTAAGACTAAAGTTATGACAATTATTATGAAGCCAATGTTTGACTATTTTAAAGCTAATAATTTTATATATTAATGGAATTATTTATATCAATTTTTCATTGATAAAAATTCTGAAATTTAAAATAGTAAGTTTATTGTCAAATAACTTTTTTAATTTCAATGTTTAAATGGGCTTTTCCTCATTCACAACAACCTTTTGTTTTTACTATATTTATAAACACTAACATATTGATCTGATGATGTTTGTGTGTACTATGTAAGAGTGGATTTTAAAATACTAAATAATTTACTATAAAGTTTTATTTTACATTTTACATAAAAATATAGCAATTCTATTCCAGTACTAAATCCAGTATGACTGGAATTTTATAACTATTATTTTTTTAATGACTTGAATTATATTTTTAATATGTATTATAGTAATTAAGGTTACCATCGGTATATTTTTTATAATTGTGATGGTAAATATTACAACCATTGTTATACATAACGAAAAGATAAAAAGAAATTAAATTATGATGGAATGAAAAATCATCTATGTAGAGTATTTCAATGACCTTCATAATATATAATAATTATTATAAATAATATTTACCTAACGTAACATATACTTAATAAATTATTAATACTTACCGGGTCGTCTTTAGGTTTAGAAACAGGTAGCGATTTCTTAGCCACCGCTGCCATTATGTTTAATCACATATAGCTACGAAGAAACCACAATACTACCAAAGTAATCCTTAAAAAGCAAAAACTATGAAGATTGTCATTCACAATCACAGTCTCATTATGATTTATTTACATATTTATATAGTCACAAACAACGAATAACAATTTCAAATGTAGTAGAGTTCCATCTGTATTATCAGGATAATCCATTTTGTCATAAAAAAATTATCGTATTAAATGCTTCAAAATGTTTAAGTACTAATAACACTTCTTTTTCTTATACTTATGCTTTATTTATTTTTATTTTTTTATTATCAGCAAATTCGTTATTATTTCGATTTAGGGTTGTTCGTGTTAATGTCGTTCCATCTTAAAATGGGCGCGAATGTCAAAAGACTGAAGATGGGGTCGTTTGGACATAGTTGCCTTGCTGTGAAGAGGCGAGGGGGACGCGGGCGCGCTATTTGTGCACAGCACAAATCAGCAGACCAATTCAATTAATTATCAGATTAAGGTGAGCCATCCAAGTAACATTTCGTTGGACGACATCATGAAGTCTTCCACAGATATCTGTTACCATGTTATTATTGGCTTTGTACAAAGAAATTAGATCCAGTTTATCCAGTTGTATCAATCGATCAGTACCAGAGTAATTATGTGAGATACTCATTTTTAAATTTAGACTGGCATTCGTGTTTTGAACTCTTATCTTGGCAATAATAGGTTTCTTATCGCGTTATGCATCATGAACGATCGTCTTGGATTAGCGGCCAATGATTTGATGCATCAAATCTGCCGTGGGATGGACCTTTTGTCTATATTCATAAATTAGATGAGATTGATTTCGTAACAACCAAAAGAGATTGATTGGCACCTTCATAACAAATGTGAATAATTCAGGTGATTGTCATCGCTGGCACACGTTGTCGCTTGAAATATCTACATAGTGACATTATTAACAAGGTGATAGATTTTCAGATGAGATGCGACAAGGATTTATACTGACGTTTTTATAAAAAAAATAGCCTAATACTTTTTCGTTAGATTAATTTATATTTCTTCTTTATTTATAGAGTGCTATTATATGTAGATTCATATTTTTTATTTTCTAAATTTTGGTCAGCGTTATGGCCATGCAATAAGGCAATGCCGCCAGTAATCTTCGGGATACCGTCAAAACGGTTCCATATTTTAAGTCTATTTGATTTTTTTTATTAGTAATTTGCTATTTTTTTTGAAAATTACGTGTAGGATAGTCTGCACTGATTATACTACTATTTTTAAATAGTAGTAATAATAATAATAGTACAATTTTTAAAATAAAAGTAGGCAAATAAATGGTAAATAAAAGCTCAGGAGATCATTGTAAGAGGACATGAGCTAACTCTAAATAATATAACAATATCATGAAAATTATAATGATAAAAATCGAAAATTATATCAAACTGTCCATATAATAGGATACAATAGGTATATCTATCAGGAACGATATCGTTGATTTCTGGTGAGTGAGAAACTATAGTTTTAATTGCAGTTCTCTATTTTAGAATCTCTTTTAGGAAAAGTACATCTAATATGTAAGAATTGGTTTACCTAATATTTATATGGAACTGTGGATATTTCGGGGCATGGAATATTTTTATTTCGATTTTATACACTTCGGCGCTTACTTAAACAAATAATATTAGTATCTATATTGTTCGTATGACAACACCTTTTAAGTTTAATTTCATTTTTTTTTTCAAGTAGGACATTTTAGCCGCTAACGTACGTTAAATTGATTTTTATTAATGTATCAGCATTTATGACTATAGAATTTTCCAATAGAAATTCATTATTAGTCTCATATAATATTTAACGTAGCAACTACGTTATTATGTTTTATTGTCAGTAGCAAATCATATGTAGAGCTGCCAAATGTTTTTGATTCTACCATACCATTAAGACAGTGGCATCGCTAGTGGGAGTGCGACCGTCTTGAAACCCACGCGCGCGCAGGTATTCCTGAATTCCCAATATCGATCTCGATCATTAATCATCAGTTCTAATCATAGATCGGATCTTTTTTTATAGCAGAACTACATTTACATGTTTCTTTATACGTTTAGTCAATTTATTAATACGTGGTCTTTATAGTATTTACATTTTGTTTAATTTTATATGATCTCATTAAATAACTCAGAATAAATTCATGTACCATTTCCTGATGTGATATAGATAAAAGTATTTGATATATATGAAATACTTCAATTTATGTTACATGAAGATCAAAATTATGGCTAAACACCGATAGTTCTATTTTCTCTTTTTCACATTTACAACAAATACTTGAGCTATTTCCAGATTTCTTAAAAAACATTAATAATGTATTGGCAGCGATTATATATTAATGTTTATTTGTTCCCTCAACAGGTAATTATCACGACTCACTTCTAGCAACTACTTAACAACAATACGGGAAGACATAATTCACTTTGGTTGGCATCGCAACGTAGTTAAGGGTGAGAACATTTCAAGATCTCTTCGGTTGCTCTTGGCCTAATTTATGCAGTCATATTTATAAGAATAACAATCAATCATAACGCATACAACAGCAGTTCTGGCGCAGTCTGACTGTTCATGCGCCTCATTAAACTCACACTTATAGTTTTTACTAACATTTGACACAGGTGTGTATTTCTGTCTCACTGCACTGTTCAAAATTGCATACCAACACTTGCGTTATTATATATTTTAATCTCTTATTCGACATTTTTGAGGTATATTTTAATATTGCATACTTAGTTCAGATTAATGTACCAAGTATTAGCAAGTCCTGGTAATTATTCTTTGTTTTGTCACACGGTTATTTATAAAATGTTGGCTTCAAACTCATACTGTATTTATAGAATCGTTTTTAGCATTCTTATCTAAATTAAGTTCAGTCCATTTATATAATTCGACTGTGACATAAATAGATTCATCAAAATATAAAAGATACGTACCTTTATAAATTATTTTAGATTACTAGTAGTTTGGAGTATTGTGGCATCTTTATTAAGGCTAATATAATAATATCTATGATCAAAATAATATTTGACTAAATTTATTTGACAATATTCATATAAAACACCGAAGTTATCGAGAATTTCAAGGTGATCATAGATATTAAAATTTGTCTATTTGTTGCAGCTAGGATTATTGCTCGCTCGTTATATGCTTCGGAATATGCGATCATTTATAATATAATTGGGACAAACTGCAACGACATTTCCGGAATCTCACAAATAGATATTATTTTAGCCATTGCAATATCTCCCTTAGTTGTATTAGAAGAACATGCTTAATTTCAATATTAGATACAGTCTTTTAAATGGAATCATGCATAATTGATTTTACATGTGCTATTATTTATGTTAGTAATTTTTACTATCAAGTTACCGAGACAGGAGATTAATAGCAATTTGAACTAATTTCTTTACTACAAAACATTCGAGAACCTTAAACTTTTGTACATTGATGACTGCAGCGACCAATTATAAAATGAAAAAAATAAAACATTTTACATTTTACAATTAGTCTCAAGTGTTTATCCTATCGCCAAATATTATTTACTCTTTCAATTAATCACTTGAAAAATCTATGTTAGCCACGTATCTATAAGAATTTTTTCATCTATGACATATAATCTAAACATATATCTTCCACACATTATATACCTCATCCATCAGTTCACCGGGCCTGCTGCGTTTCTTTTTTGGAAAAAAATATTCGTTTTAGTATACCATTCTCTGTTAATTGAGTGCATAAATGAATTGAAAACTTAAAATATCAATATTTCGTGTGCATATATTATGTGTGTTATATTTATTATAAAGCAATAAATAATATGTATAAGAAATGTGGGTGTTTAATATTTTGTGCGTAGGAGTAAATTATGTGCATTGAGTTTGTACCATTTGTTAGATCATATATTCATGTTCAGATTGAAATTTATAATCAGTTTTCACACTAAATGAGTAGAAAACATTGTAACAAACTATAGTGTGCTTAATATTAAGGGATTAGTTGAAAACTAAAAAATGTTATTGGATTTTGGAAAACTAGAGCCATTCTAAAAGTATAACTACGAAGCAGTGTTAATAAGAGTCCTCTTTGCAAATATAATGCAATACAATAATCACATTACATTTTTCTCTTCGAAACTCTTATTAGCAAATAGTAAAAAAATTGTTCCAGCGATATGAAGTCATATATCCCCGCTGGACGGCAAAGCGGCAATACTAATTGGAGTAGAGGAGAACTTCTATGGGGAAAGTAGTGTATATCAAATGACTTAGGTATTGAAAGGTCATTTTGTTTGTAAATTATATATTTAATGAGAAGTAATATTTAGAAAGTAACAATGAATTATTTATTGCTATAACAACTGGTGTAAGATTTATAGAGTATATGCAGTCATATATTTGTAGTTCGAAATTGTTGTCCGTATTGTCATATGTGTACCAAAAGGAAGAAAATAAAATAAAAGACAAAAATGCTTTGCAAAAGCGAGCAGCGTCCGTCTAAACTGGCCAGATCCAGTAGATCTCACCTTTTTGTCGTCTAAAACTTCTCCAGGACGCAATTTGTTGACCTGTTGTTAAAAATATATTGATAATATCCCTAATATATACATCAATAAATTGCCTATCTCTGCCGCCGAACCTGGGCCCTACCTACCTACTCGATGCTATCATTCGGTGCAGATATAAATCAGCGAGTGCAAGAGTTATTACGTTATGTGTTGCATCATTTTCATGTTAATGTATAATATTGTTAGTGACCATTTGAGTACGCGATGTACTCAAGTCAATTTCATAGTCCCTAAAATCAAGAGCATTCTCTGTATCCGTTGTTATGTGCGAGACGTGCTTACAAGCTGTGCAATTTATCTGTGTGCGCGGACTCCACAATGATGTGCGATTTAGACTCTGTGCTATCGACGACAAAATTAACAAAAAAAACTGGATAACCACATAACCCAATCGATCATGATCTAAACAGTTGAACGTTTACGTGATTATCCAGACATATAAGAATATTCGAGCCGCGGCGAGTGCAAACGCATTAATTATAATTCTGTAAATATATAGTTAAGACTTAATCACGGCAATATAACGGACAGCATTCACGTAAATACTTTAGCGTTTTTTGCTTTTACCTTCTTCTCTTCGATCACCTCACCAGGTCTTAGTTTTCTATTCTCCTGTGGATTATGTTTTGTATGGTATTTAATATCTACAGAAACGATGCTCAAAATCAAACTTTTTATATCCCTAATGTAGTAAACACAACTCTAGTGTTCTAGAAGCAGGGAAGAAGGGGTTCTAAGCTTAAATCACTATAAAACTTTTTTCATTCTACTAAAGCATTCATGGCTATAATGAAAATAAATTAAGCTCCATCTTTCTATTGATGGGTATTAGCATAACTTTAAAGGGAAATACTCAAGGTAGTTCTAATGTTATGGGTTCGGCTTGAGAGAATAGGGTATCTACACTACGTAGTAGGGCTTAATAATTACATTTATGCATACGAACTAACATCAGAAGACGAGGTATTAAATATGAATTTATATTATAATAATAAAATATATATAAAACTATTTCTAATGTTAGTTCATAGAGTAATATAATTAATAAAATATTTTCTAAGTTACAGTTGGACAATATAATAATGTAGTTTTGTTTTACAAAATTTTAATCATACCTTAATTGCATTTCATAAGTCACCAATATCTACTAATGTAATTGTGGATTCGTAATATTATTTAAAAACAAACGTTTTTGCTATGACACCGTCACCTTAATTATTTTATAAATAATACAACATACCTCGTCACTGATAATGAGAGAAGGTCGGCGTCCCATTTCCTCTGGTGGCGGAATGAGAGAACCACGTCTGGCGACGGGAGGACCAGGACCTAGTGAAGGTTTTCTTGGTGCGTCTGGTTTTGGAGACTTTTCACGAATTACTTCAATCTTTGGAGCAGCCGGTTTCTCCTCTGGTGCCTTGATTTCAGGTACCTTAGGAGTTGGCTGCGTAGAAACATTTAATCATTAAGTCTATATAATATGTATTATATTTCACATCAAGTACCTTACGAGATAGACGTAGGTTATTCAAATACTAATAGTGATTAGTAATAAATTTAGTTTGATACATACAGAAATAATTATATAATGTACCTTATCTTTTTCTGGTTTATCCCTTGTTGTTGGTGTGGGAGATATCTTCTCATATTTTTCAAGATCAGGCCTATCGTAGTCTGCGATCTCGGGCAGATCTTCGGCCTTCTTTTTCACTGAAGTTACTTTGGCTTTTTTGACTTCTTCTTCTACTTTCTCTTCCTTAACAGCAACTTTCTGTAATGTATACTCCTAGTCAATTTGTGACTAAGTCATGGTTTATTTATGATACGTACCAACAATATGCCACATGGTAATTTTAATTACCTCGACATAGTCTGATCTGAGGGTCATACATAAAATTACGAATACACAGTAAAATTTGAAATCAGTAACTTACCATGAATTTAGTACCTATATAGTAAAATAATACATAACTATGATAGACATATAAAATAAGATACGATTATTAAATGTAATAATTATTAATAAGCAAAGCAAAGCAGGAAAACAGTTAGTAAACATTTATATAGTGAAGTTAAAATTACGTGCCAACAGTGCATTTTGTTAAAATTAAAACATTGCATTGTTATATTATACTTTATACTGTATACAGGACGTGTTATTTCTATATACTGTGGTATATTCGTGTGTTTAATAATAACTAACTAATTCACAAGGTATAATTTACTAATCGACTACATTGCATTTTATAACAATTTTATTTCTATGAATGGCTACAATTAAAATACCGAATAAAATAAAAAAAATCATTGGACCTATTAAAATATGAGTTTGTAGCCATTAATAGAAAATTTAGTGCAAAATTAACTACAATAGTTCAAATTTTTGGTGCTATGCAAAATAGTGCATGGTGCTCAATGTAATTTTTAAAATAAATAGAACAATGTGCATTGTGCATAATTTGTGCCATATTCTGATCAGTGCCAATGTGTATACCTCATCAGGTCTGCTGGTAAAAGCGGGTTGTGGGATTTCTAGTGTGCTTGCAATAGGCTCATCTTTTTCTTCTGTCGTTTCAGCCTACAGGGAAATATCATTAATGGCGACCATACGCAATGTTTCTTTGATAGAACTTTCATTATTCTTACTCGCTTAAAATATTTTATAATTGTGTGTTAAAGGAAAGAATGTTGTGTATTTTGTTTTTAAAGCCGATGAAGTGCATTTGAGTTAATTATCTTTGTGTGATGATGCAAAGCATTCCAAGTTAGAATGCTTCAAACGTTTGAAACTTTCGAATTTAGTAAGAATTTGTTTAATAATGATATTTTAAAGTTCAATCAGGTATGTTACTCTGTGTACCTGAGGAGACCACGGTCTTCTTCGTGGCAAATTGTTGGTTGGTTCTAATAGTGTTGGTATATATTTGTCTTCAAGCTCTGGTGTTTGTTCAGCCTGATTACGGAATATAGCATTTCATTACTCTGGTAAAATTTATACTAAACAAAAATAAAAAGTAATAATATAATGTCTTGTGTCTACCTGAGGTATTTCTGGAATAACTTGCCACGAAAATGGTACCTCATTTTTGGTCTCTTGTGTTTGTGGTGCTGATATTGCTGGCACCTATTACAATTTTGAATTTTATAATGTTTCCTTAGTAATCGATTATGTTTGCTTATAAACTTAAATTGAAAAAACCTGTAGTATTGGATTGCATTACGTAAATATCGTATTACTTTTGTACCGTCAAAGTGTGTATTAATTGGAAAAATTTTAAAATCTCAGTGTTGCATAATGACATCTGAATATGTGTTTTTTTCTAACAATCTAAAAATCAAATTTAATAACAATTAACTAAGTATTTTAATGTAGGTACTGTTTATTTCTATTTTATATACATTTATAAATCAAAAGATTTATAAATTAAAATGTACCTTTTTATTCGATTCATCAAAAGTTTAGCCAGTCTTAAAAATATGTTTTAAGACATTGATAATTAAAAAATATTAATTGAAACTACCTGTGTAGTTTGTGTATCTTCTTTCGTTGGTTCCGATGGTTCATCGTCTTCAAATTGAAATTCCTATTGAATATACAATTTCAATTAATACTCTACACTTGGATTTTTTTGTTGAAAATAAGAAACCAATTTTGAATTAAGTAGAAACGATTACCAACCTCCACGTATGGCTTTTTTTTCCATGGACAGAATGGAGACTGTGCGGGTGTCAACATTGGTCGAGGTTCCTAATAAATTAAGATATTGAGTAAGGAAAATAGTTTATGTAGTATAAACCAATTAACATTATTTAATGATTCGATTAGAAGAATAAAAAACAAAGAGTTATATACCTCTGTTTTTTGAGTTTCTTGTACGGATACATCGCTTTCATCTTCATCTTCCTAAAATAATTTAAATGTCACGTAATTAGAATTGATTTCGTCAAGACTCTTAAGTTTGTTTCGAATAATGATATAATTTTGTGTCTATGTATCTTACAAAGCTTGTACACTTATGTAAGACACAGCCAAATATATGTATGTGCAAATAATGAAGAATTTAACTTATCCAGTTTAAAATAGTATTAGTTTACTTGACTTATCATTCTTTTCGAATTCAGTTGTTTCTTTAGTTTTAGATTCGACAATTTTCTTTTAGTTTCTATAAAACATAAATACCATTTTAAAAGATTATGCTAGCTATTAAAAAGTAGTAGTATACTCTAGTATGCCTTTATGTCGCGATTGGTTTATTTTATTTCCGAAATTCATAGTTTGAATGACAATATTCGTATTTTTGAGTGTTACGTACATGTGTGATCAGGTGTATACGTCTGTGATATACCTGTGTGTCTGTTTGCGTAGGTCGCCATGATTTTTCTGAAGGCTTATCGACAGATTCTTGTTTTACCTTTTCTTCTACCGTCTTTACAGTGTCACCCTATTTACAAAAATATATAGTTACATCTAGGTCAAACGTGTATATGTTGGTGCTATAATATCTAGCGTAGCTTCACCTTTCCATTTGTATATACAAAAAAAATATAAATTTATATTACATAAATAAATTATTATAATTGATTATACACAATTTGTTATTTACTAGACACACAAAATCAAATAATAAGAAAATTGTTTGATATTGAACAAAGTTTTATTTACAGTAGAAGTTAATAAACAGATTGAATTTCTTTTCAGATTCTGTATCTATAAGGTAGTTACAATGAGACTGTAGACATTGTTGATACAAGAACAAGTAGAATAATATATTTACATGCATTGAAGATGGAGCGCGGACTTACCTTGAGCTTGATTTTGTTTATTTCACTTGATTCCGGTTCCTTTATGGTAGTCTAAAAACAAGTTATTAGGAACATGATTAAGCATCAATGGGGTATTGCGTGTAGATGATGAGTTTGTTAAAAATTATAATGCAAAGAATGTGCAATTGTTTTTAATCAGTTAAAATTATTTGGTCGCTAATATAATAATAATATTAGAGACTAAATAAAGTGGAAATCTTTACCAAGTTTATCCACCCTTGGAGAGTGAGCCGCGACATATCATCAGGTTGCCTTGGCATTTTACTGATGACTTTGAAATCCTTTCAGTCTTAACAGTAGTTACACAATTTTCAGTACATAAAAGTCACTTTCATTGCAATACAATTTTATAACTGTGTCGGGGAAACATTCTTTTCAAATCCTATATGTTGGAAATTAAGATTAAAAATTCAAAAATAATTACGATATATTTTTATTATTGAATTTTTGTTTCTGACGTTGTACTAGGATTTTTAGGTTTTTGTTTCATATATTTTTAAAATAATGACAATAAAAAAATTATTAGATATGCTTTTACTCTTGTAATATTTTCCATAGAAAACATAGTACAAAGTCCTAAATATATAGCTACTACTAAAGTTCAACTAGGGTTCGGGGTTCTTAAAACAATCATTGCATAGCTAAAATATCTAGGATTTCGCTTCTAAAGGGCTTCTACGTGCCATTGGTGCATAAGAAAAAGACATCTAAAAGGAGTGCCTTTCATTGCTAAGGAATTTCAGTATCAGTTTGAAAAATATTATATAAGTCGATAAAATAAAAGAAAACTTTGAACATAAGTTATTACTACGTACTTACTACGTCGAAACTAAGTAAGAGATAAGTACATTTAATTTATCGACTTTTATATTACATACGCATATTATCAATGTCCTTACCTTTTGAGCAGTCTTCTTAAGTGTTCCAACTTGCTGTTGTTCAGCTATTGAGGATATGGAAGACTTCCTGCTCTCAGCTGTTTCTTTTGTAAGCTATAAATATAAAACATTGAATAATATAATATTCTAAAGACAGCGGTAGGCACCCTACCTAGTTGGATATTAAATGTACCGAGTAATATGTAGACTTATCAAGTATTGCCTTTACTACGATGTTGAGAGTCGACAATTGCTCCTACTTACCCATCTGGGTTGAAGAATCATGAATGTCTATTACTTCATAATAATTACTTGACCCTGTCTTAAGGAAGTCACAGTCGTTGACAGCCACGACATTGTTTAACTACTAATGTGACTGTTATCGTTACACTACCCTAAAGTAGAGTAATGTAATAATATTATTTTTGAGTTCCAATAATGATTATTATCATCTTAATATTAAAGAACTGTGTTTTTGTCACTGCAGCTTTTTTATTAAGGTCCTGACCTTCTCAAACGTCTGAATAATTGCTGAATGGGTAAGGTATTAATAATTTGTTATTATAATCATGAAAATAATATTTATATGACGTTATTATTACCTTTACGGCTTGATTTTCTATAATTGAGCTCTTTCGGCTTTCGGACCGTACTTCTTCTTTGACCTACGGAAATAACAATGTTTTCTGAATAATGTCATTATTGTAAAGTTAATATAGTTTTATTTCTTTACAAGCATGCACTACCATTTATTACTAGGGGCAGGGGATCCTTAGTAATGGGAACTTATAGACCCATTGTTAGCAATGTATCAAAGACAGGTCGCAATTCCCTCTGGAAACAAACAACAAACCAACATGGTGGGCTGACTGACAACTGACTTGAATTCATGCTCTTCCGATCATTCTTCACTGGTGCCCTGTTACCGTATACTTAGCATAGGCGAGTGCACCATTCCACTGTCTTCCATAGAACCATTTGTCATTAGGACGACAAAAATTCGAGTACTCGACATCAGTGGCAATCAGTGACAACCATTATGTTGACTTCTCCGTATTCTCTAGTAACCATCGCGATAAATTCGTGATGAATTTGTCACTACGCTCTAACTGATTTAACTTCATGTTCAGCCCATCACCTTCCACTTCCAATGTCACAATAATTAATAAAAACGAAAATATTATATACAAACCTCACTCTGAATAGACGTTCTTCTGCTTTCAGTCTACGGAAATATAAATTCATAATTAGCACATAATACATATAGAAATATTAATGAGTAAGGGATGTTTGACAAAATGGAAAATGATTTATACAAATGATACCAATGAACATAAGGAAACAAGTACATTCAGGACAAAAACAGAGGGAGAGAAAAAATAAAACAGGTAATATATACATCGGAATAACATCACAGGGTACATAAATATAGTTTGTATTACTGTTGACCACCCATTAAATATATATTTGTGGTGGTTGTATACAAATTCAATAACAGTTCAATGATTTCATGCTAATTTTTTCTTTCATCTCTACCTTTACTTCAAGTCGTTGTTGTTGTTGAGCGATCATCGTAACCTGTTTTATTTAAACTGTTTTTATTCTCGATCTTATTTGCTACTTTATTTATCTTACAAAGTCGTCTATATAGGCTAGTTTCACCCTATTCTGCTAATTGCTGCTAAGCAATTTGTTTAGAAGGCGTTATTACAGTGAAGGTTGAGATATGGCACTAAAATTACAATTATAACAATACGACACTTGAGTCCTTTGGAATAGCAATGCTATGAGGTGTACATGACGATGTGATGCCTAGGTTCAATGTGATCCTCAGAAATAACACAAAACATCAAAATTTTTGTTTCAAAATATTATCTATATATTATCTTGATAGCTGTACCTTTGTTTGTTCCTTTTCTTTCTTTTCCCTGGTTGTGGGTGTTGGTGTGATCTTTTCATATTTTTCAAGAACTGGCCTTTCATAGTCATCGACAAAGTCAAGTTCCAGCTGTAAATAGTTTAATACATTTGTTAGATAAATAATAATGATATAACTTTTAAATTCAATGTTAAAATATAATATTTTTAATCTTTAAAAGTGCTTAAAGAATTAATTAATATTGGATCTATAATTTTGTACGTACCTCATTATTCACAAAAAGAAAAATCACTTCTAAACCTATTTTGGCTGCAAAAATGTTTTGTTCTTTTCATAAACAACATATTCTTCATTTGAATGAAAGGTACTAAACAATTCAATAGTCAAAATGTATTTTCAGAAGATTTTAGATTTTATGAACAAGGAGAGTCAATATATGTACCTAAGTTCATAAATACTATTCATATCATATATGATATAATTGCAACTTACTTGTATGATTACCGAAGTATGCTAAAATAAATTAGCATGCTTAATTATAAACAAGTAATACTTACCCACTCCCAAGAAACATAAAACAAATATGACAAAACAAGCAACATGCGACTTTCAACCCTTGAAGAAAACGACGACGAAGAACAAATACATCAATTCGATATAATTATAAAAATAATTTCACTTTGATTCTTTTGCTGCTTAAAATAGGCTAGGCTACCCTATTAAAGTGTACAATTAAAGTGATTAGTGCTGGACAATATAATGTACGTATAGTGCTGTACAAACATGTGTACAAGTGTAGAAGAATATAGAAACAGAACAATTAGACGTCACTATAGAAATTAAAACATTTGAAAAGATTACCCCGTCGCTATAATTTTTAGTTCCTGCAACAGCTTTTTTAGGTTGTTCTGTTGGCTTCTTAACAACAGTTTTCTTGAGCTGTGGCTTTTCAAATTTACCACCTTGTACCGTCAGAGGTGCCTAGACAAGTAATTAAAGCATTTAATGAGAATAAATTAAGCATATATGTAAATTTATATGCAAATGTCGTTATTGGGTTAGTTTATTGGTGCGCTATTAAAAAAGAAAAAGTGATTTTATTATAGAAAAAAACACTGTCTAATCTATATAGATTAGATTAGCCATGAAAATTATTAGTCCTCGATATCTTTAGTTATCTCAGTCTCTACTTTTTACTAGATTATCAATGGCAAGTAGTATTATTCGTTTGTTTTGCTACCTCATCCTCGTCCCCTTTCTTGACGACTGCCGGCTTTTTGACTTTAAGTTGCGCGGCTTCTGATCCCTCCTAATACGAAAACCAATCAAATATTATAATTATAACAGATTTTTTTTTTCCTCTTAAGCAATGTTTTCCTAATGTTATATATTAATAATATATTTACTAATATATTATGTTTTATATCTCTAAGTTGTTTTAAGAATAGTTTCTGTAGATTAGCTGAGATAATTAAAAATAAATATATCAGTACCGTTGGCTTTTTCTTGGCAGGTGTCTTTTGTGTGAGAGATGCTTCTTCGGGGGCAGTAGTGCTGGTCTTAGTGCGAGGCTTAGTAAGGTTGACAGCCTCCTCAGTGTCCACATCCTAAGCCCAAGGCCATACACAACATACATGATGAACAAATTGAATGACATTAGAGAAAAATATGTGCTTAGGTCACTGTTCATACTGTGCCTTTGAGCAAAGAAAAATAATATAAAAATAATAATAAAAAAGAAAGTGAAAAATTGTGATAATGTTTTTGTGAATGGACGTCCTATGTGTCTATAAAATCTAGATTTTTTTCTAAAATTCTGTGCAATCTATTTGTATATTATGTCGAGAATACCTTAACTAGATATAATAGTTTTCTTAAGCCTGGTGTCGTCGATAGTTGTAGGATATTAATGGTGTCAAGTATCATTTCTGGCTGTGGATGATTTCGTGTAATAATTACAGTAGTTTTTGATAAAAGTATCTACCTATATTTGCTTTTTATAAAAAAGAAAAATAGAAATGATCTAGTATTTTAGTTGACCGTACCTTATTTTTATCTTTTTGCGAAGGCCTCTTAAGAGTTTTTTCTTCGACAATCTCAGGTTTTTTGACACTGAGTTTGGCTTCAGCTTGGTCTTCCTAAAGTTTTAATTATAATTAATTAAAAATTACTATCTTATTTATTGTATAAGATTTTGAGTATATATGCATATACTAATTACGAACCGTTGGTTTAATCTCAGCTGGTGTTTTGTGTGTAAGTGATACGTCTTCGGGTTCCTTTCCTGGTTTTCCCGGAGTCTTTGGTTTAGATAGACTAACATTTTCATCGACGTCCATGGGCTATGAAAAATGTTTTACCAGATGTTATTACAGAATTTGATTTATACTTTTATATGTATATGTAATAATGTGCTAGTAAATGAATATGTATACCTCTGGTTTATCTTTATCTTTAACAGATCGACGTTTAGCAGTAGCTGTGGCCGAAGGTACATCATCTTCAGGTTTATCATCCTAATAAAAGACTTTTGTTTTATTATCTGTATATACAAGTAAATTAATTGTGCATGTGTTTTAAGCAAGTGAGATGTTAGCCGAAGTGTCTACCTTTTTCCGTTTCTCTGTAGGTGTTGGTGTAATTTTCTCGTATTTTTCGAGAACTGGCCTCTCGTAATCATCAATAAATTCTTCTTCGACGACCTTTAGGTAGAGAAAATTGTAGGTTAGGTAGAATTCGAATATATTTCTGATTGTCATGTATGTTTTTATGATTGTAAAGAATTTATAAATAATTACAGATCTCTGATAAAATCTATACTATATATATAATAATAATTAAATAATTTAATCAATCAATAATAAATAATTTGTTTAGACTTCGCACCTTCTTACCGCCAATGCTGAAATATTTTTTTTTTCTTAATATAAGCAAAGCATTAATTACAGCATTTGCCATGCAAATATACAGTGCTACCTGAAATAACTTACTGTGACCTTTTTGGAGAGTTAAATAAAATAGTGTTGCTGCGGCAGTGATTTTAGAGCAATAGTGTGTAAGAAATGAAGCTTCAAATCCGTGAGATTTAGAGTAGAATTTTAGAAGATTGTAAAAATAAAATTTCAAATCATGTGCCGTTAAAACAGTGTATATAGTGTTTTGAGTGATAATTTTAGTTGCATTATTTATACCTCCTTCTCTTTGGGAGCCGGTTTCTTTTTAACCTCCGGCTCGTCTTTTTTAGTTGGTTTTGTTTTTGGCTTTTCATCCGGTTTTTTCTCTTCCTCCTAAGTTACGATAATAATTAATATTTTATATAATAATTGATTGTTCGTGAACATGGAAAAGTTTAGTAAATATGAATTAAATACCTTATCTTTTGTAATTGGCCGCTTTCGCAATGTAGGCGTTTCTGGTTCAGGTTCCTTTTCTTTAGGTTTTATTTTACCCTTCATAATATCAGTTTCATCCTATAGAAATGAAATGAATTTTTTATATATACATATATATATATATATAAATTTGTATCTACCTATCAATACACGATTTTTACCCCGTGTAACATAAGCCTATACTTTATACTAAATTTATGCTTCATATATATTCATAATGTATTTTCAATACTCGTTATCGGTTTTGTTTCTATTTATTTTAAATTTATTACCTGTGTGTCACTAGGACGACGTTTGTCTTTCGGTGTGGGTGTAACTTTTTCATATTTTTCAAGTTCAGGACGCTGATAATCATCAATAAATTCAGGTGCATCCTATAATGCACACGAAATTAGTTAATTAATTCTCTTTTTAACGTTTACTATTATCTTATGTATTATTGATATAAACGCATACCTCAACTCCATTTTGTTTTTTTGTTCTGTCTGTAGGTGTAGGTGTCATTTTATCATATTTTTCGAGCTCAGGCCTTTCATAATCGTCTACAAACTCCGATTCTTCCGGCTAAATATCATATTTAAAATTTAGTATATTGTAAATGAATCATGTCAACAAAGCGATTGTTGTATGTGAATAATTATAATGATATTTATTACCTTTTTAACTGCTTTTTTAGTTTTAGCAACCTGTGGTTGTTCGACTATCTCTTCAGTAGGTTTGGTAGGTGCTTTTGCAAGTTTAACTTTAGATATTTCATCAACTGGTTCTTCTGGTTTAGGTAAGCCCTTTTTAATACTTGGCCGTTTAGGTTCACTTTTTTCTTCGACCTATGCCATGAAATATAATGTTATATCTAATGTATTAATTATTTCCTTTTAAAAAAATTCAAGAACAGAAACGTACCTAATTTATTGTTACAAAAATATTGTATAAGTACCTACATACAAGAAATTGGAGGATTTTTAACTATTAAAAGATAATTATTACGTTTAATAATTCGATAAATGAAATTAGGATAATTGTTCGTATACCTTTTCTGTAGGTTTATCTATTTTTGGTTTTTTCTCTGGAGCGGGTTCAGCAACAGATACTTCTTCTTCGCTATCTTGCTCACTTTTAACGCTATCCGAAACAGATGCCCGTTTTGGCTGAGTAAAATTAACAAAAATGTATTTTATCATCCTATATCATAGATATTTCATGATATTTTTATTTGTAAAAGTGTTAATGTGATGTACTGTGGTTACCTTTTGTGTGTCCTTTGGTTTTTTATCAAGAGGCGTTGGTGTAATTTTTTCGTACTTCTCCAAAACTGGTCGCTCGTAATCGTCGACGAACTCGATTTCGTCCTAAGTTTAAAATAATTTTTGCACATAAAATTGTTAACACAACACCCACAACGAAAATATGTTATCACATTGTATCAGACACTATAAAGACTATTAGTCTTTATATTTAACAACTTCATTTTCTTATAATTTACAATAACAACTAAAACATTCAAAATAAACTATAACTATAATTACAATATATTTAAGAAAATCTTCAGGCAACTGTAGATGTAAGACAAAAAAAATCAAATTGCATATTTATTAGAATATTGTTAGTTATTTACCACAAACTTCTTATAAATAAATAAAAACAATATTCATAAAACTGAAGATTTTCCTAAATCAACATTTTTCGAGAATGTTTTTCATAGGTTAATAAATTGAAAAATATTATAACAATAGACAGTGTTAAATACATTTCTTCTTTTGAATGTAACTACATAAGCATTATACAATGCTTTTTAAGAAAATAAAAACGAATATTACTTACCTCGTCTTTTTTTGATACGACCTTCTTTTTGACGACCTTCTTTTTCTCTTCTGTTTTTTCAGTCTTCTTAGCATCTTTCTTCTCTTCAACTGGTTGTTCTTTAGGCTTGACTGGTTTAAGTTTAGGAATGCCGTCAATTTTAGCTTCTTCTGTCTCAGTTTTCTTTTTCTCAATTTTTTCCAGAAGAGCTTTCTTTTCTTCTTCAGTTTTAGCGGTTTTCTTTTCAAGTACCTTTTTAGTTTCTTCAGTTTCCTGTTCTGCTTTCTTGATTTCTTCCTTTTTAACGACCTTTTTAGCTTCCACCTTAGCTTCAGTCTTTTTAGCTTCAATTTCAATCTCATCTTTCTTTGCTTCTATCTTTACTTCTTCCTTTTTGGATACTTTTTTGGCAGCTAATTTCTTTTCTTCTTCCTAATACATTGTTTAAGTAGTTTTGTAGTTTGATTCGAATTTAGAATTCAAAGTACATAGATCATAATGATGAATATAAATATTATTATATACTTCAATAGAGGTTTCCTGACTTACCTTCTTTTTTTCTTCAACGTGATTTTCTTCAATAACAGATTTTTCTTCTATGATAGACATTTCTTCCTCTGATTCCTCTATAACGGTCTTTTCTTCTTCCTCTTCTTCCTCCTTTTTCTTTTTCTGAAATTTGTTAAATATAAATCTGAAGTTTAGAAGTCTAATGTGTTTCGAAACTAATATAATATAACTTTTATTTCAAAAAATATTTACGATTAATTAATGATGAAGACATACCTTTTCTTCTACTAAAGTTAAATCAGCGCTTGACTCATCTTCGCCAAACTCATTCTTTATTACTACTCTGTAGTTTGCAACGTATTTAGTAGATACTTTTCTAATGATGATACGGGCATTGGTACCATCAAAAGAGGTGTTCACTTCAGATGAATCACGTATAACAGTTGAGTTTTTATACCATGTACATCTACATGACTGATCAGATGTCTTGAGAACTGCAATAAATTCGGCTTCTTCGTTTTCTTTCTTTGCCTGTAATAAAAGAGGACTTATGGCTAAAAGGGATTTTTTCCAGACAACCAAATTTTTTTTTATTTAACTTGCAATCAATCAGAACTTTCAAGGTAAGAGTTTTACTATCTTTCGCTCTTGTATTTGTCAATTGATATAAAAATAATATCTTGTACATACCAAACTTCTAAAGTGCTTGATTATCTGAGGTTTATCGCCCTTCTCTTCTGGTATATCTGTAATTTCTACTTGTTGAGATGTAGCCTCACCCTTTTCATTCTTGGCAACGAGTTTATAAGATCCTTTGTCATGTTGAGAAACATTTGAAATTTCTAATTTTACTGTAAATTCACCCTGAAATAACCCAAATAGAATCTTTAAATACATTGATATAGAAAAAAACACCTATTAAAACATATTTAGTAATGAAGTATTAAAAAAAAATGAAGAAATGTTTCTTCAAGAACAATTTAATAAGTGCAGCTATTTTAATTCTCAATTTTTAGCGTAATTAAATTCTAAATAAATATAATTATATTAAAAAAAAAACATACCTCCCTAAGCGGTTCGATCAAAACAGTATGTCTAGAGTCCTCCTTAACAGCATTTGTTTCCTTGAACCATGTGCACGATGGTGCAAATTTACTTAATACTTTACATTCAACAATAACAGTCTTCTTTTTAACTATCTTAATGATCTTTGGCTTTTCTTTGATAACTGGAATGACTGTAATCAAAGGTAAAAATGAATTTTATCTCATCGAAAATGGTAAAACACTGAATATACAATAAAAGTTTCACATCTTACTTTCAATATTGAGCGTAAGATTTGCATTGAGTTCTCCAAGTTCATTTTTAATATTGCATTTATACAATCCGGAGTCTTCAATACCGGGATCGATGAGTTCTAGTACGATTGTGTAAATGTCTTCCTTAACCTCGACCCTGGTTTTGATTTTCGACGAGTCCCTGATTTCTTTGCCTTCGTGGTACCACACGATCGTTGGTTTAGGATTAGCTTTAACTTTGCATCCCATTATTACTAATTTGCCATTATCTTTAGACTGAATTGTAGGCTTCTCAACAAAAGTTGGTCCTTCGCCTTCTGGTTCAGGTTCAGCCTCAATATTTAAATTTAAATTAGCATTACTTTCACCATATTCATTTTTAACATGACAGCGGTAAGCGCCACCATCCGCTGCTGTTGGATTTGATAAAAGTAATACTAATTCATAAATATCTTCTCCCATTTCACTTGATTTAATTTCAATTTTACTGCTAGCTTTTATGACGGTCGTGCCCCTATACCACGTGACTTCAGCCGCCGGCTTGGCTTTGCAGACACAACGCATCGTAATGAGTGTGCCATCTTCATTGGGAATGATTCGGGGTTTCTCCACGAATGATGGTGCGAAACCGTTCTCGTCATCCCCACCTAAGGTGAATAAGATTTAATAACAGGTCAGATAAGAATAATACTTTCAATAAAAAGCTTCATGCAGCTCGAAAGCTTAAAGCACTACATGCTTATGCTACTGTATGCGTACCTATATTGCTAATTTCTAAATATTTCATAAAATAAAATTTATGTTTTACCTTGGAAATTGAGAGCAATGTTCGCATTGCTCTCACCAAACAAGTTGAAGGCGTTACATCTATAATTTCCACCATCTTCTCTAGTGGGACTTAAAATTTCTAAAGTCAAATTAAAACTATCTTTCCCCATAGCTTTCCTAGACATCTTCATTTTAGCTCCATCTTTAATTTCTTTATCACCATGGAACCATGTTATATCTGGTAAGGGGTATGCTTCTAATACGCATTCCATAATAAGAATATCCCCTTCTTGTCTAATAGTAGGTTTTTTAGGAAACCTTGGTGCTTTACCATCGGGAATTCTGTTCAAAAAATAAATTTTAAATAATCGTACTTGCAAAGTATTAACTTACTACAAATTAGTAAAGTTGTCTTACTTTGGTTTATCTCCACCTTCGAAGTTGAGATTAATTTTTGCTACGCCTTCACCATGTTTATTTTTTGCCAACGCCCTATATTCTCCTCTATCAGAGTTTTCTACGCCTATGATTTCAAGTCGCGCCATATGATATAACATTTGGTCCTCTTCTAATGTAATTTTGTATCGACTGCTTTCTTTTATTAATTTTTTGCCATGGTACCTGTATTTTTGATTATAGATGTTTGAATACATACAGTTTGGTTCTTAAGATATTAATTAATTTTATATTTCTTACCATGTAATGGTTGGTTTCGGTTTGCCAACACATCGACATTCGAATGTAATTTTGGTACCATCTTCCGATTGCCTGATTACGGGCCTCTCCGTAAAAGTTGGTTTAATGAAATCTTCAGGCACGGGCGCTTCGTCGCCTATATCATTTTGTTTAATATTAGTGCCAATCATACTAATATAATTTATACGAATTTTGCAGCGATTTTTATTCTATGTATTAAATTTAAGATGTTTTCTTTTAAAATAACGTGTGATTCGCAATTTTCAATCAATCTTTATAAATAGGAGTTAATCAAGGTATGTATAAGAAAATAGATAATGATAAATCAAGTGGATATAAATAAATATATATGTAGGTAAATAAGTATATAAAATTTTGATTATACGTGTAATATTCTCAGTCTACGTCCATTCAAACAGACAGTACGCATTACAGTTGCTTTTGTTAACAATTGTGTTATGTGCACTGCTCAAGCATAGAATTTGCAAAAAGATATTTAACTACAGAAAAAAACTTGGCTCAAATGAATAAATGTTAATGAAAGCGTCATTGCACAATAAATGAACATTATGGATGATGAATAATGATGATCAAGTACTACAAAAAAAGATGCATGTGGAAAATGTAGAAATTATATAATCTCAGAATATGTATTTTTATATTAATTTGCAGCTTGTTAAGTGTTGTGTATTAATTTATGTATAGACCTACCATTAAAACCTATCGACAATAATTATTTTTATTATAAATTAAGAAAACATCTTAAATTAAAAGATATCTCATTAGAAACGCAATTGAAATATACAAATACGCAAATCTTAAGTGTAGTATGTAGAGTATTTGATAATTTGAAGAAATTAGTTGATGATCATATCAAGCTATGCTGCAAAATCTACGTATAAAAGGACAAATTACAATTATCATAGATAAAGGATTAGATTCACACCAAGTAGCTACGAATGTTAACAATAATTGAAGCAGATAGTCATTTAAATTTAATAAGAATATGCTAAGGAAAGCTATTCATTATCAAGTTCAGCTAAGTATTTCATATTTGTCAGATGTTTACTGTACATTTTTAGTTTTATTCGATAATTATAAATAATTGTAATGGGTTTAATAAAAACAAAAACTTTAAACGTAAATGAAAATGCTTATATCGAAATGAAACAACACAGAAAAATATAACTCACTGTCGAAGTTTAAGCTGATTGTGGCGTTACTTTCGCCGAGTTCGTTCTTAGCTGTTACTCGGTATTTTCCAGCATCTTCCACGGTTACGTTGTTGATCTCCAATGAGGCATAATATGATTTTCCGTCTTTATTTACTGTTAACTGTATAAAACAAATTACATAACCATATTTATTAAAGTACATCTAATATGTAAAAATCTCATAAACGGCTTGACTGATTTTTGGGAAATCTTTTGGTATATATTTGGTACTACTGTGAATAAATGGTTAGTCTAAGTGATAAGGATGGCCTTCTTTTGTCCGACTTGCTTGTGAGTAAATATAAATTCTAAATATGAGATTAACTTTAATCAGAATCTACTATAGCAGTAACAGTAATAAATCACGTAATTGCTCATATTATAAATGTATAATAGGATACATTTTTGTAAAAAACTAGATTAAGAACAATTTGGACAGAATTCTATCTTCATAATCCAAATAATGTATCCTTAAATTAAGCTGAGAAAACTAAGATTACAATGAGAATTCGTAAACAATTTGTAAATGGCAATCGGAAATCATAAATATATAAGATAATGATTGTCATCAGAATTAATAAGTACGTTTAGCACAAAAGGTCATCGTGCGAGACTGTGGGCACCTGGTCATTCTCATCGCCAAGTAGATCGGGGTCAAGGTCATTTCTAAATACTTTTAAAACTGGAACATCTAGAGTAGTGAGTTTTATTTTTGCATTCACACCTTCAACTCTTGTTTCCAAGTCTAATTATGTAGCGTTTCTTGTGTCACTGTCTATGCCAAATGTGTAATTATTTTCTATTAATATCGGTTTACATATTTATTTTAAAACGTTTGGCATCTCTTTTTTGGCATCTATATACTGATACTATGTGTCCGCTTCTAAAACTACATATTATTAAGAGTATTGTATCTTTCTTCACCCTTCTATTAAGTTACTACACCATCATCTAAATATTAGATTTACTGTTTCTAATGTATAATATGCAGTGAATAAATGGAAATATTGTATTAACCGATTTTAATAATTTCTTCACCTACGAAATACAATATTATCAATCAGTAATATGGGTTGAATTTTATTAAAAAAAGGAGAGAATGCTTTATTAAAGCTTTATTAGTAATCGTATCTGTGCTAAGCTGACGTTCATTTCAAGAGATATACTTGATTTATATATTATATATAATATATATGTAACTGATTATTAATAATAATAATAGCAATAATCATTTATTATTATTCATATGGATACTCCACACAACGCCATCTAGTCCCAGCTATACAGATCTTACATTATGGTTCCTAGATAACCGATAGAATAAGTTAATACATATTTTTCTAAATACATAAATAATATACATAGAAAATATCTAGACCGATACAAATAATCATACTCATGAATACAAATGTTTGTACCGTGCGATAAATCGTACTGGCGACCATCGGAAGTAAAGCGTTGTGCCAGACTACCGACTACTCCCAATAATAGTTATAGTTTTCCTGATATATATGAGGCAAACTATTATTTGGAGACTTAAAGAAAGTAATAGAGCCTGAAACATAACAAACTCTTTTTCTATATGAATAAAAATAACCAGTAGAAAATTATAATAATGTTTTTTCATAAAATGTTTTGTTCTTCGCTTAGTAGCAGTAGGTACGTCTAAAACTTTAAATACACAAATACAATTTATAATGTACAAATGGCGAACTTAACACCTAAGGGCGTTCTTTATCAGTCTACAATAAGGCACTATACTTATATATCAATACATGAATATAAATATCTATATGTATACATATATATATATACATACTATCCCTGAATCTAAAAATAACACAATTTAGAAACAGGAAAACTGCATGGATGAGGCAGAGGAGAAAATAAATGTAACAGAATATAATATCAGGCTTGTATAGACGTCGTTGGGTGTAACTACTAGTGTTCAAGTATTTACCTTATGCCTGGGACCAGGTTTAACTTCCACAGTGTTGTGGAACCAGGAGACGCCGGGTACCGGTTCAGCCTCGATGCGGCACTCGAATATAAGCCGCTTGCCATCGTCTTCCTGCCTGATGGCCGGCTTGCGCGCGAATGTTGGCGCCTTACCGTCCACTTGTCTATAAATAATTATAATTAATTACAATAATATCTCATGACAATTCACACAGAGCCATCTAGACCCAAGTTAAGTAGAGCTTATGTTATGGGTACTAGACAATTGGAATAAACACATAGATGCATCTATTTTTTGTAAATCATAATATTTTATTTATAAAAATATAGTTTACAATTTATTACATTTAGCCCTGTCTTTCGAATTACATTTGTGTCACAAAACCCAGTTCCCGCCGAATACATACGTAATATACATAGAAAATACCTAGACTGACATCAAACAATCGTACTCTTGAATGAAAATGTTTGCACAGTGTCAGGAATCGAACCTGCTACCATCGGATGTAAGGTGGTATGCAAAACCTCCAGGCCACCGAAGGTGTCAAATTATACAATCAAATCAATGATATTTAGACAATCAAATTATACTGTTATTCTATTCAAATCCTGGTAATATAAAAGCGACATTGTGTAAGAATCCTTGTAGGGACAGGTTCTTTGATAACTATGACTGATTTATTTTGTTACTCAAGTAACTATTCTTTACTTATATCAATTTAGCTATTTGGCAGTTTGCATTCTCACAAAATTCTTAAAATGGTAATTCTCTTTCGTTCTTTTTGTCATAAGCCTTGCGTTCTGAATGAGTGGTAGAATAAAAAAGTGTTTATATGTATTAAGTTTGTTTAACTAAAGATCTATTTCTATTTCTAACTCAAATAGATGAATACATGTTTATTACTAAGAGTCCGCGTAGTCTCGACCCTCACAATTAGATTTCAATTGTGATTAGAGTCCTCATTGATAAAAATCTATTATATACCTATACATTTAGATATTTTATGTAACATTTAATAAAAATAAAAACATATTTTGATAATAAAAAATTAAACTTACTTCTGTTTATCTTCGTCGGCAGCTGAAAAAGAAAACAGACAACATTATTACGTGATATATTACAATGTTTAATAATTTTACATTATTTATAATAATAATAATGAAGGATAATTTACACAAATAGACATACAGTTTCAATCTATGGAGAGCCTTATTGTGGGTACTCTACAATTGATAAAAATACGAAAATACACATTTTTGTAAATACATAGGTAAATAATATACATAGAAAATGCAAATATTTGTATCATGCGAGAATAGAACCTTAGACTATATAAAGTAAGACTGTGTACTAAACCATCAAACCCGTCAATTTATAGGATTGCTAGCTCTACCCCTCGGTTTCACCTACTCTTTAATTAAAAGAATTGCCTGCTTCCGTTATCCCCCAGCATACCGTTCTCATGACCCGCCTAGCCTTTTTTCTCACTGTTCGGCTCTTAAAATTATATTTAATAGCCTACAACTATCTTTAACTATTGATTCATGTTTTCATCTAATCCACCTAATTCCAATTGGAATTAGTTGGATTAGAAGAAAACATATAAACGGCCTAGATGGTCTAGCGGTTTAGCTATGGTCACCGCTTTACTATGGTCGCCGGTTCGATTCCACGTACGGTACCAACATTTGTAATAATAAGTATGATTGTTTATAAGGGTCTGGGTGTTTTCTATAATATATATATTTACAAAAAAATTATGTATTTATATCAATTGTCTAGTACCCATAACATAAGCTCTGCTTAGCTTGGGACTAGACGGCACTGTGAAAATTGTCCAGGGATATATTATATTACTTTGTAGCTGGTAGCTCCAGAGATTATCGCATTGAAACAAATAAATTATTTATATAGATTTATATTCAAAGGATTACCTAAGTGCAAAATATCAAATAGTACAAATGCATAAATAGCTTGTTAAATCGAGAACAGGGTTACACGTCATTATGTCTGTTTACGAGTTGCATTACATCCAACAGACGCAGCACACTATCATAGCAAAAGAGATAAATATATCAAGAAACAAATCGAACTTCTCGGATTATTTCTCTAATATTTCGCAATAGTAAGCTGAAATTCAGCGGATTTTTTGTCATAATGATCAGTGCTGTATTTATTGAGTTTAAAAGCAATAGGAAATAGACGATTTTCGTCGAAGATGGTTTTTTTTAATCAAAATATTAGTAGAATTTTACTATTAAGTTAAGAGCACTATCTGCATCAAAAAGCTGTAAAAGCATATAATTATTAGCTTGGATTTATAGCACGTTACAAGTATTTCGGTCTTATTATTATTAATCTTATTAATATAATATTAAAAACATGAAAGTTTGGTGGTCGTATGGGTGGTTTGGATATTTGTTACTTGTAAACATCCATTTGGATTTTGATAAAGGACGGAACGAATTTTGATAAAACTTTACATGATATAGCTTATAGATCAGAATACACACTTATCTTATCTTAATAATATAATAATATTATTAACGCGAGAGTTTGTGAATATGGATGGATGTTTGTTACTCATTCACTCAAAAACTACTAAACGGATTTTGATGAAATTATTACAGTAACTATACTATAATAGCTGATACATCAGAATAATATATAAGCTATAAATTTCACTAGTGAAACCGCAGGCACAGATTAGGCTATAAATTTCATGAGAAAAAACTACGGGCAGAGTTAGTTTTAAAATAAATTTATGTTATGATTACTTAATGAAAATTAGTATAGTTTAAACGAATATTTTTTGTAAATTTGTATTTATGTTCAGACACAGTTGTGTTATTGTTTTATGAATAAATAAATAATCATAGGACTATTAATTTAGAAATTAATCATTACTTAATGATTTTGACTTCACATTAAGTTTCTTTAAATTTCAATGATTTTCGAGTTACTGCTACGTTGCTACGAGCTACGTCATAGCAACGTAACATGGGTGCAGCAATTGAAGTCATTCATATGAATTTATTAATTACTACAGTTTTTTACGTACGTACAAATTGAGTAAATACATAAGAAAAATGATAAAATAGGTAGTAGATGCTTAGCGTAGCTCGTTAAGTAGCTATAATAATTGGTTTAAAAATAGAGAAAATATCATATATAATACGAGACCCATTTTAATTCAGTAAACATTGCTATTAATTTTTAATTGTGAAAGATTAAAAAAAAACAGGTTAAGATTTTGTATTTTGTTTAATTCATTTTAGAGTTAACGCAAAATCTATTGGATTGTAATGAAATTTCGTATCTTTATAGACCATATTCTAGACTAGCTCTTATCTGCGACTTCGTTTGCTTTATTTGAGATAACAGATAGTTTATGTCCGTTCTCGTGATCTAAATGTCATGTCGTGTAAAATTGCAATTAAATGCATTCAGCACTTTATAAATAAGTAACAGACGGACAGACACTCTTTAATATTTATAATTAGTATGGATTAACACGTGCTTTCTACTATTATTCGAATTTACACGGCAAACGCTAAAAATTAAGCTGCTCAAAATGAGTTAGCAATGGTATTACAAAATTAGACTTCAGTTTGATTCATAGTAATTTTAATGAGAAAGAAACTGAAAAATACATTTGTCACAATGTTTACAATGTCTGATATTTTCTCAGTTAAATGTCAACAGCCAATATTTGGTGGCACGGTTCGTATTCACGCTGGCACCGCGAACGCATCCACGCGCTCCCACTCTTGGCTCTCCATTGAAAGCGTGGGTTAGTCCAACATTACATTTTTTCTATTTATTTCTGTCTGTGACTAATCATGTTATTTGTAAAGGTATTTTTATTGGCAATGTATTGGATTACGAGAATATGTGACAAAGTTGTGTTATCTCAAATATTTAGGGCAGGTTATCGATCTATGTGGTTTCCATTATGGTTGTATTTTTATATAGAAACGAAATGACACAACCTCATGATATGTGACAACCGTCGTATATACAGGATATATTATTATTTTTTATTATTTATACGGAGCACCACGGACACTACGACGTCATGTAACAAACTCATTTTTTGCTTAATAAAAATGGTTAATATTTTACATTTCGAAAACATAATTCCAGCAGGAGTCATGGCATCAGTACTTGACGTATCTCCTAGGTTTATCTATTCCAGAAACCATATTTAACATTGCATCAATAAAGATTGTAATGCTCAATGTAGTAAACATTATTTAGAAAAATTATAGAGAATGTATAATTTTATGGTACTATAAAACTTGTACAAAGAGTGATCTTAATGCCATATGACATTCTATATCAGCTAAACTCTATCAGGTGAATGGGTTTTTATCAACTTCATGCGTTGTCATTTCTGAGGACTATAGGGTATCTGTAATTTCAGAACGGAAGTCACCTTTTAGAACGAAACAACTTACAAAAATAGGTGCCTGTAGATACAAATAAATTAGTTCTGCCTTTTTTTCAACTGGTTTACGTGTTTCCGCCGGCAAGTACCCTACTATGTAAGCTATTATTGAAGGGAGATATGGTGATAGTCACTACACATCCTATGTTGTTGCAGCCCACTCTTTCATAAACTAAATATCTCCTTTGGAAAGTATACACTCTATCCTGAGGAGGTAAAAACTATCGCTCCTAAGAATATCTCTCAATTCTTGTCCCTAATGGGGCTAGGTTGCGAACTTTGAAAAAAGGCGAGCACAATAGATCTATGTACGTCGCAGTGCTTACAGGTGTTAGCACCTGAAATTAGCCCAAAACCCCTGATAAAAAAATATGGTGTCAGTAAAATTACAGGAAACGTGAGCATGACATCATAATCCTCCGGAGAAAGAACACATAAAATATTAAGCAATATCATGGGCATCACATGTTGGCGTGAAATCCGTGGTGCTATTCATGTATGAATGAGACGGTTGCTACATACCAGGATGTAGACCGTCAACTTATATACCATTATGTTAATGATTTACATAATTATATACTTTTATAGTACCTACGTGTACATTCTATTCTCTACGTGTACATTCTATAGTACCTACAGTATGTGTTTTGTCACTTCCTCCAAAACGGCAAGATCAATTTGAAGGAAAATTTTATGTGCATATTTAAGTAGTTCCTGAGGGTTACAAAAGACATTTAGACCAGATAGAACAACGCTCACCAGTTCGCAAGTAGGTTCGTATAAATAATTATTTCTATTTATGTTCTATTCTATTAATGAATTAATACATACGGCTGAAGTTAAGATTGATGGAGGCGGCCACCTCGCCCATCTTGTTCTTAGCTTTAACTTTGTAGAGCCCTGCATCCGTCTCGATCACGTCATCCAGCTCGAGCACCACCAGAAATTTGTTGTTGGCGATGCTCTGGATCCTGTAAAAGATTTTTATTTAATATTCATTTACTAGCCAACTCACACTAGGTTTATTATGTGACATAAGAGAGAGAGAGAGAGAGTGTGTATTGAAAGAAGAGTTCTCTCAGAAGGAATAATTCTTATCATTACTAATTCTACTAACATTGTCACGTTTTGACGGCCTCGGTGGTGGTGGTTTAATACACCGCTTTTCAATAGTCTCCGGGTTCATTCCTTACACACGGTGTAAGCATTTGTATTCATGAGTATAATTGTATCTTTCTGTCTTGGTGTTTTCTATGTATATTATGTATGTATTAGCAAAAAAAATCTATGTAGGTATGTATATGTAATATATCTATGAGTTGTCTAGCAGCCATAACACAAGCTCTGCTTAGCTTAGGTCTAAATGGCGCTGTGTATTATTCTGAGATATTGTTATTATTATATTGTTTAATAATTAATGCACATCAATAGTCAAGAACAATAATGATATCTTTTTTATAATAATATCTGCTTTCTTGTGATAAAAGATTTGTCTTAAAATATAATTTAAAAAAAGAATCAATAGGGTATAAAAGTTTGTGCAGACGAAAACGACAATTACATTGATATTAGGATTTTCGTACCATTTTGCAATCATACAAATGAACTAAACTCATTTATTATTACGGAAATGTAATAAAATAATGATAAATTGTTATTCATCAGCTGGGATACGGACACAAAATACACGCAGCTGTGCATTAAATAAATAATTGGAAACATCACCGATTCACTGATTTCTTCAACTAAATGATCATGCTGTCATAACAATACAGCTAAATATAACTTAAATATTATAGTCGTCCTATTTCTTAATTTCTTTTACTGTTATCGTTACATATTTGAGGGATTTAGCCCTTAAGACCCAACTTTTTACTTGGAAGCCATCCAAAACTGAGAAAACTGAAAGCCAGTGATAGTTAACACATTATATTTAACATTATTTTCTTCTTCCTTATGCCATACATTTGTGGTCGGAGTTTATTCAACAACCTTCTCCAATAAATTTAGCGGAAAATTTCATACGATTTTGGAAACTTTCATACAAACTGCGCGGTCAAGTGATAAATTTGATATAAACAGTTTTTAATAATATATTGTTTATATCAATTTATAGTACACTAGTTGCCCCGCGTAACTTCGTCTGCATCACACTTTAAGTAAGTGTAAATTTATCATCATATTTCGTTCAATTTACAGAATACCTTATTAAATGATAGCCTACATGTTGTTCTAATGTATGTAGTAATATATAACCTATATTACTAAGGTTTATCAAAATCTATTCAGTACTTTTGAATGAGTAACAAACTTTCATCCATTTTCACAAACTTTAACGTTTATAATACTAATAAGATTACTTGTTACTTACGACTTTGAAAAAGGCAAGCACAATAGATTTATGCGGGTCTCAGTGCTACAGGTCTAAACACCTGACAATAACCCACAAATCCCCAATAAAAATATATAGCCCGCCTTCTCACGTTCACTCTCACGTCTCACTTCTCACGTCTTTTTTTTTAGATAATACACATAGGCTATGTGTACATCCTCGTTTTACTTCATTATGAAGCATTAAGCAGTGAAGTCATAAAAGTTAACAAATTGACAGACAGATGTACTTTCATATATATTTAGCCAGTAGAAAGATTTCGCTTACTTCTTTTTAGAAAAAACATAGCCCGTGTCCATCTTCGTCATACAATGTATCTTCACGTCAAATATCATTACATTCGTACAGTGTTTAGTCGTGACAAGGTTACAAACAGACAGACAGATTCACTTACATTTTTATAATATTAGTATGGATTTTTCGAGCAGTAACCGCTATCCGTGCCAAGTGTGCCAGTTCCCAATGTTTGTCACCAATAATTAAACATCAAAGGAACTATCGGAACAAATAAATCGCAAAACAATCCTCAAGGTGACAAGGACATCACCTAATACATTTTCGGATCGTGTACTATAATGCAAATTGGGAATGGATAAAGACTATTATATTAATGATAAAAAACATCTTTTGAGAACTAATATATCAAAGTCCTCTCGGAAACGACTTATCAAGACCTACATCTGGAGTATAGCCTTGTATGCCTGTGAGACATTGACACAAAAGGAAAGAGACAAACTGGAAGCCTTTGAAATGTGGTGTTGGAGAATAATGGAAAGAATTAGCTGGAAAGACAAAATAAGGAATGAAGAAGTGCTTGAGAGGATTAAAGAATAGGGACAGATCATAGATATTATTGAGAATAGGCGGGGTAAAATGTTGGGGCACTTGATACGACACGACGAACTAATTAACAACATTATAGAAGAAAAATAGATGGAAAGAGAGGAAGGGGACGACCAAGACACAGCTATATCAAGCAAGTTAAAGAAAAAGTTGGAGTCGTATCGTATCAACAGCTAAAGGGACTGATAGAAGATCGTGGAAGGTGGCGGGAGCTCCACCGACAAGAGCACAGCTCTTAAATTATGAATTAATGAATGAAAGACTATAGAGACGGTTTTTTTATCATTCCATGGAATCGCCGTGGCGTGTCGGATGCATTGTGTGGCAGAGAGGGAACTTCTCGAGAAGTTTCGGGAAGTTCACGGGACTTGGGTCTCGGGTAAAGGTTTAAATGGCCGCTTTACCGACGTATTTCAACATTCACCGTCAACACTCAACTCGGCTTGTTTACTGCTCTGTGTCATATCAGTGATATTAAAAGAATTAAAAACAAGGAGACTGCAACTTAATGAAGAGTGATAGTGCTTATTTACATGAATAACACTATGGAAATCCTATAAAGAGAAAAAAATATTAGAATTGAAGGTTATTGGGATAGACTTTATTAAGTCGTCAATCAGTCTCACTTATTTCTACGGTAACGTAGTTTATTACCATTTACAGCTGTATTTCTGTTAGATAGGGTAGATATTTCTAGACTTTATACAAAGTAATCTGCGTAGATAATTTTTTAATAATTTGCGTTATATTTGTAAGGTGAGAATTTGATCACTAATATTGAAGATCTTAACGGTTTCCGTAGAGATCGTCAGGTTTCCGTACTGAATATTTGTGGTGCTCACAAATGCTAATTGTAGCGGAATTAAACAAAGTAATATAAATACATTAAGTAAGTCTTCTATTTTACTTACTTCTGCCACCAAGCAGATTGCTTTGTATGCTATGCTATGTTTCTATTTGAAGATTCAGATATTCTAGGAGATATAGTCTTCTGGAATGGTAACTACTGCATAATTGCTGTTCATGTATATACATACTCGATCGTTGCCACATTCCATCAAATGAACTTTTAACATAATTTGTCTTTCCAGTTACATAAGAAATATTAAAAAGATATATAATTCATTAGATCTGATTGTATTCATTAAAACACATTTGTTTAATTGAAATGCACAAAAATAAAGAATATCATTGCACATTCTTATAAATTCGAGCAATGGTAAAGTGAACAAGATGTTTATTGATACAGCATTCAGGTGGATGTATTTATGCTCTGAAAGTATTTAGGTCAGGACCGTGTTGGATTATGAGGCCAATATTACACGTCTGTGCACATTTTATAAACAATATATTTTTTTAATGGAAAACAAATTAAATATGGAATTCAAAATAAACACTTCCAAGAAAATTAATTTATGATTAAGCAAATTAAATAAATATAGCTGTAGGTTTGCAGTAGATAAATAAAGGCATTAATAGATTACATATATTATACATAATGTAAGTTTTCAATTGATTTTTCATATAATAAAATAACATGAGAATTATGAATAGAATACATATAGCACATCTAACAATACGAACGCCCCGATTTTTAACTACATGTAGTATACACTAATAATAATGACAGGACAATTCACATAACACTATCCTGTCCTAAGCTAAGCTGAATTTGTTTTATATCTGATATAAATACACACCTACTTTTTTTGTTAATAAAATATCTATAGAAAACATCCAGAGCGATACAAACAATTATACTCATGAATACAAATGTTTGTACCGTGCAATTAATCGAATCTGCGACCATTGAAAGTGAGGCGGTGTGCTAAACCGCTAGACCACCGAGCTCTTTAATTTATTCGTTATGTCTTAACATTATATCGGTTTGGAAATTTCACTACCGGTAGTTATTTCTGCTTATAAATCAACTCACTTGAACTTAGTCCTATTATCTTCTTTGAGCAGTTCATCGCTGCGATACCAGCTGATCTCTGGCTTCGGAGCTGCCAGCAACTGGCATTCAAAGACGAGCTTGTTGCCATCGTCTTCCTGGCGCAGTTGCGGCTTCTGTGTGAAGCTTGGGGCTAAGTCGTCGGTCACCCCCATAACGCTAGCTGTGGATCATCACCGCGGTTGAGGTTACGCTGCGTTGGGAGAAGGTAATACCTTCTATCTGCAAACAGAGAAACACAATTGGAGGATTCTTTTTTTTAGAACTATTCTAATGCTGTTGGTCGCAGCTGGCCTTTACAGTTACATCGAATGATATGGAGCGAGTGCGGATGGCATTCCAAACCCGCGGAGGGACGTATAGAGTAGCTGAAGATCATTTCCTGCCTGACGGCCGTCGTAATTTCCACCCCCGTTTCAATTGAACGAGAGATCGATCAGATGGGGATTCATACTGTCTATTAGTACAATCTGTTAAGTTCCTGTTTGTATATATTTGGAATGGCAAAGCTGACGGTCTAACTGACAACCAACAAAGTACTAAGTGGCAACGGTTGCCTGTACCATGACCAATATCATGGCCATAGGCTCTTGCATGACGTTTGTGACATATCTACATTGCCATTCCGGAGGATGATACTTTATCAGGTCTTGTCGTACCCAGTAACTACACTGGCATATCTCTGATACTCTTCAAAGGTCTCCTTATATTTCATCTCTTCATGCGGCAAGTTACTTGTTTTGTAAGCTATATGTTGGTTTGAATAGTAGTGAATATTATATTATTAAGTCTGAATGTTGATGTTTGTTTCATTGGAAAATAAAATGCATTTAATTAATTGCCGAGTTGCATGCATAAAACACAGAATTAGTACATTTTACTAGAGTAATTAATAAAAAAATACGCAAAAAGAAATAGTGGGCCCGACAATTCATTTTATTTCAAAAGAAAACAAATATAAAGAAATTATTTTAAAAAATACTAATTAATTATTGTTTTTGTTTAGAATTATTAAATAAAAAAAAAACACTTTCTCCAATTAGTAATTTTATTTATAATTCTAGTATGGGCTGTGACTACTCTCAGAAATTTCAGTCGAAACGTCATTATTTTCCCGCCATATGAAGTTTATTGTTTGTTTACAAAAATATCAAATATAATTGTAGTACTGCAATTTTTAATTGATTTGATGAAATTATTTAAAAAATACTGTATTCTTTATTAAAAGGAATTTGTTAACAAAAATATCCAATATGCACACGTCAATGAACGAAGGTAAGTAGGGTAAGGTCAGTGACGTCACGTCTGAAGCGCGGTCATCCAGAACAATGTCATAGTGTTTTAAGTTTTATCAGCTCACGCGGTCAGCTTTAACATTATAGATAAATGGTTTATTTGATCGTTGCACACACAGTTATACATTTGGACAATACATAACTCGACCTAAGATTACAGATATTTTATGACCTAAGATTACAGTCATTATGTGTCATCCGCAGCTTCTGTGATCTTTAGCAACACAAAATGTTTTTTTTTAATTTAATATATTTTACGACTAAACTATTCTACGGTACATAAGTAGGAATGCCCAAATGGAACAAACGGTAGTATGATGTTTTTTAAGTGATATTTCACTACTACAACGACTGTGTTCGCAGTACACATAGAAATGTTGTAATCTCAACTAACAAAACACTTTATATTATTTTATCTTTCCATTTGAGGATAGGCACATGTAAATAATAATAAAAAACGAAGAGCGATAAAAATGGATTGTCTGCGGTGTGTTATGTGGGAAGTGTTTAATAGCCAATAAGCCTTTCATAAAAACTTGATGAATAGTTTCGGAGTTTCTCCTGGACAAACGTCGTAACACAAGATTTTTATATATGTAATGATAATAAAGGATGTACATGAAAGAAGTACATGAATTTTCCGTATCTTCTGGTTATTACTATGCAGTATTCTACGTGCAAGGAAACAATAACTAATATGTATTATATAAAACTGAATCACCTCGGTTTCTCACCGGTTCATTACAAATCTTTGCATTTCTCGGCTTTTTTTCAGCTGTACTATGATATGTGTGAGGAATATATATATAAACAATCCTATTAAATCATTCTATATATTTCTGCTGTGTGCAGAGCATCTTTTATGGATCATGTACTTTAAATCAAATTGTAGTACAATTCTTTAACACCCTGCACCCTAGCGTCCAAAAGTCTGTCGGATCGAAGTTCGGTCACAATACAGGGCGTCTCTTTACGGCTGAAATACCAACTATAAGGACTTAATTCCAAACCGTTTTGTATGCATCTATACATACCCCTCGTTCCTAAGTACTCTTCTATATCCTCAGGGTATCGTTAGAAGACTTCTGGGGATGAAAGTAGTGCTAAGAAGGGAATTTAAATGATTTCAATACAATTTTATGAACAATATCCGCAACTTACACCCGCAAGTTATTTTCAATTTCTATCTGTAATAATTATGTAAGTATAAATGTTTACAAAAGGAATCCACCCACGTATTTTCAGTACAATGAATATATTGTTCTGTAAAAGACGTAATTATTTTTAGAACATTCTGGCATTATTTCATAGCTTAAAATAACGTTTTATGCACAAATATATTTGTTGTTAATTATTTAAGTATACTGCCAATTCTATAAATAATGTAGCAATAAATTATGTATATTTTTAGCTTCTTAAACATGTGCCCTTTAAAAACTAGTAGAACCCGCAACTTTGTACGTATGTAGGTACATATACATATGTATATATATATATATAGATCGATTCGATCGCTCGGTCGACTACTGACGGTGATCGAACGGCGATAACAAATATAGTATCCATACGACACTATATATTGATTAATGGATTAATTAATAGAATTATAGTTGTACATTAGAGATTTCTCACCTTTGGTATTTTAAACAACTTTCTTGATCTATATAAAAGGACTTATTCAGATAAAAAATACATAGTAATCCGTCCTGAAATTTGACGTGATACATTATCTACTATACTATTATATTAAACGTATAAAAAGAACGATATATAGAAAAGATATAGGAGACAAAGACGTGCAGGTTTGTATGTTTGGTTGTTATTGATTTGGTACACAGATACTCGTATATCTTAGAGTAATAAATAGGATACATTTTGTCCGTATTGAGGCAGACAGCGCCGCAGGTTTCAGCCAGAGAGTGAGAAAATAATAAATGGAATGTCAGAAGAAAATTTTGATTATAAATTGTACGACTATATAAATTTGAATGGCAAACACACTGACGGTCCAACTGATGGATGGTAACTATATACATGTGACGAACATCACTTTAATGTCCTGATATTACTCATGTGTTTATTCTAAGATGTGCCTCTTATCCTGTAATTTTCTACCGTATCTCAACATTTAATCACAGCATACATACCCAGAAATGAAAGAAAGTAAAGATATTAGATAGTAAATCAATAGACAGAGTCTCTCTATCTACGCAGACGACTCTTTACATAGCATTAAAATAAATATAAAAAAAAATGTGCACGGTAGCACATTTTTTTTATATTTATTTTATTTACTTCTCTGTCATTATTTTTTGTTCTTTGAATATTGAATTCATCTGCGATTTCTTAAATCTTTCCATAAATAAAAATATGGTTATTTTTATTAGACATAGAATATGGTAACTTTTATTTTTTTCCATACAGAGGATATGGTTGCATAAACTACTTATTATGTTAAAAAAGATAATAGAGAAAGAGGTAACAATGGGTCGCTATCTCTTCAGGGAACATCAGGTAGATAACCTTCAGAACCTCACGTATATCGTATAGATACTACATCTCTCATATTAGATAAAGTTTAATAAAACTAATGTTCTACAATCCATATGGCTATTATAAAATGACGACCTCTGTGGGCTAATGCTGATGGCATACCGCCTTACTTGCAATTGCCACGGGTTCGTTTCCTCGGACGATACAAACATTTATATTCATTGATTGTATATTCTGGATGTTTTCTATGTATATTATGTACGTATTTACAAAATATATATCTATGTATTTATATCATTGTTGTCTAGCACCCATAACATAATCTCTGCTAAGTTAGGGACTAGATGGCGCTATGTGAATTGTCTCGAGTTATTATTATTATTATTACTATGATATTCCTGCTACTGCTGTTCAAAAAAATATTATATAACGGCTATATTGACAAATATTGTCTATAAAAGCATTGTAAATCTTCGATACATTATGAGTAAAAACTATGCTACATTTTTAAAAGAAATGGGACCTAATAATTGTAAATCTGAATAATTGTGGCTTAGAAATATATAAATAAATAAATTAGCCAAAAAAGATAATGTATACTGAATATTAGTTACGTTACAATAAAAAGAGAGAATTTTGTTAAGGGAAGTACTAAACACCAGAACCATTGTCCTGATCTGGGAAATTCACGTATGAAGTATCTTATGTGTTACTCTTCGGTGGTATCTAACTGTGAATAAAGCACTAAATAACTCTTTATTCCTTTCACAATTACATAAACCAATATGTATACAAATATAAAAAGAATCATAATTACAACTTATTGTAATTATGATTTTTTTGACGTAATAACGTTATTCTATTTTATATTTATGTTCATATTTTCCAGGCAACATTAGGATGAAGAGGAGTATAGACATCAAGTGTGGTGGAGAATTAGCAATTATGAAAATTTATTCGAAACCGTTTAATAGCATTGCTTGAGTAACAAACATACATCCAACGTCATATACTTTAACGATTATTATATTAGTGGTATTCAAAATTGATAAAAAAGTTTTGTGTTCTGTGAATGTAATAAGAAAGTTTTAAAGTATCTAATTAAATTAGAAAGTAACCTAATACAGATTTTATCTGTGTAATTTCATTAATAAAGCCTCTGCCAGTGTACAGTAATTAAACATTCTTGCATATAATTGTTGTATCACTATCCAACTGCTTCTGAATATGAATCAGCTATCGCTGAAATACATCATAATGTATCATCTGAAACCTCGGACGAAAGCTCTCAGCGACATGAGTCATGTTCGTACCGCGGTCAGCGCCATCTATCCGCCAAGGTGAAGTGTAGACGAGTGGGTGTCCGCTGTTAAAATTTTCTA